AGTTTCCGGAATGTAAAGTACAATTTTATTGCTACTCGCTGCTCCGTGACGTCCTCCAATGTCATGGTTTTTTGCTTCTTTTAATCAAGTCCATATGTATTTAGAAACCGATATCTTTTAAGTGGAGCGACATATTACATAACCCGATTTCATTTTAATTAATACAGCAATACTTTATTTAAACATGTAAATTTTATTTCGTTTCAGCTCCATTTATTAGAGGTATGGCTGTAAATACTATAAAGTGAAAATTAGTAAATTACTCAATTTTGACGGTGCTCCGTGACCCCATTTTTGCTGTTCTAAATCCTTGGTAATTCGAATAAATTTGAAGATGTATTCCAATTTTTTTACTCAGATTATTTGAATCTGTTGTTAAAATATTTGTACCAAATTTAATACCACGTTAAATAAAAAAGTTAGGACAAAAGTCTATGAACTTTTTGAATGACCCTCATGTTTATGTTTGAGTAGTTTGATAAAAAATAAAAGGTCCTAGTGAAGTTCAAGGTCATAGAAAATGTCATTATGAGAAACTGTATGAATTCCAAAACAGACTTGTATGAATGTATGATGTTTGTTTAACTATTAGGTAAAGAGTGAGTTCAAGGTCACAGAGAAGCGAGGTGAGATAATTGTAAAACAGTTGAATAACTTTCAATATGTTTCTTTGTTTACTTGTTAAAAGCAATGTTTCAACTAAAGGTGCAATTCTTTTTTTAAATAATATCAACAGAATTTCTGTCTCGCCTGAGACCTAAATATTTTTTGACAATAAATCATTTAAAACAATAATATACTGTCTGGAAGATTTTTATGTAAATGCCGGTTCAGAGGCACAAGGTTCAAGTATTTTGGAAATTAAAAAAAAAAGATATTCTGGAGGACCCTAAGTTTTCCGCAACAAACTTAAAAGTAATGAAAATTAAGATATGATTTACTAATAATTCCCTTTTTATTGACAATGGCAAGCAGCCCTACAAATAAAAGCACAGATAATTCAACAAATAAAATGATATACAATATTGTTCCACTAGTAGAAACTGAACAATGTATAATCAAGACTTTCATACACTTTTACAAAATGCCAGCATCATCTTTACTTAAACACACAGTAAATCACTCACTTGTTCGATAATTACTAGAATTTATACAAAAAATGACTTTCCAGAGGGTGCAAATAAACATAAAGAGAACATACTGTGTAAAAGGAACCATAGATTGAACAATAAATTAAATATGGAGAATAAACCTCTCAAAAAAAGAAATTTTTTAATGATTTGACTTTAATAGTTGTACAGTAGATATTTCTGTAAATAGAGTTTTTTTCCTTTTTTGCCCTTTCACACTTGTTAACAATTTTGCAAGAGTTCGACGACGAATAATCTTAAACTAAATTTTCACCAACATCTTAAGCTTACATTTTGTCCTCAATTTATCCATGCAACTAAAAACTGTACATGTACAATGAAACTAAATGCAAATGAAACCATCTATAATGCTTAGTAACATACAATGTATACAGAATCCAGGCCAAAATTCTTGTTAAAGTTGTATTGTTTTACCGGTACCATTCGTACAAACCTAAAAATAATGTTTCAATTTTTTCTGACGTACAGTATTTTTTTCAGAAATATTATATGTCTTTGTAGGGATACCTTAAAGAATTCCTTTCTTTAAATAAAATGAGAATACTTTTGACATTTCTATGGCCTTAATTCTAATTTCAGTAGTTTTTCATTTTGACTGTTTTAGTGCAGTTAAGCACATGTGACAACTTGGACCCTTTATATACAAAAGCTACCAATGAAAAAAAAATCTTTAAAAAAAAAAACAGAACACACAGTAATATCAATCTAAAATGTACAATTTGTTTTATAGCATTAATACTGATGAAAAAATCACTCAAAAAATTACAAGAATTAGTTTTAGGTATTAAATGAAATAGGTGGTAGGGATATGATCAATACATTATGATTGTTAAAAATAAATACCAGATAATCTACATCAATAAAATACAGTGTGAGACCTGTATTGACATGAAATAAATGACTAGCTTGTAACGATCTGTACTGATAAAACTGACCAAAGCTCTGGGTCCATAACTATCCACTACGTAATCACTAGTATAAATGACATGCTTTATACATTATTAATCACAGATTAGGTCTAAGAGAGCATTCTATCATATGTCTTCATTATAACTTTACAAAGACATCAAAAGTTATAGTTTGAAAGACAACATGAAACATTTACAAAACTGTATTAAACAAAACCTCTCCTTCATCAGTAAATAAAAATAAAAGTGTAGAAATAACTGGTTCTTTAAGTCCAAGAATAATTTTTTTAAGATGAAAGAAATCTTTGAAAGGTTTCCTTTTCTGTCATGTCTATTTATGGCCAAATTAATTTGAGTGCAGAATAGCAGTACATGGGAAATAAACTATTAAAGGCCAAAAAATTTTTATCCATAAATTTGTGTTTTAATAGGAACCGTTTAAGACAGAATTATAGAATCAGTACTTAAGGACGTTCAACTTCTCTGTTAAATTGACAAAGAGTTGACTGACTGTGCAGCATTGAAATGATCACAACCATTTAACCTGATTTAATATCCATGGCTGACAAATGATGAATGGTTTTCTTTTTGTAGTTATTTGACAAACAGGGACACAATACAGAGCATCCAACACTAGCTTCATAAAAAGATCACGTGTTCATGAGATTCTTACAAAAGAAATATTTTCTCTTGATTCAACTCCAACAGGATTATGCCGACCTGTCTCTTCTCTTACGACAGATTTCATTACGTAAACATAGGACGTAAACAAAGACAAACATTTGTACAATTACTTCCTATACTTAACATTTTGTGGTTTCAGTTTATAATGAACATTTTTAATTTGAAATGAGATCTTTTGAGACAAAAGAATTGTGCTTACCATTGTATTTTCTAGTTACATGTATCAATGAAATTGAGACCTGGTTTTATTTTATGAATTGGGAAAAGGATTTCATTACACAAATCCCAATCAATTAATAAATTAAAATAGCACATAAAGATTCAGCACCAATATTGAAAACAAAATCTACTACATACGTATGAACTATAAGCCACTCTATTTTAGTAGCATTAACTATTAATTTTGTCTAAATCATCGAATTTTTTTCAAGATCAATGTTGATGTAGTTTGTTTTATAAACTGTCAAAGTTGGGACAAGGCATTTAATTACACATATACTCTACAAACTGGTACATAGCACAATAAATCTCCAGAATTTGATTCAGGGACTTTGATTTACATGTACATTATCACATAACATCATCAGGACACCTCCAGTGTGGAGTACCTAGATTATCATAGAACGGGGTGTACCTAATAAAATAGAGATTATATACTGAAACTAATTTGAGCAAGAATGGAAACAATCAGAAATATTTGTCCAAAATAGCCGTATCAGATGGGTATAATACCAAATTCTTATTAGCAACCAAATGATAGAATGTATGAACTCCAAAAATGTTTTCTAAAAGAGGGAAATACCATGTCTATCTGTTATGAAAAGGGAATCTTCACCTTTTTTTCACAAAACAGGCATCATTACATTGTTAAGAGAGAAAAAAGACTTTGAATAAGAAGGCAAATACTGCAGATATCACTGTTTACACTGAAAAATTTCATGAATGGATATTAAAACTTGAATCTTTATCACATGATGTAGAAATTTACAAAACTATTGCACAATTATTCCAAAAGCTCATATATTTGTGTAACTATACTGAAGACTTGTTACATATTCGTTGTGCTTGTTAAGCTTGATTTCCGCGGTTATGAGATTATAGCAACACTAAGTCGGGGGTTGGCTGTCATGCCGTCTAAACTGTTAGAACGAACCAGGGTAGGTTTTTGGTTGATCCTCTCTATACCATCTTCATTAGACATCGCCTTGAAGGAAAAAAGTTAACATTCCATTAGGTTTCAAGGACATACACAGATATTAAAGCATTAAAATAATTGATTTCAATTATGCATATATGGAATAACTTTCTCATTTTATTGGTTTTATGATGAAGATAAGCAATTGTCTTGCATGAAAATTTGAAGCATTTAAAATCTTCACATTACTGTACATCAGGTTTATTAGAACATATGTGCAATACAATAAGGCAGAGTTGGCATGGTTATAGTAAATGATTTTCATAATAAGACCTAAGTTTACCTCTAGTTTGAGGGCTCTGTCTTTACTGAGTGGTTCTAATGGGAAGCTAAGGTCATTGGCATCAGCAAGTGCCCTCAGATCAAAGTCAGTGTTTGACTTGGCATAGGGCATTGCACTTCATGTCAGGCCTATCAAAAAACACGTTAATGTTGAACTGTAACATTTCTAGGTACTGTCTTTCACAAATCATTCCTGTAAAAACAAGATGTGTAAGTGAAAAACTGATGTCCCTGTTTGGTGACACTTGGCTAAAGTAAAAGATTTTCACATGTAGGTCAAACTTACAAAATCTACACTATAAAAATTTCATCTTTCCTGGCCCAGTGGTTCTAGAGAAGAAGATATTTAAAGATTTTACTTATATACTCCTATGTAAAACTTTGATTGGCCATTGTGGCTCATCACAAACTTGAAAAAACACATGAGTTTCATCTTTCCTGAAATAAAGATGTAAGCCCTAGCACAAACCATTCAAAACTTATGGCCAACAGGCAAAGGTTAGGTTAAACTTTTTGCTGAGACACAGATAGAAAGAAACCTTTATGTCCCCAATTCTTATATTTTTTACTGCAATTTTTCATATATTATTGCTTTTACATATTTTTTATGAAAAAAAAATGTAGATGTATATTAATTGGAAGGCATGCCATTTGCTGAAATCTCAGAATTATTGCTACCGAAGAAAATTATATCAATGTTTCTGCCTTTATTGATAAATACATGTACATCTCAGTCTTTGACATTACTGTTAACTATATATATAATAGCATAATAAAGCCTTACATGTCCTCCACTGCTATGTCCTTGAGGATCTGGCAGTAGTCTACATTCCACACAGCCTGGTCATCCCACACCTTGGACGCCAGCAGTATCGCACCCAGGACAATACGCTTCCAATTTGCCGGCATAATATCAATTTCTGCATAATGAAGTAACCTCTCCAAGTACACCTACAGCAAAAAGACTCAAAGCTCAAATAAAGAACAGGCATTTGTATTCAAAAGAGTAATAAAAATTTCTTAAATAATGATTTACTCAGGTAAGCAAATAGATATTAACCAAATTGATATTTTAGCATCCAAGATGAAATAGCACTCTGATACTTTTACTTTGTAAGCATGAACATATAGCTAGCAGCATTACCAGGGTAACTATTGCACATTCTGCAGTCAGCTGGGCTGCACTAAACAAGGTCCGAACGAATCTATAAATATGTTTGTGTTCCGGGTCTCGGCGGTCATAATCTTCTGGCACCTGGTCTCGCTGGAAAATTTTTTTTGCGGTAACGTGGAAAAGAAAAACGCATTGTGAATCAGGTTAGAGGTTCTTTTTTAGCACAATGAGATGTAAACAGAATGCTTAAAAAAAACAATTTTTTAAGGAAAACATGATAAATATTCAGATTTGTCTTCCACATATAAATAATTTTCTTGTAATTAGCTAGACGTGTTCTTACCGACAAAGGATGAAGCCTCTCATCAAAAATCTCCAATGTTCTGTTACTCTCGCGGTTTCGTATATGAAAGTAAATGGCGAAGGCCACGGCTTTTATCGTGTTTTTGAGGTTTGGTTGACTGACGGTGGAATCGTCAATAAATATTGTGGAACAGGAGCTGTACTTCCGCAGTACTGGTGTATTCTATCAATTAGAATTAACAGATTAAATCTCCAGCGGAGAGTGAAGAAAAATGAAAATGCTCATTTACACAAAGAATGAACAAAAATTCCTACTTAACCTGTATTTGTAACAGCATGTTACAATTCTAATACTTTAACTTTACCTGTATTTGTAGAACTCTGTTATCATAATGAGACTTCCTTCTATTCTTGTTGTCTACAAAAAAAGGATTAAAATATTGGAATTTCAATGAAGATACTAGTACATGAAAACCAGAGCATTTGATTACTTAAAAACTTATCTTCTCTAAGACAGTGATTGGTTTATGTGCATCAAAGGAATTAAATTTTGGATACACATTTTCAGTATTCTTAATTTCTTCTTACAATGTTTCTCTATGCATTTTCCCAAATATTTCCATCCTGCATGAAAAATCATTTGTCTGATCACTCTGATGTATAGACAGATCAAAAAAAAAATCACTTTTATACAAATCTGAAATCATCTGACTGTTATTTCTTCTTTTAAATTATTTACTGCCTTTTAGTAATATTAGAAATTCTTCTTTAATACTGTTTTAATACTATGAAGTCTTTGTACAAAACGAAAAAAATATTACTGTATAACTGTGTAAAGTCCTCTAATTTTTTAAGGTAAAAACAACATTGGAATATTAGGAAATACAAAATAGACCTGACTAAATTAAATTTGATTTAAGTTACACACAAATAAATACAGATGTTTGTGAGAAATCAAAATATTTACTATGAATGAAAAAGAAAACTGTGAAATCAGCATTACAGAATATGTTGACTCTCAAATGCATTATGTGCAATTAAAAAAGAAAGAAGATGTTAAAACATGCAGCAAACACAAATAAATACAGTAAACATTAGTATTTGATGGAAATGTCCTTAATGATACCGTACTTTTTGATCTAGATCTGTGCCTAACATCTAAAACAAAGAGAAAATGATTCAATTACTCTAGAAGGAAAAAAGCCAAGAAAACAAAAAATACTCATACATTTGATGTAAACAAAAGATGCTATCAGCAATAAAAATTATCAGAAAAGTTCAACTTTTTAAATCTTACAAGGTAAAATGACTTCAAAATGAAAAAAGGGGTTTAAATTTAGAAAATTCATTCTACATATAAACCAGATTGCTTTGATCATGTTTAGATGTAAAGATTTACAAAGTTATTGCCTTATTGGTGTGAAATTCCACACCACCTACTTTTATTTGTTAATTTCAAACTTTCACAAAGAACATATATATCTCAACTTAACTGATTGAAGGTTTAAAACTATAACGTATGTTTCAGTAATGTTTGATTTACATATTCTTTTACTCATTTTCATAACATGTATTTTCGTAGCAAACACAATGATATTGAAAATCAAGCATTATAATCTGATAATGGTTTATTCAACAGTTTGGTACATGTATTAAACGATCGAGCATCTATCAAGTACTAATAAATGCCCCTCACTTCAATTAGTAATCCAAATTCAATAGTATTTTTATAAAATACCTATCAACTCCTTGTGTTTTAAAAAATCATATTTTAATAAAATGCTTGGTAGGAAATAATTATAAATGAATTATTATTATACACTTAGGAAAACCCTCATTAGATGCCAGTGAGAAGCAGAGTATTAATTTAATCAAGGACCTGAAAACAGAACTGGAATGATTGGATAAGCTTGGTTTAAACTCTAATCCAAAGATGAAGACTTACTCTTGCTGATTTCACTCTGTGACCTAGATGGAAACAGCGGTCTTAAACTGGGGTCTGATGTAGGGTCCTCCTTTACATCTGAAATAGATTAGTTTTTCTTCTGAGGATTAAAGACAAAACGTTGTATCTACTTCTGTATTGATACAAAAAATGTGAATTATTTACCACAATAAGCACACAAGTGCTAGTTCTAATTACATGCACTGTAAATTTATATGTTTAAGGTACCATTCACTTAGCTGTAGAGGTGTAACAATACAGCGATTTATTAATCGTATTGATCGCAAAGTCTTATGATACACATACATGTATCGTATCAACATGTATATATCGTGATACAATAAAAGCTAATGTTCATTGTCTATTTGAAAATTATACAATAATTAGGACTGCCACAAATCAGAAAATTTTCGAATCAATTCAGTTCAAACAAAAAACTCGATTTTCGAACAATTTCGATTCGATTGTAAGAAATAGCACTTTTTTTAATTTTTTGTATATAATCTGTATAAATGTTTGATCATCATGATCATCAGACATTCTAATAAATAATGATTCATTCTTTTATGAGGATCATTAAGATAAATTGGAATGTAATCCCAAGAAACAAAGAAAATGCATGTACCTAATGCTCTAATTTCAAAGTATGACCCAAGAATCAAATGTCTGAAATCAAAACTATTAAAAATACTGGTCATTGGATTTAAAAGATGAAACATGCGAACATATCTTTCATACAAAACCAATGACTACATATTATGCTAAACATAAATGTATTCGTGATTTGCTTACAAAGCTGTTTTCAATTACCAAACTAGAAATGGTTAGATCCCTGCTGTGATTTAATTTTTGATTCACCAATACAATATCAAACCACCTATATAAGCACATTACTGTCATAACAAGAATGTCAATACCATATAAACCCTATTAACTGCCCTGGGCGCTTAGAAAAATTGCGAAAAGGGGGAGGTTTTTATGGTATTCTCTTTCTAATATTTAATCAAATAATATCATATCTGAACTTAAAAAATATTTTGAAAAAAAAAAAAATAAATTCAAAGAATCTCCAAAATAATGTCTAACTTTACTTTTAATGAAGACAATTCCCCCAAACTATGCTAAATGAATCATTTTCCACCTAGAAATTGGATAATAAACAAGTTTCATTTTCACTTATTTCAAATTTTGGAAGACTTTTGATACAATTCTAGATAATTTTAGTGACAGTACAGGGGGCCCTTTAATTTGCTACATTACAATTAAAAAAGACGTTAAACAGAGTCTATAGGACAATATCATTATTGTATATAATTATTTATTATAATGGATTATACGGTAAGTAATTTAGAGAGGATAATATTTCTAGTGAGGGGAGATTTTGCTAATGGAGAGGATAATTCTCTCTCGTAGGCACATCACACTGAAGATTAAAAAATATATTGCATTTTACTTTTAGAAGTTGGTTGCCCTGCTCACTTCCAGTGTCAATCTTCCTAATTCGCCGACTTAGTGAATAGCCAGACAAATATTACCTTCTGGATAGTTTTCCCGGTCACTGATGTGTGGGACTCCTGGCAGGGAGGTAGTGCTTCTATTGTTCGGGGTTAAATGTATATCTATCCCTGGCTGTTCCTCATAACCATACACATCTTGGGGCTTTCTTCTATCTTTGGACGGACTCGTATAAACACAACACGAGTGTTTATTTCCCATTTTTACTTGCTAAAGCTTAACAAAATTGTTTTCATGTCATCAAACATTAAAACGCCCATGCGTTTAATTTTTAAACACAATCACTCAGAAGTTGTTTCAGGCCGGGCCAGCCCAGCTGATCTTGGAGCACCTGCAGAGTGACGGCACGGATCGTTCACTCATTCAGCTTTTCCTGCATTAGCTTTTTCTAAGGTCAACCAATTCACCAAAAGTTACATATTTAAAGATCATCTGCTTCTTCTGCAACTTAATTGTAAATATCTAAAATATCTATCTTCTTTTGGAAACCGGAAATGAATTCATTTTCTCATTGAAGAAAATGTATCATAAATTCTGATTGGTCAAAATTTAGAACAAATAAAGTCGGTCCAAATAAGCAAATTAATTTATCTGGATTTTCGCAGAACCTTGCCCCTCGACCTTCCCCACACGTATAGGCCTAAAAATGCTCCTCTCCTTCACAATGCCATTTTCTTATTTAAAGTTTCTGTTGTTTAGATTAAAGAAAATAACAGGGACCTATATTAATGCTTATCACAATATGCATATTATGATATATGACTTTCATAATTCACATGTGTATTCTTTGTGACAAGTCCTTTCTTTGGGTACCACTAAATTGACCTCTTGACCTTGGAGTTTGACCCACTTTTACACAAAAATTCCAAACTTTACTTTGTTCGTACGTCTCTTCACATATGCATTTTTTGTTGCAAGACCTTTCATTGGATGCCACCAACTTTGACCCTGTGACCTTGATCTTGATGATTTCCATACTTATGAAAAAACTTTAACCTTGGCAATAACTTTTGAACGGTAGGGGCTAGAGCTTTCATACTTCACATATGTATTCCTCGTTAGAAATCCCTTCAATGAATAAAAAGAACTTTGACCCTTTGACCTTCGAGTTTGACCTACGTTTAAAAAAACATTGACCATATCTTTTAAAGGGTTAGAGCTAGTTCTTTCATACTTTATCTATTTAATCTTTGTGACAAGACTTTTCATTTGATATCAATACCTTTGACCCTTTGACCTTGAAGTTTGACCTACTTTTTAATTTTTTTAACCTTGGCCATAACTTTTAAACAATTAGGGATATGGTTTCCATACTTCACATATGTATTTTATGTGGCAAGATCTTTTATTGGATACCAATAACCTTGACCTTTTGACCTTATCGATTTCCGAATTATGAAAAAACATTAACCTTGGCAATAATTTTTAAACGGTTACGGCTAGGGCTTCCATACTTTACATATGCATTCTTTGTGGCAAGACCTTTCATTGGATACCAATAACCTCGACCTTCTGACCTTGAAGATTTCTGTACTTTAAAAAAACTTTAACCTGGTCATAACTTGGAAACAGGTTGTAATAGGGCTTTCATATTTCACAATTTTTCGTTACACCTCACTAACATATTGACAGTAGTGAAGGGAAAACTTCAAGATTACTGTGCAACAGTATATTCAATAAGTGGTGAGAATCAGATGTGGATACTCAAAAATTCCAAAGAACTTTTGGACAATTTGAAATCACAAGATTTTACCAAAATCAACAGCTTCAAAACTTACGACTTTTCAACTTTATACACAACCATTCCCCACGATAAATTAAAGTCCAGGCATTTTGATATCATTGACAACTGCTTTTTCAATAAAAATGGAACTCGTAAATTCACTTACCTGGTCATTGGTCATTTGCAAAACTATTTTGTTAAAACACATTCTGATTGCACACACAATTACTCTGAAGTTGACATTAAAAAATGCTTGAATTTCTGATTGACAATATCTATGTGGTTTTTGGAGACCAGGTCTTCCAACAATCTATTGGAATTCCCATGAGTACCAATTGCGCTCCGTTATTAGCAGACCTATTTTTGTATTCATATGAAGCAGAATTGGTGCAAAATCCTATGCGTGAACAGAAGAAAACACTTGCTGTGGCCTTCAACTCGACATTTAGATCTTTATATCGACGACGTATTGTCAATTAATAATGATAATTTCCATTCCTACGTCGATACGATATATCCTGGAGAGCTTGAGATAAAAGATACCACAGAGACTGACCCACATCTGTTTCATACTAACTTGGATATTTTACTTGAAAAAAAAAAACGTTAATTGTAATCTAACAACCAAGCTGTATGATAAACGTGATGACTTTGTCTTTTCTATCGTCAAATTCCTTTACTTATGCAACAATATACCTTCATCACCTGCATACGGAGTGTATACTAGTATATCTCAGATGATTCGATACGCAAGCGCATGCTCTACGTATGAACAATTTCTAAAACGCGGTAAATTATTGACAAGCAAGTTGATGAAACAAGAATATCAGCAGTCTCGTTTAAAGCCATCATTTCGTAAGTTCTATGGTCGATACAATGACCTTGTCAGCAAATACAATTTATGTTAAAGTCGAAAACTGATTGACGTTCTTCATACTAATTGTTAGTCCAGTATTTTTCATTGAATTGACGACGAATTTTTCCGTTATTTCCCGATCATGACAAGGAGCACACGGCGGGTGTGACCGGTCAGCTGGGGATGCTCACTCCTCCATGTTATCTGATCCTATCTTTGGAGGTCCGTGTTTGCTCTGCTCCTATTTTGTATTGTTTTATGACTTTGATATTAAATACTGTTCGTTATCTCCATATCCTTCTTCCAGTTAGGAGACCCTACTTTGGGTAATTATATATTAAATTTGCACGTAAGATAAGTTTAATCTTCACTATGTGCCATACGGGGGCAGCAGTAGGGCTGGGTAAAAATTCGATATTTCAATATATTGCAATACAATGACAAAAATATCGTATCGCAATACAATATTTTGTAATATCGATATATTGGCAATATGCTTAGATTGAGGAATTTTGTCATTAAATGTAAAAACAGACTTATGAAAGTTTGTTATTGAGCCAAACAGTAAGAGAGAAGTTGTTTTTTGGGAGCATTTCAGAACATCTTTCATTTTTTTCGTGTTGGTTACTTAGTTATGTACATTCTGCAGGTAAATAAAATATCATACATAATTTTAAATTATTTCTTCACCAAAAAATCAATCAGGGAGGCTCGATCCTGTGCTTTTGAGTCGATTTTGGTCTGGACCTTTATTTCTAAAATTCTGCATTATTTTTTTAGTTTTAAAAAACGCAATTATACACTGTAGTCCATTCAATTAGGACTGAGCCAGGAACTCGGTTTTGTGGCGGAAGGTTTTATAGAAGAAAATGATTAATTTTTACTTTTAGAACTATTTACATTATTGTTTATTTGAGATACCTATTTTTCCATGCTGGTTGCACATGCTGGTTGTTTTTTGATAATAATAATAATTAAAAAAAAAAACCAAAAAACAAACAAACAAACAAAAAATACGTTATGCTTGTTCTGAAATATCTATTGAATCAGTTTTTATGAATTCTTTTGACGCATTATAACAAATATAGAAAATATTCTTAAAGTCCAGGGGGAAAAAAATGAGCCAATTTTAACATAAAATTGACAAATTTTTGGTAATATCTAAAAATTAACATCATATACCTCGACTTTTGGTGTTATTTTCTGAATGTTTAAGATAACTTAAAAATAATTTTCAATGACAGAAAAATAACTTTTTGTGAGTGCAGAAAGGTCAATAATTGATTATGTGAAGAATTTTTAAATCTTCGGTCACATCACAAAAACTGCCTATAGTAAAGTGTGTCATTACATAGTTTTGACAGCCCCGTTTAAAAAAAATTTAGAAACTGTGCTGTAGAAGCTAATCGCTGGGTCGACTTTGAATGAGCAACAAAATTCGTTTTTATCCGATAGTTATTTTTCAAACTTTTTTAAAACCGGAAGTAAGGATTTCCCGCGTGCAAGCGGTTTTTGTCAACAAACAAAGTGAAAAAGAAAGATTGTAAAAAAGAGCCTAAATTGTATAAAATCATGAAATTGATGGACTGAAATTGACTGATATGATTCACTAGTGGTGTTTTTAAGGATCTTAAACAATACAGGTTTGTGATTTCACGGTGTAAATAACTTTGAAACCTGTTGCATGCGGTCAGTGAAGGAGTGATTTTGGTGCAAAGCTTTGGGGCCATGGATTGATATTAAATAATAGTTGAGAATGAAAATTAAATATGATAGCTCATATGGGTTACTTAACAGCTTAAAGAAGGCGTAATTTTCGGACAGACCATATATGATTCTACTGCTGTCAGAAACATGTAGACCCCCCCCCTTCTCAGCTGCAGATTTGTATAGCACCTGTAAAGAAATGTGGGATACAGGACCATAGAGATACAATTCATTGATTGGATTAAAATTTATTTACTGGTCACAGTTTGAGTAAAATACCTTATAGCGTCATACTTCAACACCAAATGTTTCACCATGGAAATATCATCAGACTTGAAGTCAAGTTGAACAGGTTGATCCAGTCCAGAGACTAATTCTACCTACGTACTACGTAGTAGGGCTGGGTATTGGCCTGAGATTTCATATTGCGATATGTTTTGCAATATTTTCAATGTAATTAAAATGGCATTTTCTTACTATATTTATTTTAATTTACATGCAGAATGTACATAACTGATAAGTAATCAACAGGGAAAAAATCTTGTTGATTACATTAAGTTATGCTCTGAAATACTCCCACAAAACAACTTGTCTTACTGTTTAGCTTAATATCAAACCTTTCATACATCCATTTTTATATTTAATGATAAAATATTCCTTAATCTAAGCTGCTAGCATATTGCCAGTATATTGATATTACAAAGACGTATTGCTATACAATATTTTTTGTCATTGTATTGCAACATATTGAAGTATCATTATTATTGCCCAGCTTTACTATGTAGGTATGTTAATCTACTCAAAGTAGCTATTTTTACTTACTTTTTGTATTTTCTGCATTTTGTGGCTAAAAGACCAAATGGCCCAACATGGTGAATACCATATTTTTTGATACAGTCACACAAATGATGAATACAGCAAAATTTTGACTAAAAAATGATTACTTCATGAATCGGCAATTCTACTGAAACATAAGTTTCTATGCAGAATCAATAATATACGAAGTATAATCATTTTTGGCCAAATTTTTGTCATACATGTATCCATCATCAGTGTGACTGTATCAAGAAATTTGTGCTCATCATGTTCCTGCGTTTGGCCACAAAATGCAAGTAAAGCAGAAAGTAGGTAAAAATAGCTACTTTAGGTAGGTTAACATACCTACGTAGCAAAGCTACGTAAGTAGAAATACAGTCTTGTTGAAATCCGTCGGTCCTGTCGGCAAGGCCGGTAAAAATTTGTCTGGACCGATAACATTTTGTCCCAAAAAGAAAAAAAAAGTTATTGTACCTTAATTTGTTGTAAATATAAAAGTTGACAAAATAATCTTTATTTTGAAGTTACGTAATGCAAATTTAATAAAGGTCGGGTAAATATACATGTATTTAAAACACTTTCCTGTCATTGAAGGTCACAAACACAGAAAAAAATGGCCGCATATGCGGCATGTTGACGATAGCCAAGTAAATTTGTTATCACAAAGTCATAAAACATTTCATGATATGTCTATTTTAAAGACTAATCTATCCCAAGAAAGGAAACTTGTTAGATTGAAGGCTATTGAAAATAATAAGGGGCATTTTGGTGCTGTTATTCATATGACTTTCTCAGCGTCAAAATAAGGTACAAGCATCTGGTCTGACAAAACTTTGACTGGTCCGACAAAACATTTGACTTTGTCAGACCAAATGTCTGACAGTGATGAAAAAATTTCGACAAGTCTGGAAATAGTCTTAGGGTTGGACCTGATAAAGGCTTATGTCACTAGAAAAATTTTTTTGACTGGTCTCTCAGGCTATCACCTTAAATTTTAACTGATCAACTCGGCATTTTCACTAACCCACCAGGTCAGTAGATTTTTAAAAGACTAGCCATAAACCATATAAATGATAACAATATTTTGTGAAGGCCTTTACACAAGTGCATGAAAGTTAACCAGTATGTAATGGTTTGAGCCATAGATATTGGCCTGGGTAGCTTAGTCAGTAGCACACCTGAATTGTCATGCAGGGATCATCGGTTTGATTCCTGGGTCATTAAACATTTTCTCCTTACACCTGTTACAAATGTCTCAGTATCTCAGTGTCTAGTGGTGGCATGTTATGCCAGAGGTCTTTGGTTTAAGACCAGACCTATTGATCATGTGTTTCCATTACCATGTGAGTAAAAAATGTTTTTTATCTTTAATCATACAGAATGACAGGATACCAGATAGAAACCAATGGCGAGCTGAAATACTCGGGGCTAGAGTCTGGCACCACTAACTGGAAACAGGGTACCATGGTTCTACACTGTAAAGACGGACCATGGAAACTAGATCTCTATATCAACTGTAACAGGACTGGACCAATCAAGTCCTACCAGGTAGTTCATTGTGACTTTTTAATCCAAGGTGTTTAGGTTGTAAAATTTACCTTGGATGGGTTTCAAATCAGCATTTCTTTGCATTTTTAGATTAACAGCAGCTCCGTCAAGAAGACCATTCTGAAGGAGAAGAATTACTTCCTAGAACTAATGTTGAGAAGTGGGGCCTGTAATATTTACTTCAGACCAGACAACAGAAGTTACCTGAAGATGAGAGAGTTAGATGCTGTGGTGCAAGACATCAAAAACAAGAAAGTAGAACAGAAACAAACCCCAAGTAAAGGTATTAACAACAAAGTATTAATGGTTTTCAAGGTAAATCTTGGGTGTAAAACCAGGTCTCATTTAATTGTTGATTTTGTAGATAGAGGTGTGGTCTCCAGACCAGGTCTGTTAGGAAATAGCCCCATGTCACAGAATGTGAAAACTCCGAAACAAGAAGCTATACCACAGCAGTTTACAAGGTAGATTCTCTCATAAAAAAATACAGGGTACGAGTATCATAAATCAAAATAATGGCTGATAATATTATAAATAAATATCGCAGTGTAATGCTTAAAAGGTTTAGGATTATTCTTTTCTGTATTCTCATGTGGAGCAAGTACATGTATGCACAACTTGAGCTTTTCTTTCTTTTATAAGCTGTAGGTAGTTAAAATTGGTTATACTTATGCATAAATATCAACTCTGTAACCTATGTATACAAAGCCTAATCATAGCTTGAAATCTCCAATTGATATCATAAAGAACTTTGAAATTTTAGTTTTGTTTTCAGCATGAAGGAACCTCCATCTAAAAGGGAAGACCACGTGTCACTGTACTGCGAGGAGGAGTATAATGAAAATAACGGGTAAATACAAGTAATCAAGGAGTTAAACATTGAGAGTATTTTGGATTTTATGCAGATATTGTGACGTTCTTTATAGATACAGCTTTACTAAGTTAGAAATAAAATGGTTCCCAATTTCATTTTCTCAAATAAAGTTTATCCCTTGTAGGTCAGAGAAGGAGAATTTTTTGTTCCGTGGTCTAGAGAAGAGTGATGCTATAACTAAACAGTCTAGCTCTGTGGACACAATCCGTACACCCAACTTTTATAATTCATCTAAACACACCTTATTTCCTGGCTATTCCTCTGCAAGGTAATAAAGGTCACCAACAAATGAATCAAAAGAACCTATCTGTTTTGTACGTAAAGCTTTAAGGCTTAAGAATTGTTGTTCTATTTATTCTACAGTGTAGGATCCTCGAGCAAAAAGCTGGAGCTGATGCCAGATCCCACTCCAAGACTCTCCACGGGAGTTAATTATTCCTGGTCCAAGAACAAGCTCTCTCTACCCCAGAAAGATAGCACTCAACTCTCAGGGTATGTTGTAATAATTTTTTTTATTGGTTGAATGTTCATATTCATTTTAAAGATTATATATTAAATATATAGGATTTTGAATAAATGGACTGCATTCATATTGCTATTTAGGTACATTACATGAAATGCAGTGAATGATTTCTTGCAGATTTTCCAACCTTGGCAACACCTGTTACATGAATGCTATTCTCCAGTCTTTGTTTCACTTGGAACCTTTTACAAGAGATCTAGTCCAAATAAATCGTAAAATCTCACGAAGTCTACCTCAGCAGTCCCTCTATCAGTAAGTCTAACTTACAAGTCAATGTACAGTACATAATCGCCTATAAGTCAGTTTTTTGGGGTTAAATTTTAGTCATAAATTCTATGTCAGACTTATAGGCGAGTCATAAAGAGATTGGTATTTTTCTGGACGCTGAAATTTCTGACAATTATCGAAGAAAATGTCTGCATACATGTATACATGAAAAATGTATTCTTAGATTATACATAAAGAACAAGTATTTAGGCTACATAAAATTGAAATTCTTGTTATCAGGCTCGCGTGCATCCGTTTTGAGGTAGCCGCATTGCTAATTTTATTGTATTTTTGATAAAATAAAAAGTTAGTATTGCGGAAACCAATCATGAAAAAAAAGTTCCGTCCTAATTTTTCGTAGTTTAGTAATCAAATATCACTTCTGATAGCCTTTGCAATGAGATTTTGGCTCCTTCGATTGAAAATACATTGGAAGACATTGCCTATGATGATCACACGCTGGTAAGCAATGGATAAAGTTAACCTTTTGGTCAGACATGGAAAGTATATCTGTGAATAAAAAAATTAATCTTTATTTGGAAGAAAATTCGAAAATTAAATTAAAAAAATACCTCCCTTATCTACTTGATTGCCATTAAATGATAAACAAAATGCCTCCCGTCCGCATCTCTTTTGGAGAAAGTTGGCCCAAGAACCAGAGAATTAAATTTGTATAGCCTTACATATTTAATTTTTTTCTTGTATCTTAAGTGTGCATTACTTATTTGTTAAATGAAACCAAGTTAAAACATCAATGGATTTACTTGAAATTGTTACCTGGTTTTGGCAAAAAAAGTTACCGACTTATATTAAAGCGGGTGAATGGCAGATCCCACCGAAATAACGTCAAAAAACACAACTGACTTGTAGGCGGACCGACTTATAGGCGAGTATATACGGTACATCATAAGTCATTGTATCATTATTTGATTAAGTTAACTTTTCAATCCATTGAAACACTAGGTGTACCTCACAAGTCAATATTCATCATAAAGTGTACAAGTCATTGTGTCATTAAGTTTACCATTCAAGTTATTGTAACACTAGGTTTACCTCGCATGTCAATTCATCTCGCAAGTCATTGTATCAGTAGGTGTACCTCACAATTCATTGTATCATTAAGTCATTTTCAAGACATTGTAACACTAGGTTTACCTCACAAGTCAATGCCTCACAAGTTATTGTATCAGTAGGTGTACTTCATAAGTCGTACCGTAAATCTGAAAATTTTTATGTCAGTTTTATTTTGCGAATCTGGGCCAAAAAGCTGTTGATTAATTTTACGTTTCAATATGTTGCAAATGACCACTGCTTTGTTTACATTTTATTATTGTTGATTTGTTTTTAAGAAAAAAAATTTTGTGATTCAGATCATTGGTACGGCTTCATGGCTCCCGAAAGCGGATTTTGTCAGACATTTCCAAGAGGGATTTACTCAGGAATGTTAAACAAGCAATATCCACAAGTGCCAAAAGATTCTCTGGCTACCAGCAACATGTGAGAACTAGTTTGATAGATAATGAAATATCTTTGGTTGACAAAATACTGAAATATCTTTGGTTGACAAAATTCCTAGTGAAGCTTAAGGCATGGAATACATTATAATGCATTCATTCTCTTAATCAGTATTTTATTTTCGTATTATGCAATTGTCTCGTTAAAGTTCTTTCAGGTGCTTTTTTCTTAGTTTTGATATGAGTAAAACTTCTTTCATGCTTAGAAAATTGAAGTCCCATGATTCTGCATATTAGTAACAACAGATTCATAAAGCTAGTACAGTGTATTTGTTTATTTACGACAGGATGCCCATGAATTTCTGAACCAGGTCTTGGATCAGTTAAAAGAAGAAGTAGCCAAAGTGATGAAGTCCACACCCAGTCCAAGCCGCAGTCCAAGGGAGATAACTGACACTGTAGATCTCATTAACCCTACACTGCAGAATTTTGAATTTGAAGTCACCCACTCAATTTCCTGTACAAAGTAGGCGGCTTCACTTCATGTGTTACATTCTTGCTTCTGTATAGATAAAAGTGAATATAATGGATGTGGCAAGAGTAATTTGCAATCAATTGCATTGGTCATTGTTCTAAAATATTATTGAAGGTGTTGGTGTCATAATGCACCTGTAGAAGAAAAGAACACAGATTAGTTTGATTTGAAAATGTAATAAGTGTAACATCACACAAACTGAGCATATTGCATAACCTTACTTTACTGAAAAAAAATCTTAAATATTGATTGACGGAAATACTACAGGTGACTAATGGATTGATTTTAAAATAATATATGTAGGTCTAATTGGTTAAAAAATGATAGTAAGATTTTAGTATTGTCAATGTAAACTAACTTTTGAAGGTTTCAGTATATTTCAAACCCTGTTTAATTTGGACTACGGCATTAGGCATCACAACTCTAATGGATATTTTTGACATTTTCATAAAAAGCCAAAACTTTACATGGAAGATGCCATAGAAAGCTTTTCAGAATTTTAATTATTTTTTTCAGTTGTTCAGAAAAAGTGACAAAAGCGGAGCAGTTCTATGACCTCTCCCTGGAGATGCCAAGAAAGAGGTAAAACCACAATTAGGGTACAAGCTTTCTTATCAGTAAGGCCTCTCTGCCATGAAACCATTTACAAGCAAAGGAACATATAAATGGTTGACATCTTTGTGTGTGGTAATTAAATATTGACAGTTTTGATGTATGGATATATTGTAAGAGGTTACTTTGATGGAATTCAGCATTTCTTTTACAGAACTGGATCTGCACCCTGTACAATCCAGAATGCATTAGACCTGTTCTTCAAGAAGGAAGCCATCGAGTATAGATGTGAAAAATGTGGCTGCTGTAAAGCCGAGGTTTCTCACAAATTCACCAGACTACCTAGGTGAATTATCCTCCAGTCTCAGATGAAGGGAGATACAAATTCTTCATCTCTGTTTGCTGTTATTTCTCCATTATATTGTGACAAAATTGGGACTTGTATATATATGATAGAAAGATCTTTTACTTGTAATACCAAAGAATGTTGAAAACCCTAAATAAGAAAATGAGGTTATGTAGCAATATAAAATTCTTGTTTATTTCATAACTTTGTTAAAGATCATGGAAAAATGTCTAAAGTTATTGAAAAACTAGCATGACTACATTATGATTTGTGTTTAATTTTTCAGGGTATTGATTTTGCATCTGAAACGTTACAATTACAACACCTCGTCCACAGTCCAGTCCAAGATGTTACAGAACATAGTGATTCCTAAGTACCTCAGCCTACATCACCATTGTGTGGAGGATACCAGTAAACCCTACCCCATCAGCTGGCCCCTCCCCATCCCAAGGTACTCCTCAGGACATGTGATAACAGTAGTGTGTTTAGTCACATTTTTGACAGATAAGTTTATAGAAGTACATGCTGTCATTGCTATGAAATCACCAATTATCCATATCAGTGCTACTATTATTGTTCTTTGATGGTTCTATGGAAGGATTTAAAATTTGTACACATATTATTCACCATATGAAGTTGTGAGATATTTTCGAATATATTGCAAGGATGTACTTTTATTATTCAAATGAAGGTGTGCAAATGGTTCATTTTTCTGCATTTTACTTTTTTAAAATTTTAATTGACTTGTTCATTTTGGGCTCATGTTTAAGGTTTGAACTACTAGAATATCTGTACAAAAACGTGAACTACAGCTTAAAACTACTCATAAAAACTTAAAAAAGAAACATAAGGGAAATAGTCTTGTCTGACAGAAATTTGAGACTTTTTCTATATTATATTATACATTTAAGTTATAAAATACACTTATTTTCAAGACTCTTTGTTACAAGTGATTTTTAATTACTTTTTTTAGTCCGCAGAAAAGCTTGGTTGAATCCCCTAAAGAAAGCACTCCCAGGCGCAAACTAGACATGAACAACAGGTATATTGTAAAAAAAAAAAAAAAAAATTATGTTTTTAGGTCACCTGAGTAAACTCAGGTGACCTATTGCTATCTGTTTTCGTCTGTCGTCCTGTGTTAACATTTGAACATTTTCAGCTTCTTCTCTGCAACCACTCGACCAATTTCCACCAAATTTTACATAAAGCATCTATGGGTGAAGGGAAACAAAAATTGTTAATTTCATGGTCCCTGCCCCCCCTGGGGCCTGAGGGGCGGGGCCAAAACCACTAAAATTAGTTCAATCTTTAAAAATCTTCTTCTTTACTCCTGGACATCAAGCAGTCAAACTGTTAGCATGAATGTAATGGCCATTGAGTCCTCTACCAAAATTGTGAAATTCAGGGTCCCAGGGTCAGGGGTTCTATTGCTAGGGTGGGGCTCTATTGATTATATAGTGAAAATGCATTATTTTTTTTAAAAAATCTTCTTCTCTGCTCCTGTATATCAAATAAACTAACCAAGTACATATTTATGATGAGGAAGAATGCCTTTTGCAAAATTGTGAATTTCATGGCCCCAGGGTCAGAGGTTCTAGTGTAGGGTGGGGCTCTATTGATTATATAGAGAAAATGCAGAATTTGTTTGAAAATCTTCTTCTCTGCTGTTGGGTATTCAACAAACTAAGTATATAGTAATGATGAGCAAGAATGCTTCTTTCAAAATTTTGAGTTTTATGGCCCTAGGGTCAGGGGTTCTGGTGTTAGGGTGGGGCTCTATTGACTATATAGTGAAAATACATTAATTCTTTGAAAATCTTCTTCTCTGCTCCTGAGTATTAGATAAACTAACTAAGTATATAGTTATGATCAGCAAGAATGCCTCTTCCAAAATTGTGAATTTTTATGGCCCCAAGGTCAGGGGTTCTGGTGTTAGGGCAGCGCTCTATTGATTATATAGTGAAAATAGATCATTTCTTTAAAAATCTTCTTCTCTGTTCCTGGGTATTAAATAAATTAACTTAGTACAGTTATGATGTGGAAGAATACCTTTGTGAATTTTATGACCCTAGGGTCAGGGGTTCTGTTGTTAGGATGGGGCTCTATTGGTTATATAGAGAAAATACAGAAATTGTTTGGAAATCTTCTTCTCTGCTCCCGGGTATTAAGCAGATGAACTACCTATATAGCTATGATGAGCAAGGGCCATTCTTCCTGAATTGTGAATTTCAACACCCCTGGGTCAGGGGTACCATAGAGGGGGCTCTACTTATATACTGGAAATGAATTAATTGATTGAAATCTTCTCCTTTGTATTAATCAAATATTTTTGATAAGTAAGGGTGCCTTTTCCAAAACTGTGAAATGTGTGGACCAAGGGTCAGGGGTTCATGTGTGGTAGTGGCACTATACTGATTATTGCTGAATATTACTGATTAGTCGAAATGCATTTTTTTGTTCCCCTATTCTGTCTATGGGTATTAAGTAACCAAACTAAACATGCTAAGTGTATAGTTATGATTAGCAATGGTGCCTCTTTCAAAATTGTGAATGCCATGACATCTAGTTTAAAACATGAACCAAAGTCAATCATTGTAAAGTTGTTGCATGATGCTCAGGTGACCTATAAGGCCCATGGGCCTCTTGTTTAATTTTGTATCTTATTATTTGTTTAAATATACAGTAATACATGTTTATAATGAAGTGCCAGGGATGGGTGATTTTGCTTTGTAATAAGTATAATCTGTTATGTCCATCAAGTTAACAATATGCATCAGTTCATCATAAGTATGTTCACTATTACCATGTTTTACTATACAATGTAAATGTGATTTTATTTGTTTCAGTTTTAAGTTTAAAAAGTCCAGAGTTCTCCCACTTTTTGATTCTGATGAGGACATTTCTTTAATAAGTTCTCCAAGCAAAAAACAGAAACTAGAAGATAACCAGGAAAATTCAGAGAACACGGTTAGTGGCTCCATCATTAGAAGAAAAAAAATGGAATATTAGCATGTGATAATTGAGTTTCAATTTTTTTGTTTGTTTATTAAAATACTGTTTTATTTTCAGGAGAAGAAGAGAGAACCCTTTAAGACTTTAACCCTAGCTGATACACAGGAGGATCCAGACCTGGCTAAGGCCTTAGAGTTGTCCCTACAGGAGGCCAACGAACGGGCACAGGTATCTGGTTTATAGACATAATATAATATAGACAGGTAGCAAGTTTACAGGCACACTATAATGTAGCAGTGGTATTAACTTTACAGACTCGTTATACTGTATACAGGGTTATATTCGCCCTTTTGCGCTTGCGGACAATTTAGCCCCTTTTGAATTTGCCCAGTCATAATTCTGTTTAAGAAATTATGCTGTGTAATTTGAGTTCGCCCGGTTTTAAATTTGCCCAATCAAGAAGAGGGCACAATGGGCAAAAATAAAACGGGGGTGAAATTTTTCCTGTATACAGTAATTGCCCAGCTGTATGTAGAAGTGGTGCATTTTTTTCACCTCAAGCCAGTTTTTGCCCTTCATCTCATTTGTAATGTTTTTACAGCAAGACCAGTATGGTGATGAGGTAGATGGAGGGGGGATAGAGGAGTCCGACTTCCAGAAAGCCCTGGAGATGAGTCGACTTGAGTCTGCTCAACCACAGCCTGATCACGGTACATTTATCTGCATGCTTGTCCTTCAGAAATTCATACTGAATGCTAGTTTTTAGCTCCAGCTAAATGTAAAAACCACCAACAGATTTATCAATTGATTCATAGTCATTTGTGCCTTATATAACAGAGGATAGAAACAGCACATTACAAATTCATTTATAAATGGCAAACTGCACTGGCAATAATTGTCTACAGTCATTTCTTATCCAGCTAACTGACATAATATACATGTCAATTGAGTTATTTCAGAATATAAACCAATTACATATAAATTAACTAAAGCATGTTAGATGCTCACCTTTTAAAAAATGTATAAATATAGCTAGATGTAATATGATAAATTATTTGGTCACATTTGTAAGACATTTGGTATTTTGTAGATTATGATTCTGGTCTCAATGGAATGTCAGAGGAAGAACAGATGAGGATTGCCATAGAGCAAAGTATGAGAGAATTCGAACAGACAAACTACCTACCGGATCCCGAAGAGGAGGAGGAGAACCAGTACAAGGGAACCAGTGATATAGAACAAACTCCGCAAAACAAGGGAGGGGACATAATCAAACAGTGCAGTGCTCTAGTGTATGAGACGTGCTTACAGAATGGACTGGAAAATAATGACAAAAACCGAGAGACCGAGGACTCTAAAGATAAAACTGAGGAGGACTCTGTGACGTACAGGTCAAAGTATTTTGTCGCAAAAGAGAAATGCAATGTCTGTGATACAAACAAAGCGGGGAATTCTTCTAAGGAGGAGGAGTGTAAGTGTAAAACGGACGCTTCTGACTGTAACGGAAATGACATCAGCAGTGGCAAGTCTCTATTGAATGGGGGGAGTATAAAGCAAGAAGGCAGCTTTGTCCCTAAACTGAGCACTGCAAGTGATTTCAAGTCCATGTTTGATGATGATGACTTTGACCAAGGTACAGCTGTACATGTGTCTGTACAGTATTATTACAAATATTTACTTACAAAGTAAAAAGTAGATAAATTTGTAAAATGACAAATCACTAATTTCTGATGTCAATAGATAACCCTTATTTTCTGTGACAGATGTGTTACTGCTGGATGAACCCTGGTGCTCCTCGGAGGACAAAGAAAATAAGAAGCCCTCATCTCCCGTGGAGGAGGACACCTGTCTGATTGAGGAGCTCCCGATCATTTGTAATGAGGTAACAGAAACGTTCATATAATCACAGAATGTACAATCTTAAAGATTTCATAAACATTCTTTTCCCCCCCCCATCTGCCTCAAACATCTAGAGAGTGATCTTGGATAAAGGGTCTTTTTTTTCCTTATGTCCTAAAGCTAAATTGGGGGCATTTTGAATGGTCACTGTTTCATCAATGTCTAGCTTGATTTGTTAAATCTCTGCAGCATGGAAATGTCAGTAAATAATATCGATTTGAAAAAATGAAATAGGGGAAAGTTTTTACATAAATTGATGTACCTTGATTATGAAAAGCTTTGTAAGATATACTGAAATTGATTTCTGTTGTGTATTTCAGAAAGGAGATATGCCTCAGTCCTACCGTCTGGTCAGTGTAGTCAATCACATAGGAGCCAGCTCATTTGTTGGTGAGAAAAATTTCCCGTTGCTGATAAAACTTATAGTTACAACAAAAAAACTTTCACTATTTTAAGACTTTTAAGATTGCTTTACTTTTAAATTGTATACCATTTTAGTATACAAAAATTAAAGTAAAATTTTAGTAAATTTCTCCATTGACATTAAATTTTTACAAGAAAGAATACTCAACAGAAAAATTGTACACATAATTCTTTATGAATATTCCTTTTATATGTATATGTAAATTTTGAATTGTTCACTGGTTTGGAAGTAGAAATGTCATTAATGATGATGTACAGAGATCAATATTCAATCAGATCTACAGTGAAGGGAGAATGTTTGTTGGGACATCATATCAGTGTCATCTTTTTGTTTTTATAGAACATTACATCATTGATATCTTTTCTATTAGAGACATTTTTTTCTAATTAAGGACATTACATCAGTGACGTCTTTGATGCAGAGAAAAGTTGCTGGTACAGCTTTGATGACTCTCATGTCTCGAAAACAACAGAATCAGAAATTAGGTCAAGTCGACAGAGAAGTGGATATATATTCTTCTATCTTAACAAGTAGGTTACCTAATCATTTTAGTAGAAGGCTCCTGCTATGCAGGTGCTTTATAGGAGTCTGTCTGCCCTCCTGATGTTACTTGTCTGAAGTTTTAATTCTCTTTATGTTGCCCATGTGGCTTTAACTTCAGTCTCAAGAGTACTCATAGGAACTGGTGTGCAGTGATCTTAATCCAAATTCTATATAAGGATTCAAAGTCAAACAGCTTTCAGGCCTAATCTGGCTGTTACATGGGCTTCTCTGAAGAATTAAAATACTGTCAAACCTAGTTATTTTGGTGAAATCTGAAAAAAAAAATAGATGAACAATCAATATATTCAGTGATCTAAAATTTCAAGGTTAAAATACATAGAGAAAAACTGATCGGGACTTTTTACTTATTTTGACGAATGCCTAGTATTTCAGGCATTAAAGTTCAGATAATGAAAATTATTGTGTATTGATATGGTGTAGTTTCTGTAGTTGAATATGTTGCTTGATATCCAAATACATACTCATATAATTGTTTTCTTCTTTTTTTTTTCAGGGACATTTATGAAGATTTGACCCAGCATTTGGAATTGACCAAACACAACACTCAAGTTTAAAGTAGAAATGATTTGTTTATAGATAATATATATATAAGTACATGAGAAGATGTACTTTATGTTATTTATTTTTTACCAAATGAAATGAGTTGATTTTAATAAATTTATATAATTCTCAATTTTTTGTATCATTTTTAAGGATCTCTTGGTAAATAACTCCTTGTGTATCATCAATAAAGAAAACACCTTATACTTGTAATGAACAAAGAACAATATTTTGAAGTTGATGACACACTACCAGGACCATCCTTTGCATGAATTTTATATTTACCGGGTAGGTGTATACTACCAATTTAGTTTCAAATTCCAGATTGATTGATTGATTGTATATTTGTTTAAGAATTTTTCACTCATATGGAGACGCCATCACTTGCCAGTGGAGAGCTACAAATTTTGTCCTATACTCGGCACTCAGGGCTATTGAGCAGGGAAATTCAGATTGATGTGAATAAGCTACCACAACGAAATGAAAAAAACTAGAGTCATAAATGGCTATTTGGAGCTCATATTAAATATATTAAGTACTGTAAAATCAGAAATTTTCATGGGGTAAAATTTTCGTGGTTTGAGGAAAAACTCTTGGTTCATAGGGATTTAATTTTATGAATAAGAAGTAAGTAGTTCTGTATGTAACATTTTACATTTCGTGGTGAACATGAATTTGTTGGTCTCCTTATACTTTGAAAACCCTGTGAAAATTTGTGATTTCACAGTATATGATGCTACGTACCAGGACACTTAGCCTGAAAAACTTTATATTTCGGTGAGAGTTAAGCCCCAATGATCTCTTCTTTTAAATGTGAAGATCAGCAGAATCAAGGTGAGCATTATACTGAGTAAGTGGAATTTTAGGGAGGTGCAAGTTTAGCGATTTCTACCTGAAATCTGGTATTTTATTTTTAGCAAGAAGTAATTTTAGCGATTTATTTTTAAATGCCAACTAACGAAGCTTTTAAAAATAATAAGAAATTAATTTTTAGCTACCAGTATATTCAATTTTAGCGAAGCCAGCACCTAATAATGCCAAAATTAATTCCACTCGAAAAATTCTACTAATATGGTACATGTATATGACCTATGGCATGAGATTCTTGTTTATGTTATCTCCGGTCTCTGCCAATGGTCACTTGATGATGGAATATGTTTGTACTTTGACTTGAGATCAAACAAATAGTGCTTCATATGTATGTTTGGATCATGTACACAGTCTTGACACAGAGATGTTGAACAAAACATTTGAATACCACAAAGAAGGTAACGATTTAGGATGAAGTTGCCAAAAGTTTATGAATGTGTGATTCATTTTCGGACCCATATCAAGGTTTTCTCCAATTTGTTACGGATTTTTAAAAGTACAGTAAAATCTCAAATCAATTTATAGACTGGGTTCACAGTTTGGGTATGTTTCTGACATTTCCAACCCTAGAAGGCTCAAAGGATTTCCTGCAAAATTGACTAAGTATCTCAAACACTGATATCATTACCATGGAAATGTTGCATTGAATTGGAAGTTCAAACCACTTTTTATAACATCGCTTGAAAAGTGGGAGAGCATGTCCATCCACCTGTTGGGATGTACACAAATCTCTTAACTGCAACTCCTCTAAAACTACTGAATGAAATTTAACGAGACATTCACAGAATCTTGGTTACATAGTGCCATTGTGAACTATTTTACTCTTTAATCAAGTGACACTTATTTCGAGTCTTACAGAGTTCAACACGAACTCTGCAATTATAGTCATATGGGAGGCAAGGGTATCATTAGGGCCCCGCAAGGATTTGCGGGTGCCCTATAGTAATCACTCTGTTCGTCCGTCTGTCTAGCTGTCTGTCTGTCCGTCTGTCACTCTTCCGTCCACAAATTTTCTGTTTTTTTCTAATAACTTTTTTTATGGTTGCCCAATCAAGTTCAAATTTGGTATGATAGTTCAGTAGACAGAAATACATATTTTGATGCTAAGTTTGGTTCTCTATGTCCCCTGGTTTGGAGCTGGGGTGGTGGGGTAGATTCCTTAACTTTATATACAAAAGCATTGGCAAAGAGAGATAACTGCTGAAGATGTTCCTATTGTAAAACTGAATGCTGCTATGAGTCCCTTGGGATTAATTAGCTTTCCTCCTGAAGAAAATCCAGAGCATTATCTTTATCTGTCAAATTGAGATGAATTACCACCTCTGTCTGCAAATGAAGTTTGTTTTGAAGTTAAAGTCAATTTGGAATGCTATGAACACTCTGAAATGTGGATTTAAATATTATAATTTTGTATAATTTATATTTGTTAAATAGTTATGATTTCATTGAATTCTAATAACAAGAAATAGATTAAAGAAGATTTTTTGATTTACTTTTTTCACTTTATGTTAATTCAAGATATTATTAATTTTTAGAATAGTTGTATAAAAACCCCATTCTATCATTAATACTGAAAAAGTTCTTATTGTACTTTAGAAGAAAATGATGAGAGAGGTACAATTAATCCCTTGGGATTAATTATCTAGCCAGCTGCAGAAAATTTAGTAGGCTTTTCTTTATTCTGTCACTTTAAGATTAATGAAAACCTTTGTCTGCAACTGCTGTTTGTTTGAAGTTAAGGTCAAGCCTTCATGATATTTGCACTCATTCAAGGCTGGCATTTTATATAACACAAATTCTTCATAATTGTTTAAATATACATTAAGTTGTTCTTTACTGCCTACTGTAAATACAAGGATATTATTTTCAGGTTTTTGAATATTCAGGAATTATCTTGAAAATTTAAGAATACAGTTGCTGTTGCTTATTCATCATACATTTTTTAATCATTCCGTAAGCTGCACCCTTCTAATTCTACCCCATGGCGGGGCCCTTGCTGACTGGTCAGTTTTCTAGTTTATTTTAATTTGTAATCAAAGCAGTGTACTTTGTCTGGAACGCACTTGACATATTTACATGTACTTTAGTTTTTGTGATTGTTTGAACATCAAGTTTTTCTGCAAGGCACAATTGGGAAGGTGAATGGAACTACTGGATTTAATATTGCATCTAGTATGTTTGCATCTTGACATTCTTCAAGAACCTTTCGACAAGCTATAAAGGCTTCCTCCTCAGGACAACCTAGGAGGAAGTCTACAAGTCTAAATAAGAGCATTCAAATCTTGTTCATGTATGCAGCAATGCGTGTTTATATCCTAGCTAGTTGAGTTTCTTCAGACATACACGTATGCTTAATAAAAGAATACTCCATAAACCATAACAAACATTTTTGTACATTAAATAAAAATTTATTAAACCAGATCTCTTAGAAAGTAACCGGTAACATCACTGAAGTATAACATTTTAGATCTTTAAACTTGAGGCTTTTGTGTTTTTTGCATCTATTCATGTGCTGAATAAAATGAATATTTAATTTCATACATGAAAATAATGATCTGACTATTATAAATCAGAAAACAAAAATGCTATGAAAGGAAAATAATTCTTGAATACAATAACATTTGATTTTATGTGCAAGGCAGGTATAGAGACTGGTTTCCTAATGAGATTTACCACAAAATAACGGTACATATAAACTAGGCTACATACTAAGTAAATAATGCCACTGAAAGAGTCCAAGGGATTTCTAGAAACATGCTATCAAATGGAATGAAAACTAAGGGGTTACAAAAAAAAAAAAATGCATATTTTGTCTGCATCATATGATTGGTCAATGTTTGGAAGATGACCTGGGTATGCATATTGCACATGATTAGCAAAAATCAAAAGAGATCAAACAGAACACTACATATGCAGTTCATAAAATGTTATAATGAGGACTTGTTTATATATCAGATTTTGTGACATGATTTCCTGATACAGTAGATCTTTCAGGGCATGGCTTTACCAATGTTTGAACATAGACATTAAAATCCTATAGGGAAAAAATACACAAATTGATGAAAACCATTATATTATGAGGTTTAAATGATGGAATTTAGGGAAGCACTTCTAATGTAAAGGCAGATATGCAAGGAGAAATAAGGTAGAAAATACCATATACTAAAATGTTGGAATACAAAAAAATTCAAAGAAAACACTTTAAGACAAGTCACTAAAGCTTAATGCATGCATTCATCTTAATTAAAATATGCAAAATCTGCATTCTTAGTTTATTGAATTCTGTATCATTGCATTCTTTGAAAAAGAAAAATTGTTATGCATTAAATTAATATTTCTCATAGTACAAGTAAAACAACTGTGCAAGAATTAAACTTTAGTAGTCATAAAGTAGACTGTTCCACTCTTTAATTCACCCAGTGTATTGTAATGCTTTTAAGACTTTGTAAGGCACTTCATTTCTTCAGTACTGTTAGATAACATAGGGGAGAAGGACACTGGGTGACAATTCAAAACAGCAAAAGTACACAACACAAAGGTTACCAAACATTAAAGCAGTAATCAGAGATACCACAGATAACTCGGGATAGTCAGTAATATATTCAATTGGAAATGTATCTTTGATCATTATCTAACTGATTTGTATTTGTTATCATAGTACACCCCAATCAATTTCAAACATTACCCTTTTTCATAGATATAATACTGGAATAAATTAATGTAAATGTACACCTCTTCCAACTATCCATAGCACTCTGTGAAATGAAAAAAAAAAATTCCCCGAGTAAAACAATAAATTTTCTCCTAAGTTAGCATATAAACAATGCACTTTCTTGAAAGTGAATTACAATATACTTTGAAAATACCATTTTGAAATGATTAATAAACAAATATTAAATCAATAATGGAAGGAAAGTCTATATATATACAAATTTTTCCTGTCGAGAGCTCATTAATGCTGACAGATCAATGATGGACACTCATACCCTGTTCTCTAACGATTTACATTACATGGAGCTGAGACTTCTTAGTAAATATATCAGGTGGAATATTTGCTGCCATTTCATCTGATGAAATTAACCTTGTATAAATATAAGATATAAATTATGTATACATGCACTCATGTATGTCCTGTGACTATACAACCTGCTACAAATGCTGGCTATGACAAATTGAGATGTTGAAAAATGAAATCATGATATCAATGGTTTAACTACAAAAAAAAACTGGCAGCCATTCTTACAACTCTGTATCTAATGGCAGTGTCTGCTCTGGCAATATAGACCACACATAAATATATAGAGCTCTCATATACAATACTCTTCATGATAAATATCAATAAACATTTAAAGATTTAACAATTCTCATGACCACTGACTGAATGTGTGAGCAGAAATGGAGTTGGTGTGTTCTATATGTACATAACCTGATGACCAAGTGGTTACTTTGGCAAGACAAAAATAATTTAAAAACTGGCATTACAAATGAGCACAAGATGTTTTACCAGCAGTGAAATAAAATGAAGCACTAGACTAGATTATCTATCACATCTCTTGTTCAAGTTAAAAAAAAAAACCACCTTACAAATCTGAACATACTGAAAAATCTGTTCTTAGCCAGTTCACATCACTACAATCACATTTTATCCATTTATTTTAACCAAAAAATATCTCCTGCATCACATCCAATCAAATCATTTATCTAATACACCTTCTGAGAATTAAATTTTGAGTGTGTGCGATTGAGCCAGTGAGTACCCTTGCCCCCGTTATAACTGCCTGGTTTGACTGAGGTATTCTGGTCCGGTTGGTACCTGCCCTTGGCCTGAGATGGTTTGTTAGATTTGACGTCCTCCACACTTGACTTATCAGAGCTTGGTTTCGTGTTGTCATTGGTTGCCTTTAATCCACCAGTGTTGGTCTTGGCCGTCTCGTTCTCATTCGACTTTGTGGTAGATTTGGTAGCATTAGTGTGGGAGGTCTTGCTGGAGGTATCAGTCTTTGCGTGTTTAGATGAGGATGAGCTTGTTGGGTTGGGAGACATAGGTTTGGGCTCACACACTTTCTCTCCCTCCTTGACAATGCTGTTGACTTGGTCCATAAATTGTTGTCTGACCTCATTCACGTGGTCGGGGGAGACTCTCACGCCATTCACCTGCTCTTCATGCTGTCAAAATTACACCAATCCCTTAAGAACTTCAAATTACAATCAACAGTATCATATGTGAAATTTACAAATATTTACAAAAAATGCTTATTTTTCATCACAACAACATCCTTAGGAAAATTTTTCCACCAGAAATTGTTCTGCGTTTACCTGTGCCTGTTTTTTGTTGTTTTTGTTTTGGGGACGGAAACGATTATGGGTGTTCTGGAATTGTTGGTTGTTGTAAAAGTTGTTCTGGAACTTGGAATAATAGTTGGCATTATGAATACCCTTGGTAAACTTGGCATGAGAGACATTCATGTTAGTTCTTGTAGTCACAATATTAACCTGAAATTATGAAAGAAGACAACACTGATTAAAATTGACAACTTGATGGTGGAATTCAAGATTAAGACAAATCTGAAAATCAGACATTGTTAAAACTTATCACTTTGCAATTGTCAATAAAGTGCCGCGCCACAGCATGATACGCCCGTCAAAAAATTACAATTTTCTTGAACAGTTTAGGTGCAAGAAAATCACATCAACCTTGATTCTAAGATTTCGATGATTTGTCATTTATCCATCCCCTGTGATGTAGGCATCAATTATAATAAATATTACATCACTGATAGATTTCTGTGCTGGTTGTGTAAGACCTTGTCAAATGCCCATCATCAAATTAGTCTCAACAACTTAATCTATATCAAATTAATTTTGAAAGAAAAGGCTGGCCATCAAATGACATATGTGATAAACTGACCAGCAGTTCTTCTGTCTAATCCCCAAAGGGCTGCTTAATCAGAGCGACTGAGACAGCTAGCCTTCCTACATCGAACTCATTAATTAATCTTTAACTGGATGCTTGTCTACTCATTACTACCAAGAGATGAATGGGTCTGCACTATAATATGTTTTTAAAAACATATAAAATACTCTCAGATTTTTTTTTTTTTTGGTTGAGATTTAATGTCCGACAGGTTTTAGTATGTAATTCATATGGACATGCTGATTCAACCCCACCCCAAAAAAATTAGTTTTTAAATTAATAATATTACATAATATCAGATTAGTCTATTATGCAATATCAAATTAGTTTTAATTACTTTTCATCAAATTCATTTCAAAACTTAAGCTAGTCAACAAGAGCTATTTTTAATCAAACAGCCAGGCTTACCCAATTTGCCCAATTCTCAAGGGATATAGATAACGCCAATGCTCTGTCAATAGCTCCTCACACTCAAAACCCATTAATTTCTCTCTAATTTGACATGCAATTTTCTGTTATCAAAATTCTTCTTGACCAGTGCTTGATAATTACACTCATGGGAGACATGGGATTTCTCTAACATACATTATATTTGTTTTAGATTGCTGTCAAGTATATGCTTAAAAAAAATAAGTATTTTCTTGATTTAACACTTTTTTAATAAGAACAGTGCAATACTCTTACATTATTTGGGATGTGTAAATGAATAGTAAAAAGACACATTTTTTTTTAAAAATTCACTTAAATTAAAGGTCACAGTGACCTTGAAATAGGTCGCGACACACCTTCTACCTAAGATGCATAAACTGGCCAAGTTTGATGATTGTATGTCTTATGGTTTTCTAGTTATGGGCCGGAAAGGATTTTTCCATATTTGGCTATAACTTCTTAATTAAAGGTCAGAGCGACCTACTTTTTGTGCGCGACACACCTTCTACCCAAGATGCATCAGATGACAAAGTTTGGTAATCCTAGGCCTAGTAGTATTAAAGTTATGAGCCGGAAACGAAAAAGCTAACAGACAGACGGACAGACGGACGGACACGAAGCCTATAACATAATACGTCCCGTCTTAAGACGGGCGTATAAAAACAACTTGTGTAAGACACCCCCCTCTCCTGTGATTCTAAATATATTTGCTATCATATTTTAATTTAAAAAATTTGGATTCACACTTTTCTCTAGATTCAGACTTTGTATGGGAGAGGGGGATTCAACTTCTGATAGCTTTTTAAAACCTGTACAATGCATTTTAGAATAACAAGAACTCTGTTTAAAAAAAATAATTTCAGATCCATTTCCTCAAGGAGAAACTAGTTTACCTGCTGGTTGTGTCTCTCTGTCTCCTGTCTTAACAATTCTTCAATGTTTATAGAGTGTGCCATATTCTCCAAGTTGCCATCTTTGGTAGTTGCCAATGTACAAAAAGAGCCCCTGCTTTCTCCAAACCTTAAACAAACATACACAAAATACACATTACTTTGTATTTGAACATCAATACAGATAAATGTATAGATCAAGACGCTATTATGACCATTTCGAACCTAAAAAAGTGAAAAAATATTTTTCATCATTAGGAAAAGAAGAATAACTCCCATGTTTTAAATGCCAATTTCACATACAAATTTAATCATCCTAGACAGATGTTCTAAAGAGTGCATTTGGATTCATTTTTGTTCTAAAATAATGTATGAAGGTTCTAAGGGGATGATTCCAGCATTAGGTCTTCAAAAATATAAATATTTAAAGGATTCTAGGCAGTGACATGGATGTTCCACCGTCCTATATAGGGCAGAATATAGGCCTCGTTCCAAACAGAAAAATCTCTCCCTGTCCAAATTTTTCACTCCGCAGTCAAACTTCGATCTTTTTTTAAAGATCGCTCAGTAAAACATTGAAAATTTAGACTTCTTTAAATAAAGTACTGATTTATATAGGAACCAATTTTGAAAGTTATAACATTTATTTCAATTTAAATAATAATTATTTCCTTTTACATTCGTGGGGAAATACCCATAGGCCACAATTAAAATATCGTTGGTTTGGCGTTGCCGACTCAGCCTTAATACATTTGGGTCAGTAGGTAGGGTGAATATATTTTTTTTCAATTTCAGAAATGTTTCTCGTTTTCGGGCGTCGTGGGTTTCCGATTGTGAAACAAAAACTGCAGTCCATATTATTTAGATGTTGTTCTTTATTTTCAAATCCTATAAGTTGAAAACTTTTATACATGATAAAAAAATTTGCCGATTTTTAATTGGCATGAAGTTGTTTTCACATGCACGAATCCAAGCATGGCCGCTAGATTCAACTACCTAATCAGACAGGACATTGTATCTTGAAATTTCTAATTCAAACTGATATAACTGATTTGTCAGTATATTTTGTCACTACACACATAACCGCGGAAAGTCATGCCATCAACTTCTCTTATACAGAGTTTACCGCGTTGGACAGCCATGCTTGGATTTCTGATACGTATATTCAACATCACATAGACGCTTTTAAATGAAAACTGTTCGATCAATCAAGTGTTTACATGATTCGGTTTACAGTCAACTCGTACACAAACCGAGTCATACACAAACCGTCTTCACGAAAACTTTTCAAACTAACTGGCCGGTCGGACCAGTGAACTTTCGAAATTTACTAGCCCACCAAGATTTTTACTGGCCCCTTACTTTAAAAATAAAATGAATACATTTTCATTACTGTAAATTTATACATGTTTACGTACTTCAACTTTTGAAATGCCGCCATTTTTTGCCCTTTGTCGCGTTTTGGTAAGTTGTTCGTTGGAACTTTGCACATTTTACGTACTAGTTAATAATTACTATCTAGTTCCGGTTGTTATGTAATACATCCATGTTATAATAGGGTTATTATATATACGATTCAACAACACGTGCTTGTTCTTTTTATTTTATTTATTAATGAAATTTACGCAAGTACGGTAAGACAGTTGAAATAAATTTTGACTGTGTATGATTTCTATAATCAACAAGCCCATCGGACTTCTTGAATTTTGATTTTCACTGACCCGACATCAAAATTCACTGGCCTCGGTCTTCGGACCAGTGAGTTTTCGTGAAGACTGCACAAAAAGTCAACTCGTACACAAATCAAAAGTCAACTTGTATACAAATCAAAAGTCAACTCGTACACAAACTGATGTCATTTGTACATAGTTCTCTATGTGATTTAATGTTTTGTTTTTCTCAGTGTTAAAAAATTGAGGAGACGACTTGTACACAAAGGGGTTTTTTTGTACATTTTAATCTTTTTATGATGCTGATTTCACCTATACCTTATGCGCAGATTGTTTTTTTTTTTTTTTTTTTTTTTTTTTTATTATAATAAGGTTTTTTGCGACGTAAATCTTGGGCGTCAACTCCTACACATTTTTCGTTATTTAAATATACATTTATTTGATACATAAATGAGAAGTCACGCTTTTTTTTATTCTGTAAATTTAATTGTAAATTAAAATATCTTATTAAACAACATAATCAGATCGATTCAATATAATTGAATTTGATTTAAACATCACCACAAGATAATATGTGAATTTTACATTTTAAAATTAGTCTTCGGCTTTTATGCAAGTAATATGTGGATATAAATATAACTTCATTTAGGTAAGAATTTTAGAAATTTTATGGCACCATAACGTATACCATTATTCAATGTAGATAGTAAATACGATCGAAATACATCTTAAGATTTTTATACCAATATGGTATATCATATCATTGCATACAATTTCAAAAAAAAAAAAAAACTTATCAAATTTCAAAAAAAAAAAAAAGCTTTTTTTTTTTTTTTTTCACTGGAGACAGTTTTATGGCAGGATAAACACTTCTCTCACACCATGGGGAAGATAAAGAAATGAAGACATTGGGACCAGATTAGGAGCATTTCGTAATTAGCGTTTGTTGCAAATCAAAGAAACCGCCGCGCTTGTGTTAGTTTAACAATAATGTATTCATAAGAGAAGTCAGGGTCGATTTCAAATGTTATAAAACCACAAAAATATTCTTGAAAAAATCTAAAAAATTAACACTTCTACTTGTCCTTATTTCATTTTTTCTAGATTATACATTATTTTTATAAAAATAATTCCTAACTATTGTAAATAAAACATTGTGTCAGGTTGACTTCTGATTTGTGTACGAGCTGACTTCTGATTTGTGTACGAGTTGACTTTTTGTGTACGATTCGGTTTGTGTACGAGACGGTTTGTGTATGAGTTGACTGGACACCCATGATTCTTTCCTGTTTACTATAATACTCAAACGGACAGACACCTAAATCCGGATATATAGAACGAAAAAAAATTATGATCCATATCAGCTGAAAAAATTTCTTCAGACCGCACCAATTTACCTGAGTCGGCCGGCAACGCCAAACAAAGCTAATTTTATTTTTGGCCTATGCCTAATGCATGTGCTCTGAATGTGATGAAATGTGTTAACCGCACTGTTTGAAAGTAGTGATGTAATTTTAAACTAAGGCCAAATTTTTTTTATTAGTTGTTTTACGGATCCGCCGACCCCATTTTTCTAAGTTTTGGAAAAAAAATAAAAATTCCATTCAATCCTTTTTTTATAATCGCCGATCGAACTTTACTTCAAACATATTAAAAAAATCCGGAAATGACCGTACATTGTTTGAATTTTACTTAGTTGTGATCAGAATCATGTAAACGCTTCCACTATTGACCTTTTTAAATAAATCTGCAAGCGTTTTATAGTCAGAGATGAAATAAGTCTGACGGCCATGTGAAACATTTTTGGTTTTTCAAAACAGGCAGAATATAAATGTTTTAAGGACAGTAGTATAAATGTATGACGGTTTTTATGAGCTGATCAGGCTGGTGATGATTCTACATATGATGTTATCTGATCAGCGAATGGAGTGTGGTGGTTGAGGAAATTACAGCCAAAACCAACGAATCTGATGTCATCACTTGCACTCCATCCGACACCCATAACTTTTCTTTGAGGGTTTGGCGAAGTTTTAAACAGTTAAATCTAATGGTTAGTTAACAGTTCATATATTATTTATGACATTTTTAAAAGCACATGTTTGACTGTATTTTAAAAATCTGCAAGACGTGTTGTCAATTGTTAAAGCGTCAGAGAAACAAAAGACTTTTTTGTCATTGTACAGGTATGAATCTATCAAATGATGTGAAAGAAATGTTTCTTAAAGTTTTAAATTTAAGATTTGGGAAAGGAACTGACTCATCAGGATGTTCCAAGACAAAAAATGTTTGTATGAGAGTAATAGGAATGTGAAACCCTATGGGGATGACTTATCATTCTAGTAAGTTTATTTGTGTCCATTGATTGTGCACAGAATTTTAGTTTTATACTGTTTAATACTGTTTACAAAAAGGTATTATCTGAATTTGATTAAACTTTTATTATTTTACAGGGGGTTGTGTAAAATTTGCTGAAGTGTGTTTTCCTGTGGCAATGTGGACATAGCAGTGAGAGGACACCCGTATCCAGTCATAGACATACACAGAAAAGTTTAGCATTGTTCACATAATATCTCTCTCTGCTTGGAGAATCGTTCTCTTTTAGTGAGGAATGCCAAGAAAGACATTTCTGTGCAATGTTCTGAGGTTGATTTCCCCAATTGCTTTGATATGCTGCATATTAAAAAATTTGAACATTGAAGACTTCTTCTTCTTCTTTTTTTTTTTTTTTTTTTTTGTAGCCACCCAATGGACATTTTCCAAAAAAAAAAATCCGTAAAACAACTAATAAAAAAAAAATGGCCTAAAGGTGCATAAAGACGAAGTTCATGGAATAAAATGAGGAATATGTAGGCCTAGTGTGAAAGTTTAAGTTCATCTTTATTCTGAAAGTAACAAAATTTATTTTTCTTTGTTCTTATGAGACAAGGAAATGTTAAATTTTAATAAAAAGTACTTTCACTTAAGAAAAAGTCGAGTTCCATATATTTTCCACAAACAACTTTTGCTAAATAGTAAAATTAAAAGAAAGATATGTTGGTCAATTATCAAAACTTCTGATGAAATATACCTGCAGCAAACATCTTTTGGGTCAACCCACAGAGTCAATTCGGAAGGAAGTCGGAGGTCATGATACTGAAGTCCTGAGTTTCTAGCTGCTTCTTCCAACACTGGATCTATTGGTTCTGCTGAATTTATTCTAATACATCTGTATCCTTGTCCTTTTGTTGGATGATCTTGATACCAATGATTCGTGAATTTTTCGTTCAAAATGGCGGACAAAGAATCGGAAAATTCTACAACCTTCTCTTTTGAAACGCTACCGCTTAGGCGTATCAATCGAGTAATAAACAAAACTGCTGCACCAATTTCTTCTCTCATAATTACTGTCTTTCAGGTGGTCCACGTTCACTGAATTCATGGGCATCTAACGAAATTGCCCTTGTTTTTCTCGTTCTTGTTCAATCGTGTCGTCAAGTTGAGTCACTGCCTCGTTTTCGGCCAAAATATTTGTCTACGAAATGTCCAATAAAATTGCTTGCGGATTTTCCCGTACTTTTGTCAGCTGATCGAGGAAATTTTACAAACTTGGTATTTAGCATGATAAATGAACATCGAATGAAAACAAATAACGTTATAGAAAAAAATATATGTGTAAAATTTAAGAATGATGTCATTAAAAAAAAATTAAGAAAAAAAGACACATCCCCCCCAAAAAAAAATAGAAGAAAGAAAGAAGAAGCATCGAGAGATCCACAGTTCTATATGAGTGGAGTTATTTTCCTGGCAGCTCGAGTCGAAGGTTTAAGTTTCTCAAATCAACTCAAACTCCAAGGTCAAGGTTTAAAGATAAAAACAGTTAACTGAAATACCAATATTAAAGATCTTGCCAGATGGATTCAAACACCTGTGAAATATGAAAGTCCTAGTAAGGTCTAGGGGTCAAATTAATGCTGCCTAGGGTCTTGGCAACAAGACATTATCATATCAAATAAATAGGAAATCCACCTTGTGAAAGACTACACCTTAAATTCTGTTAATATTGTCTTGCTGTTCACAGAAAAGTATACAAATTTTGCAATATTATCGGCCCCCTCCATTATGATATTGTCAGATTGTTAATTAAAAAGTTTGTTAAATTTGAAAATTTGTCCAAAGAATTTCCTTTACTTAAGACTGCATATATAATATATGGATATACATACATAGTAAAAACCTTTTTGTGAGTGGCAGGAATTGATGGTATGCGCATTTATACAGAAATGAAGAAAAATTCTGAAAATCAAGATGAAGAATTTGTTATGGGAAGCATAAATTTAAGTCAGTTTGTCACATAGCCTCATTAGATTATTGTGTAAAAAAACTGATGTACTACTCAACAAAGTTATACAGATTTATCGGTTATGAGATTTATTCATCGGTAGTTAAAAGTTTTCATCACTGAAAATTTCTATAAGTAAATTAAGAATTTTCCTGTCACAGGTTAAAAATTGAAGTGGGAAGATTTACCAATATTCCATATATTCCTCGAGAAAATCGATTTTGTAAAAGTGAATTCCCAGAAACTTTTTTGGTAACCTAATACTGAAGATGAGGAAACTCTTGTGAACAGATCTATTAAAGATAACATGTTAGTAGTCATGTACTTTTATATATTATATTCCATTTAATTGAAAAAGAATATTGCAATGAACTATCTCATTTACTAATTGTTAAATCATTTATTGGCTTAATTGGCTCTAAATTAGAAATAAATGTTCTGTAGGCCTGTTCTGTGAAATATGACATGAAATATATGGAGATAACGAACAGAATTCAAGCTCAAAAGTCCATTAAACAATGCAAAATAGGAGCAGAGCAAACACAAACCTCCAAAACAAAAGAGGTGGGATCAAGTGCCATGGAGGGGTGAGCATCCCCTGCCGACCGGAAACACCCGCCGTGTGCTCCTTGTCATGATTGGGAAATAATGGAAAAAATCCGTCGTCAATTCAGTGCGTAAATGTGCCTAAATGGCATTACAAATAGTATATAAAACGTCAGTCATGCATGCAGCATTTGAATGAAAGGCCCCGTCTTTCATTTCCTCGGAAATTTTACAAAAATATACAAGTAATTATTTCCTTTTTATAAATGGTATATAAGCATTAAATTTTTCCATCGCCATGCATCATACTAAAGCCCATAAAAAGTTTACGGCGATCACCAAACCTCTTATTTTTAGGAAAAACTTTAACCTTGCCCATAACTTTTGATTTAGTGGAGCTATGAAATTCATATTTCACATGTGTATTCCTTGTGACAAGACCTTTCTCTGAGTAAAACCAAATTTGACCTTTTGACCTTGACCTTGGAGTTTGACCCACTTTTACACAAAAATTTTGAACTTTTACTTTGGCCATTTCTTTTGAACATTAGATACCAGGACATTTATACTTGACATATTTATTTTTCTGTGGCAAGACCTTTCATTGGATACCAACAAGCCTTGACCATTTGATCTTGACCTTGGAGATTTTTGCACTTATGAAAAAACTTTAACCTTGGCCATAACTTTTGAATTGTAAGTGCTAGGGCTTTCATACTTCACATATGTAGTCCTTGTGAAAAGTTCATTTATTGGATACCAAGAACCTTGACCCTTTGACCTTGGAGTTTGATCTACTTTAAAAATACAAACTTGACCAAAATTTTGGAAGAGTTAGAACTAGGGCTTTCATACTTCACATATTTAATCCTTGTGACAAGACCTTTCACTTGATAACAAGAACCTTGAACCTTTGACTTTGACCTTGGAGTTTGACCTTCTTTTTACAAAATTTAACCTTGGCCATAACTTTTGAACAGTAGGGGGCTAGAGCTTTCATATTTCACATATGTAATCCTTGTAACAAAACCTTTTATTGGATATCAAAATCATTGATCCTTTGACCTTGGCCTTGGAGTTTGACCTACTTTTTACAACCTTTAACCTTGGCCATAACTTTTGAACGGTAAGGGCCAGCGCTTTCATACTTCCCAAATGTAATCTCTGAGACAAGGCCTTTCTTTAGAAACCAACAACCTTGACCCTTTGACCTTGACCCCGGAGTTTGTCCAACCTTTAAAAATGTTAACCTTGGTCATAACCCTTGAACAGGTGGTGCTAGTGTTTTATATTTCACATTTGTATTTCTTGTGAAAAGGCCTTACTTTAGGTACCAACATATTTGATCTGCATTTAAGAAAGCTTACCCTTCTCTATGTTGCTATACGGGGGCATCAGTGTTTCACAAACACATCTTGTTTGCAAATAGTTAAATATACATTACATAGGCATTGAAAATTAGGGTTTACCTTTTTTGTTGGTTTACCCCCCCCCCCCCCCACACACACACTTTCAATTTGCTTCTGACGCCTATGCTCTTAATTGTAGTTGAAAATTGGAATCATTTAAGAACTGCTCGCCATAACGTATAATTCCCCAGCAGTTTATCTGAAGTAAATGACACAGTTTGAAGAAGAGTATAATTTGAATACACATAGGCGTCGGAACCGGGGGGGGGGGGGGGGCTGGGGGGCCCCCCCCCCCCCCAACACACACTTTTTTCCCAAAGGTAGACTTAGTATAGACATTGAACATTGCTGTGCAGATTTAGCACCCCCCCCCCCCACTTTCCACAGACACGTTGCAGTATAGGTTTAAAATTGGGAAAGTGGTGCTTTTTGGAAAAAAATTTTGGTACTGAAGTTCGAACTTATACCCCCCCCCCCCCTACGAAATAGGATTTTCGTGTTTGAAAAATGGACATTTCCCCTTTTTTTTGCTTGTCAGGTTTTTTTGGTGGTCTAAAAAATTTTCTCTTACACTTAGCCCCCCCCCCTTTTAATTTGCTTTCGACGCGGCGCCATTGATGATATACATTTTCTCTATGTGAGTTAACAATAGCTGCGGATATGCAGCGTTACGGTTTTATATGGTAGTCTTGACATAGTTAACTTATGGTCAAGACTACTATATATAAAACCATAACGCTACATATCTACAGCTAAGTTAACAACAGTTAGATAGATCTACTGTGGCATGTATACAGTGTATAATGGTTTCTTTCCAATGTAATACTTCTTTGTCTTTGAATTAATACTATTTTTTGGCAGTTGCCCTATGAAATAATTAATATGAACACTTGACCAGATAAATTTGATATGAATAATAAGGAATAAACAGTATACATTGTAGCATGGTATTAGTAGAACGACTTCCTCTATAAAGAATTCCAGTATATTCCAGTATAGAATAGAATAGAATAGAATAGATTTATTCCAGATCAGGGCCCTTGTGGGCATATTACATACATGATTATTAAACAGAGCATATAATAGTTATTAACAAGGTGTGCTGTGTTCTTAGTACATGTATATACTTAATAATTTACACATGGTTCATAAGTTGAAATAATTGCTAACATGTGAACTTTAAATACATATTGTAATTAAAAATATATAAAGAAGTACCACCGTGTACCATAATGCAAAAAAGCCAGAGATATACATACACAGAAATGAAAAAAATATATATATACATATATTTTTTTTTATACATACCAACACATACATACATACACGTATATATACATGTCCACACACATACATACTGAGTAGCTATATTCCACTAAATTGCAAAAGATACCACGGGACAGTGCATTGGTACTTTATAATTCACCATGTTTTGTTTGCATATCTTATGAACAAGTAATATTTATTAAGTGTTTGAAGTATACAAATTTTTTTTAATTTCTTAATACATGTAGAAGACACACTTTATTGCACCCTTGATCAATTCACAAGAACTTCACTATAGATTCTTTTTTTTTTCTTTTTTTTTTTAAATTTAGTACATACAGTGTTTACATGCACCTATTATTATTATAAAGAGAAATACCACATTATATGCATCAGTATTTTATATGGCTTGTCTAACCAGTTCACAAACAGCTGAAAGTACTTCAATATTTTCACAATTTAGAACCCACAACAACTTATTTTCATTATTTAAATGAGAAAAATTGATACAGTGTCTTTGTATAACATTAATCATATTCTCTCGTTCTGTAACAAAACTCAAACATTCAAAAAGTGTGTGTTTTTCATCTTCAATAACATTCATGGAGCATTTAGTACAAAGTCTCTGATCTCTAGGAATGCCAAAGTACCAGCCTCTTTCAATTTGTAAATTGTGAGAAGATGTACGCAACCTACATATTAATTTTCTTTGTTCAAATGGCAGGCATAGTAAGTATTTTTCAAGTCCAAAATTTGTTTTAATCTTGACATAAGTATCCAGTTTACCTTCTTGTAACAATCTAATCAAGTTCCACTCATTCATGTAGTATGAAATTAAATGTTTTTTGCATTTTATCTTGAAAGTTTGCAATTTGTTAGACAAAATATCCTTATTAACGTTTATCATTTCTGCAATTTTACTATATGTTCCATACCAAGATGGTATACTGTTACTCCAATTAATCTTACTTTGAGAATATGCTGCTCTCAATAATGGGAATGACATATCTAGACATTCTAATCTATGGACATAATTCAAAATACTTTTTATAATATCAAAATGAAGGGGGAGCCTACCAAGCTCAGATAATGAGGAGAAGTTTGCACTTTTCCTATGCAGTCCCAATATATTCTTACAAAATTTTAAGTGTAGATTCTCGCACTTCAACTTACTAAAAATATCATATACAGAGAGTTTGGAGGTTTTACGAAAAATACTTGGTCGATTAATGTTCCCCCATATTTCACATCCATAAAGCAAGATGGGTTTTATTGTATGATCAAATACATGTAGGGATGTTTTAACACTTGGCTTCAAAGACAAAAATTCTTTTTGCAGTTTATAAAATGCCTTTAGAGCTTTTTTATACAGGTCTTCCTGAGCATATGAGAAGGTTCCAGAGGCACTAAAGAGTACCCCTAGATATCTATAAGAAGACACAGATTCCAAAACCTGGTCAAACAGCTTAAATTCATTTTTTATCAAACGACCCGCTTTATTAAATATCAGAATTTTGGTTTTTGTTACATTCACTTCCAGACACCAATCATTACAAAATGACTGTAATTTATGCAATTTAGATTGAAGACCTACTGCTGTCTGAGATAACAATATCACATCATCAGCATACATAAGACAGTTAATTACCTTATCATTAAGTAAGATGGGATTAGGGGTGTCTTGAAGATACTCAGGTAAATCATTGATAAAAATTTTAAATAAGGTTGGGCTTAGATTATCTCCCTGCTTTACCCCTAGTTTGATGTCAAAGAATTCTGTGTGAGAATTTTTCATTTTAATACAAGATTTGCTTTGACTGTACATACTTTTGATTATATTATAAAACTTCGTTCCAATAAATAATCTTAGAAGTTTGTATTTTAAGCCAGAATGTATTACAGTATCAAAAGCTTTACGAAAGTCAACAAAACATGCATATACTCTTCCATCTTTGGTATGACAATAAGTCTCTATTATATTTCTTAATATAAACATATGATCTGAAGTTCTTGCTGATCTAGTAAACCCTAGTTGACAGTCACTTATCATGTTGTGTTTAGAAAGAAATTTATCCAATCTTAAATTCAGAATACTATTGAAGAGTTTCCCCATTGTATTTGTAATAGTAATTCCACGATAGTTGTTTGGGTCATTTATGCTACCAGATTTATGAAGAACTGTTAGAAGTCCATCAGTCCACTGACTGGGGTATTTTCCATTAACTAAGCAACCATTAAACAATTTCTTCAGACTTGCCAATAATGAATTTTGCCCATATTTTAACATATGATTTGAAACTCTGTCAAGACCAGGTGATTTGTTACATTTAAGTCCACTGATTGCTTTTGATATTTCAGATTCACTGATTTGAAAATCTAGTTCATTAAAACATGTCCGAACTTATATAACAGCTTAGGTCATCTAAAATGAAAAAAAAACACGTTATTTTGAGAAAAATTAATTTCAATAATCACCACCTAATACAATTAAAAATATTGAATTTTTTTGAAAATCCCAAAGGCCTAGGCCTTTGATTTTTCCCGCTATAAACTCATTTGACCTTTGATCTCGTTGCTACCAGTGACGTTTACAATCGGCAGCCATATTTTAGCAGAAGGGGATAAACTCGTGTTTGTTGTCAAGCTAAACTTTTTGGGAATTTTATTGCTTTATAATGGCGGTCCCCTTTTCAAATACTAAACTCAGGGTACCAAAAGGTTTTCAGAATATTTTAGAGGGTTTAGCGAGAGAATGCTTGAGAAGCCAGCCAGAAAACATATACGAATTTGGTGCCAAGTATTTCCAACAACTTCTTCAAGTTAGAGAACGTAAGTATCAGTCAGGTTTCTAATTGTAATTATCTATAATTTACTGTATTTTTTCAAATGTTATCTGAAAACATGGGATACAGAAAGAAATTTAGATCCTTTGTGTTGTTTGAAATACTTTAGCTCGAATTTCCTCTGGTTTACCGTTTTGTAATTTTAAAAATTTTCTTAAGTTCTTAAAGTTGACTAATATCATAATTATATTTAATAGTTGATATGAAATATTAAAACTTTTAGTCTCAGTGAAGTCATTTAATTATTGATAACGAGATATATATCATCATGAAATGAAATGAAGCTATGTTTTGGGATGTAGTATTTTGGCTCACAAGGATTTCTTGAGTAGTGCAGGACTTTGTGGACACAATCGCAGATGCAAGGGTTTAATGAAGACTTTATTTTACACTTAATTTTTGTTATCCTAAATTGTATGTTGATTTACATTCCATTTGAGAATTTTTCACAGTTGCACAAAAAAAAGATGTCACACAATATATAGGTGAAGTGGCTTCAAACTTATATCTTTACTTAGAACCATTGATCAGTGATGAATCAACATCATGCATACCAAAGCCTGCTATGACAGGGCCGTTGGTTTTTAAGGTCTTATCCGGGAGACCCACAACTTTCATGAAGTGCCGAGCAGTTTGGAAAAGATTAGTTGTTACAGTGTATTGTCGGTGATCAGTCTCAGACAGGTTAATTGGGACCAATGGCCCAAATAGGATATAATAAATTGTTAGGGATATAATATTCTTAATAAGATTTAAATTTACAGAGCAAAAAATGAAAATTTTTATTTGGCAATTATATCATAAATCCACATCAAAATACTTGAAAAGAAGTAACTTATGACAAATGTTTGACAAGCATGTTTTTAGCTCACCTGAGCCGAAGGCTCAAGTGAGCTTTTTCTGATCAAAATTTGTCCGTTGTCTGTCGTCGTCATTGTTGTTGTTGTCATCGTCGTTGTTGTCGTTAACTTTTCACATTTTCGACTTCTTCTCAAGAACCACTGGGCCAATTTCAACCAAACTTGGCACAAAGTATCCTTAGGTGAAGGGGATTCAAGTTTGTTCAAATGAAGGGCCACACCCCTATTCAAGGGGAGATAATTGAGAAATAGTGAAAATTTGATGGTATGTTTTAAAAATCTTCTTCTCAAGAACCTTTGTGCCAGGAAAGATGAAACTAATGTGGAAGCATTCTCAGGTAGTGTAAATTCAAGTTTGTTCAAATCATGACCCCCGGGGGTAGGGTGGGGCCACAATGGCCGATCAAAGTTTTACATAGAAATATATAGAAAAATCTTTTAAAATCTTCTGCTCAAGAACTACTTGGCCAGGAAAGATGAAACTCATATGGAATCATCCTCAGGTAGTGTAGATTCAAGTTTGTTCAAATCATGTCCCCCTGGGTGTAGAATGGGGCCAAAATGGCCGATCAAAGTTTAATATAGGAATATATAGGAAAAATCTTTAAAAATCTTCTTCTCAAGAAGCACTGGGCCAGGAAAGATGAAACTCATGTGGAATCATCCTCAGTAGTGTAGATTCAAATTTGTGTAAATGATGACCCGGGGGTAAGGTGGGGCCAAAATGGCCGATCAAAGTTTTACATAGTAATATATACTAGGAAAAATCTTCTTCTCACGTTCCATAGGAACAGGAAAGATGAAACTCATGTGGAATCATCCTCAGGTTGTGTACATTCAGATTTGTTCAAATTATGACTCCCGGGGCTAGGGTGGGGCCATAATGGCCGATCAAAGTTTTACATAGAAATATATAGGAAAAATCTTTAAAAATCTTCTGCTCAAGAACTACTTGGCCAGGAAAGATGAAACTCATATGGAATCATCCTCAGGTAGTGTAGATTCAAATTTGTTCAAATCATGACCCTGGGGGTAGGGTGGAGCCAAAATGGCTGATCAAACTTTTACATACGAATATATAGGAAAAAACTTTAAAAATCTTCTTCTCAAGAAGCACTGGGCCAGGAAAGATGAAACTCATGTGGAATCATCCTTAGGTAGTGTAGATTCAAATTTGTGCAAATGATGACCCGGGGGTAGGGTGGGGCCAAAATGGCCAATCAAAGTTTTCCATAGTAATATATAGGAAAAATCTTCTTCTCTTGATCCATAGGAACAGGAATGATGAAACTCATGTTGAATCATCCTCAGGTTGTGTACATTCAGGTTTGTTCAAATCATGACTCCTGGGGCTAGGTGGGGCCATAATGGCCGATCAAAGTTTAATATAGGAATATATAGGAAAAATCTTTAAAAATCTTCTTCACAAGAACCCCTAGGCCAGGAAAGATGAAACTCATGTGGAATCATCCTCAGGTAGTGTAGATTCAAATTTGTTCAAATCATGACCCCTTGGGGTAGGGTGAGGCCATAATGGCCGATCAAAGTTTTACATAGGAATTTATATAGGAAAAATCTTTAAAAATCTTTTTATCAAGAACCATTAAGACAGGAAAGATGAAACTCATGTGAAATTCATCCTCAAGTAGTGTAGATTCAAGTTTGTTCAAATCATGACCCAGGGGCTAGGGTGGGACCATAATGACCATTAAAAGTTTTACATAGGAATATCTAGGGAAACCTTTTAAAATCTTCTTTTCAAGTACATGTACTTCAAAGCCATGATTAGTAATATATATATGGAATCATCCTCAGGTAGTGTAGATTCTAGTTTGTTCAAATCATGATCCCCTGGGGGGTTAAAATTCAAGCCCCCCTCCCCCCCAACCAACCCCCCAACGTTAGTAAACTTTCAGTTCTGATCTGATATGTGCTTTTTCCTAGCTGATGTGCTCAGGTGAGCGCTGTGGCCCCTGGGCCTCTTGTTTTGGCAACCCTACATTTTGTTAGATTGATCCTTATGAAGTTAAGGAAGTTCCTAGGGATCAATCTCCTAAACAATTGGCATATACAGAAAAAAACTGTCTCAATTTGTCAGATGGTGTTTGAATCTACGAATTCCGATCATTCTGATTTCCAGCTCTATGAGCATTCTCTAACCAAGTTGTTCTTTTAAAATTACTTGGAGCAGAGTTAGTGCTATAAGTTTATCTAGTCTGAGTCAATCAAATGATTTCTTTCTGTTTTTGTTTCCATTAATTGCTGTGGATGAACTTTTCTTCATTGAGTTCTTCTCTACACAATCAGACCTATTATGCTTCAGTAATTAGCATGGTGTCTGTCATTCATCTGTTTGTCTAGCTGTCTGTAATCAATTTTCAAAATGCTACTCCTCCTACAGTTTTGGTTTAATTTCAATATAACATGGCACACAAGTAGACACACTAATGTACATAATTTTTGTATCAGTTTTAGATTTCAGTGAATGGCATCATCTTGGTTACTAAATAATAGAAATTTCTTTGAAATACCTTCAAAACACTACTCCTCCTACAGTTTTGTTTGATTTCAACATAACATTGTGCACACGTTTTCAGTTTTTGATTTTGATCAAAGGAGTTTCCTGGTTACTTAAGATAGAAGTTTCTTCATCTTCGTTAGCCAAGGGTTTCTGATACACTACTCTCCTCATGAACCCTTGGCATACAGTGTTAATAAAAAATTGGGTTGGAGTTTTTAGCTCTACTGGTCAGAGACCAGAAGAGCTTATGCGATAGTAATGCGTCCGTCGTCCGTCTGTCTGTCTAGCTGTCTGTCTGTCTGTCTGTCTGTAAACAATTTTTCAAAATGCTACTCCTCCTACAGTTTTGGTCTGATTTCAATATAACTTGGCACACAAGTAGACTACACTAAGATACATAATTCTATACATAGGTTTTTCATTCTGATGAACGGTGTTGCCGTGGTTACTAAAAATAGAAATTTCTGTGAAAAATATTTAAAATGCTACTCCTCTTACAGTTTTGGTCTGATTTCAATATAACTTGGCACACACGTAGACTACACTTATGTACATAATTCTGTATATCTGTTTTTGATTTCGATGAACCGTGTTGCCGTTATGTTACTTAAAATAGAAATTTCTTTGAAATACATTTAAAAATGCTTCTCCTCCTACAATTTTGGTCTGATTTCAATGTAACTTGGCGCACAAGTAGACTACACTAAGATACATAATTCTGTGTATTGTTGGTTTTTGTCATTATTCTATTTATTGCTTTTGTAAAGTTTTAAGTCCCAACTGCTACTTTTCTCTTTTTGGGAGTTGAACTATGTTTGTGTTGATTACATAGAGACGAAAGCGAGGCTACTGTGTCGGCTGATTTACTCCGATGATATTCAACAGAAAACATGCATAAACATCCGCGACAAATAGTTCATGTCATTTTCTCCTGATTTAATCTAATTTTCATAATGTAAGTAAATGTAATGATAAAGTAATCTTATTTTGAATATTAGATTTCGTTCAAAGTACATATGTAAAACTAAATTATAAAGAACCATGAAAGTTTTTCGTAATGGAACTCAGTTTTAGTGTAGCGTCATACACTGAAAGAGATACGAATGACAACTCTACATACTGACGGCAAACGTTAAATTTAGTCTTATTCAAACTTTTCATGAACATTTTCTTGGTTTAATTGAATTCGTTAATGCACAAAAACTTTAGAAAACATGCATATTTATTACTTAATCAGCAGTATCACCTGCCAAAAGCGGTAAAACTAGTACTCTGTTATAAATATTAAAACCTAAAACGGACACCAATGTTTTCGTAAAATCGCGATTAAAAACAACAAAATGAAGTATATTTTTTTTTATAAAAGGAAAACCTCATTTACATACCAGATAATTTGTACGCACACAAACTCTCACATATACCACTGTTTTTATGTTTTGTCAACAAATATTTGTTTTTAACTTGGTATTGCTCTTTTCTTCACAATATTTAAAAAAGATTAAGTTCTGACGTACTCCATGTATAATGTTCGTGTGATTGAAATACATTTTTATTCACAGAGAAGTTTTATATAACAAATCTGTTAGCTCTTAAAAGGCCCTAGGATGCTGTGTTAAAATCCACATTTTATCAACATTGATATTATTCCTGCGAAACTGAAATTTTCATAACACATGGGTAAAGGTGCAAAGAAAAAATATATTACAAATTTGAAGACAGTGAGCAGTGATATAAATAATCAACCGCCTCTAATATGAATATAATGGCAGTGTGCATGTTTTGCAATGGGAAACCCAAAATAATTGTGTATGATGAAAAAGTAATAGAAGAAGCACAACGGCAATATGTAATAAAGATTCTATGAAAAATTTGTTCAGTGGTGTTAGAGGAGTTGCGAATAAGAGATGGGTATACCTAAAGTGTAACAAACAGATTGACGGAAATCACGATTAATAAATTCCCTCCCGCTTTTCAAGCAGGGGGTATAAAAAAGGACTAATGTAGGCAGGCAAGCATTATGGCCCATGTATTTTTTTGCTATTCAATGTCTCTGAATATCTTTCTCGATCAAGATTGTTCCAACTCAAAAAATGTGAAACAGTTGTCTGTATTTGAAAATACAGACATAATAATAATTAATACATGTAATATTGTTCACTCACCTAACCTCCCGATCAAAGATTTTATTTACACCATGTTCAACTCCCATGAGTGCTTTCAGTACTTTCATTTTATTATAAGTACAAACCAGTAGAGCTACAGTCTCGACAGAGACTTCTGGTTTCTCAAGTTGTAGAGTTGATCTACATCCTTCGACCAGCAGTTGTTTTTTGTAAATGACGATAATTGAGTTTGGGACATATTATCTTGACTCTTAAATCTCAGGAATGAAAAACACAAATAGACAATGATCCGTAAGATAACATTTTATTTTATGAATCAATTCATATCTATAGTGCCATCCAATATCTGCAAAATTTGTGATGAAAAATCTATATTGAAGCTGTAGATTTGTACTTTGAATGACAAATAGACATAACTTAATACTTGCTACTTAATTATTCTTTAAAAACTTTCATTTAATTTTTTTTAAAATATGCTTCTTTATTTTTGTCACTGAGGCAATCTGTGCATGCCATGTAGATTCGAGATCACGTGACGAAAAACAGTCCCTTCTTTTGACTGCACCATATGCCAAGGGTCTATGAGGAGAGTAGCGTGTCATATACCCTTTGATAGCGAAGATGATTTATTTGAAATATTTTCAAAATTCTACTTCTCCTACAGTTTTGATCTGATTTCAGTCTTACTTGGCACACAAGTAGACTACACTTAGACACATTATTCGTTATACAAAAAAGTATAAATTTCTTTGAAATATGAGGGGTGATCAAAAAGTTCGCAAACTAATTGAATAACTTCCATACAAGAAACAATATTTGGTTTTAATGTTGATTATATTTTAAATTAATCCTCCCCGATTTTTCCGAGTTTTATATTTCTTTCCATGTGAGTTAATTTTTATGACAAGAACAGTTAATTTGTCAGAAATGGTCATATCTCGGCAACAGAATGGGTGGATAATAACATCCTTTCAAAAAATAAGCATGACGACCATTAAAACACAAATCTTCTGTCTCAGGAGAGACCTTTATTCAAGGTGGATAGAGAATGGGTGCATCCTTTTTAGCTCTACTGGTCAGAGACCAGAAGAACTTATGCGATAGTAATGCGTCCGTCGTCCGTCCGTCTGTCTGTCTGTCTGTCCGTCTGTCTGTAAACGATTTTTCAAAATGCTACAGTTTTGCTCTAATTTCAATATAACTTGGCACACAAGTAGATTATACTAAGATACATAATTCTGTATATCGGTTTTTGATTTTGATAAACGGTGTTGCCATGGTAACTAAAAATAGAAATTTCTGTGAAATTCTTTCAAAATGCTACTTCTCCTACAGTTTTGGTCTGATTTCAATATAATTTGACACACAAGTAGACTACACTAAGATACATAATTCTGTATATCGGTTTTTGATTTCGATAAACGGTGTTGCCGTGGTAACTAAAAATAGAAATTTCTGTGAAATTTCTTTTAAAATGCTACTCCTCCTACAGTTTTGGTCTGATTTCAATATAACTTGGCAAACAAGTAGATTACACTAAGATACATAATTCTGTGTATCGGTTTTTGATTTCGATAAACGATGTTGCCGTGGTTGCTAAAAATAGAAATTGCTGTGAAATTCTTTCAAAATGCTCCTACTCCTCCTACAGTTTTGCTCTGATTTCAGAATAACTTGGCACACAAGTAGACTACACTAAGATACATAATTCTGCGTATCGATTTTTGATTTCGGTAAACGGTGTTGTCGTGGTTACTAAAAATAGAAATTTCTGTAAAATGGTTTCAAAATGCTACTCCTCCTACAGTTTTGGTCTGATTTCAATATAACTTGGCACACAAGTAGACTGCACTAAGATACATAATTAGGTTTATCGGTTTTTGATTTCCATGAACGGTGTTGTCGTGGTTACTAAAAATAGAAATTTCTGTAAAATTGTTTCAAAATGCTACTCCTCCTACAGTTTTGGTCTGGTTTCAATATAACTTGGCACACAAGTAGACTACACTAAGAACATAAAGAGACTTTATCAAGGATCATTGTTCTATTTATTGCTGTTGTAAAGTTTCAATTCCCAATTGCTTAAGTACTTTTCTCTTCCTTTGCTATAAGTACAAACCAGTAGAGCTTCAGTCTCGACAGAGACTTCTGGTTATCATATCTAATATGTTTAAAAGCTTAAGTAAACGATATCTTAGGTATTTAATACTTATATCATTGTTCAAATATTCAACTATTTTTCAAAGTGCTAATTGGAGGTCTTTGATAGCAAATTGCTTAATTAAAAATACATATCTTTTCAAACTTGCTTTCACTGGGCAAGATGACAAGTATCATTTTTAACCATCAGCCTTCCTTCACTAAACGATTAATCCAATCATTAAATGAATTTATAGGAACTCATTTATCTCAATAAACTGTGTACAAATTATTATATGATACTGTAGAGGGATTTCTAAGATATTACAATAAATTGTACAGTCGTTTGTTGAACGAGTTCGACTGAGACAACCATTTTTCATCACAAGTGACCTTAATAGTGACGTCATTTTCACATTGTGACGTCACAAACAAGGAGAGAAACTTTATTCAGCATATGCTATTTATAGACCTTGTGTATGGCTATGTGTGTACCGAATTTCATTCTAATCTGAATTGTGGTTTTGTAGATATAGAGATAGTTTGCGAACTTTTTAATCACCCCTCGTACTTTCAAAATGCTGCTACTCCTGAAGGTTTGGTTTGATTTAAAACTAACTTGGCATAAAAGTAGACTACTCTAAGGTTCATAATCCTATTCATCGATTTTTGATTTCAATGAATGTTGTTGACAAGGTAACTGAAAATAGAAATTTCAATAAAATTCATTTAAAAGGCTACTCCTCTTACAGTTTTAGTGTGATTGCCATCTTTCCATTAATAGAAATTTAATTGAGGATAATTGTTCTATTTATTGCTTTCGCAAAGTTTCAAGTACAACTGCTACTTTTCTCTTCCTTTTTTAAAAATAAAAACCAGTAGAGCTACAGTCTCGACAGAGACTTCTAGTTTTTCATTGCATTTATAGGCTTGATTTGATTTTACATTGAACATTCAGTTAAGAGTTGCTTACAGGAAATTGTTTCAAATTTGAGTGGAGTTGTTGTTGCTATTGATTTTGTGATACAGTTGTATTAGTTTACTGAACTAAAAACTGTTTGAAAACTGTAAATGTTTGTGCGTTGTTAGATCCTGTAAATTATTGTTAGTTTATTGATTGCTGCAATAGTTATAAGTAAAAGGGTACCAATGCATCATTGATGAATCAACAGAAAGGGGAGAATGGAGAGGTAGTGCTATTCACCGGTAGGACCATCACGTCACTCTTATATTGGCAGGGAGGATTTATTTAATAAGAGGAGATTCTTATTCAGCTCAAAATCTGGATAAATGTTAAAAGAAAGAAAACCGTTGAGCCATTGAGACCAGAAAATGGATTACCATTGCTGCCACCAGTGGCATGCTTGATATCAGATGTTTGATATACAGTTCTGTACATTGCCGAATATTGACTTGTGAACAGTAAAAGCCAGGCCATGGGAACAAAGTTCTCTAGAATTCGGGAGTTTGTCGGCAAGAAGAGGTCATCATTTCATAGTGTAGCCTCGTGTACCAGCTTCCCCGCGGATACTCCTGGTAAAGAGAGTCTTATTATAGGAATGTCTTATAATTATAGGAATGTCAGGTTACAGGAATGTCAGATTATAGGAGGGATTCCTATGTCTTTGACAAGATTGCAGTGTCTCTCATATAGAGACATACTGATGAAAACTATGTATTTTATAATGTGTCCCTGGTTTACTACTTAGAGTCTGAAAAGTTGATGGATGAATGTAAATGTCAATATTAAATATTATTTTAGGTATGTATTTACATATTTGTACCTACCGATTAATTGCTGACATAAAGTAACTTTATAGTTCTGTCAGAGAGTTATGATGTTGGATGTATGCACAGTTTTCAAAAGGCATTTCAAACAGCTTATTTAAATTGTTTTACTAATGTTTTTTTCCATTGTACAGAAACTGGGCATGATCCCGCTGTCCATGGAGCGAGGTTAGAGGATCGATTCTACAACAATGACTCCTTCCAGAGCTCCAGCACTGACCCCGGGGATCCACAGCAGCAGGAGGCCGCCCTCAAAATCCAGACGGAGTACCGCCGGCACCATGCTGAACAGGAAGTCAAGGGCATGAAGGAGGAGGAAGCCGCAGTCAAAATACAGTCAGGTTTCCGTGGTTACCAAGACAGACAAAAAGTCCTGGAAATGAAGTGAGTAAACAAGAAAAAAAAATTCTCTAGATTTCTCACAGAAAATTTAATTTAATAGTTTGATACAGAGTTATTTTGGGTGGACAATCTAAAAGCATGTGTCCGGTAGTACATACTTTGGTCACATGGAACATGCAAGAGTCATTCACTTATTGTCACTTGTTTGCATTGCTGCAAATTTTAACCATAGGATTTTAAAATGCCATTTTCAAACTAATGGTACAGCTAGTATTTTGGTATGGTAGTCATGACACACTAACAATGCCTGGCTTGAACAATGATAATCTCCCATTTATAAAACTTCATGTTATTACAGAGAATTGAATTATATATAATCAAGCAGGTACCTATTGATTGCTTTTTGTTCCATGAAATGACTTTTATCTTAGAAAGTTTTAAGAAATATGAGAGTATGCCACTTCTCCCATTTATAAAACTTCATGTTATTACAGAGAATGGTCATAAAAAAGCCAGTTTACTATGTTTGTATATATAATCAAGCTGAGTCGTTAATCCTATTGATTGCTTTTTGGATTCTATTGATTAAACATGGGAAATGCTAACTTTATGAGTGTGATCAGCTTGACTTCTCAAAACACATGGAGTGAGAAGAGAGAGAATATCTTTCACTGTGATCATGAATAATTTAGAATATGGAGAAGTATTTCTGCATGCACAATTGTTCATACAGAAAGATAATACCTAAAATACCAATGCTAAAATTGATTAGGTAGAAGTCAATTTTTAGAGGAATGTTAAGCATTGCAAAGTAGATTAATATTAATGATTTTTTTATACCTAAATCTGAAATGGAGACTCTTAAAATTATGACAAAAGCTAATATTCCAGAAAAATGGATATTAAATGACTAAAACAAAAACCATTTATTTTTCATTTTTTATCTCATTTGCATAAATGGTTTTGGAATGGTTAATTTGCATGTTACAGGGCCCCAAAAAATGGAGTTTGAATGGAGTTTGAATGGGGTTTGAATGGAGATAAAATGAAAAATGTGGTTTTTAAATGGTCATCCTTTCTGTTGAGAATTCTTGAAAGATTTGACGAAATAAAATGGCTTCCAAATGGTTTTTAAATGGTCAGAAAAGAAATGGCTTTTAAATGGTATCTAAATGGATTTCATTTTGATAAGGGGAATTACAAGAGTCAGTCACCTTCGATCAACAATTAACTTATACATCCGCAGTAATGATAACTTTGTGTAAAATTTGGCTTGTCCACAAACATTGATTACCAAGAAATAAAATGATTCTGCAGTAATTGTGAATTGTTTTTAACAATTACTTGCTCCCTGAGGGCCCTTGTTTGATGGACAATCTTTAGACATTATATGTTGTTATTCCAGAGACCCCGAGGAGTATGCCAGACAGCAGAAGGAGGCGGAAGAGAGGCTCTCTAAAGCAGGAAGTAGTAAGGACAGCGTCGATATCGACCTGGATGATCCAGAGGTGGCAGAGGCTGCTGTCAAAATCCAGGCAGGGTTCAAAGGTTACAAAGCTCGCAAAGAGGTCAAGGATAGGAAGGTATGTCAAGGTCAACACATGCATACTAAATTAGTAAGGATGTGTAAACACACAGCAAATGTGGCTAAATAGAGTGTGACTGTTTGTTGTACATTGTATTGCTAATGTCACTCCAGCACCATATAATTAAATTACAATGAAAAAAGAAACAGTTTGGAAAATATTCCCATTCTAGTTTTTTGGCTTTTATTTCAAATTCATTGATTTTATTACATGTACAGATATTTATGGTAAGTTATAGAAATCATAATCAAGGATTAACATATAGTTAGAAATAATGTGCAATATTTAATGCTTATTATAAGGAGGTCGTAAGGATTGATGATTTAATTGCCTGATAGTTTTTTTTTGTGTTTAAGTGCTTTTGATGTGTAGATAATTGAGACTATGGTTTGGCTTTTTGCTTATAATTTATCTCAATGCCATCGCTTGGTCTATTGAACTTATTTTATTCAAAATTATATTTTACTGTCAATGAAAATGGATTGTCAGATCCTATGTGTAACACTACAGCATTGTTATTAAAGAGAGCAACTTAATGACAGGGCCATTTCAGCATATCATAGGTTAATTATTTGCAAACCAGTTGCTTCATCCCAGGACACTATTTGAAAGCAAAAATCAAAATCATGTTTTCCACAAATTGATTCCACTATATGTCCGTGGCTTAGTTGTAAATCCGTGGGTCTCTTGTGGGCCTATGATACCTAGCATCTAATCGGCTGTAATGGAGGTTGACACATATAGCCTAATGGTCTTCTTTACTCTCACAAATCCTCATCAGCCACATATCGAAGTGAATTGATCCAAAGAGGGAGTCACAGTAGAAACAAACCATAAATACTGGGAGGGGTTTAAAGGTCAAAATAACTTCTTTTTATTCTCTGCGTATTTTTGTACAGTTAGTAGATTACATTTATAAAACATGAAATTTATATACTTATACTTAATATCAAGGTTTATATTCTCTGGGATATTTGCTTATTCTTGACTTTAGCATTTCGCTTTGATCAATATTTAGGACTTGATATAAAATTGTATGAACCTGGAAGCTGATAAGTTTTTTGTTAGTTCTATGATATCCTTTTCTTCAGGAAAAAAGTGACGATGAAACTGGAAAGACAGATTCAGACATTATCGATATTGATCTCAATGATCCAGAGTTTGAAAAAGCTGCATGTAAAATTCAAGCGGGATTTAAGGGGCATCTTGTGCGCAAAAAGCTTAAGTCTACCCACTCCATTGATTTCAGTCAGACAGAATATTAATAAACACTCTGAGACATTTTCCACAAAAAAATGTTTTAAAAGTTTTCAACTAACTTTGAAAGTACTTTTAAAATGCATAATTTCCTTTTTGCATTGTATTAGGATAAGTGACAGATGAAGCATTGTAGGAAAATGTGAAATAAATTGGTCCTTGATGAAAAAATTACTATTTCTAGGTGTAATTACTAATTTCAATCAAGGCAGTGTCTTGAAATATGGTGTAAAAAGCAATTAACATCCATTTCAGTGAAAAAAGGACAAGCAATCAACATGTGCAAAGTTACACAACATTATAGATATAGCTATTTGTTTCAAAGTAAATGTGCTAAAAAACCCAATAAAGATCCAATAACGTGTTCTCATTATAATTATCTATACTGAAATCAATAAGATACAGGAAGAGAATAGGTGACAAAAATTAGCGGGATACATGCAGAAATTGCTCTGAATATTACTGCATCAATATAAATTGTGTTAGTTTTATGCAATAGCTTCCAAAAAAGTATTTCTGTACAGATTAATAAACGGGTTCTTCTTGTCAGCCAGTAATCAATAATTTTGCCAGCTTGGAAATCATCCATTGACAGGATATCCACGTTAGACTCGCTTCAAGATTCGGAACTCGCACAAATTGGTCCATTCTCGCCTTTTTTACAAATCAGGATTTTATATCGCTATAGTCAGCAATTTTCTGTGGCACTGGATTATATATCAATTTTGGCCATACTTTGTACCACTTGAATTGAGATCTGCAGCTTATTTTAAATTTGAACCCAACAGGTAGAAATGTTACTTGACTTTTTATTTTTTGGTCTGTTAATTTTTTTTTCATTCAACTAATCCTTTTTTTCCACAAAAATCAATCTGAATTTGTTCTTTAAAGTTTTTGTTAAAAATAAAAAAAAATTGTTCAGGTTTTGTTTAATTTTTGTCTAATTAATGTGGGTTTGTCAAGAATTGCATTTCAAGTTGTGGTTCTACAGATTTATGAGCACAACTGATTAAAAAAGTTCATAATGCTAAATGAAGATTTAATCATATTTTTGTATCATTTTTTGAAGTTTCTAAATTAAGTTGGTTTAAGAATTTATTTTTAAAGAAATGGAGGGTGCATTGCACATGTGATTTTCACTTAAAATTCACCTACAGTTTTCAGGCAAACAATTTTTCACTTTGGTTTAATAATCATTAATATTAAATAATAAGTGTTTAACAGTGTGAATTGTTACTAACTTTCTAGGAACAGAGTGTTGCAGAAAATAATTCAGATACCCAGTTACCCAGTGAGAAAGAAATGGCAGCTGCTGCCACTAAAATTCAGGCCGGGTTCAGAGGCCATAAAACTCGACAAGAAATGAAGGAGAAAAGCGAGGTTTGTGTCTTAATATGGCACCACGTACAGCTCTAGGTGGCGGGCTATACAGGGTAAACAACTCTGTATGTAGATGGCACCGCAACTTAAGGTGGAGGGTAGCACTGTAGATCTCTATTTCTTCGTGGCACCAAACATTTAAGTAGAAAATACCACAGTAGATTTTATTCATCTTGAATAGATAGCACCATGTAATCAGATGGAGTTTTTTTTTAAAATTTTACATAGCACTAGAGAACTAACTGACAAAGAGTATAGTGGATCTTTTTCAGCGATTAGCATACAGCATATAATTCACTTCCAAGATCTAGATGGGTCTTTTATAGTTCACTAGGTGCTTGCACACTCTGTAACTTTATTTATTAATCTTTATTGGAACTGAGATATGTTGCAATATATATATTTTTAACTATTGCAATTTTTATATTTTCACAGGCCATTAATAAGTACAAGTTATTATGTCAGGACCCTTGTGATAGTTTAATATAAAGACATGGTTAGAATAGACAAAGGCTGTTACAGATAGATGGATAGACAAAGAATGTTAAAGTAGACAAAGACTAATTACAGATAGACAAAGACTATTACAGATAGACAAAGACTGTTACAGATAGACAAATACTATTACAGATAGACAAATACTATTACAGACTATTACAGATATATAAATACTGTTACAGATAGACAGAGACTATTACAGATAGACAAAGACTATTACAGATAGAAAAAGTCTATTACAGATAGACAAAGTCTTTTACAGATAGAAAAAGACTATTAAAGATAGACAAAGACTATTACAGATAGACAAAGACTATTAAAGATAGAATAAGACTATTACAGATAGACAAAGACTATTAAAGATAGAATAAGACTATTACAGATAGACAAAGACTATGAAAGATAGAATAAGACTATTAAAGATAGAATAAGACTATTACAGATAGACAAAAACTGTTACAGATAGAAAAAGACTATTAAAGATAGACAAAGACTATTACAGATAGACAAAGACTATTAAAGATAGAATAAGACTACTACAGATAGACAAAGACTGTTACAGATAGAAAAAGACTATTAAAGATAGACAAAGACTATTAAAGATAGACAAAGACTATTACAGATAGACAAAGACTATTAAAGATAGAATTAGACTATTACAGATAGACAAAGACTGTTACAGATAGAAAAAGACTATTAAAGATATACAAAGACTTTTACAGATAGACAAAGACTATTAAAGATAGAATAAGACTATTACAGATAGACAGAGACTGTAACAGATAGACAAACACTGTTATAGATAGTCAAAGACTCTTACAGATAGGCAAAGACTATTACAGATAGACAAAGACTATTTCAGATAGACAAGACTATTACAGGTTGACAAATGCTGTTACAGATAGACAGAGACTATTACAGATAGACAAAGCCTGTTACAGATATATAAATACTGTTACAGATAGACAAAGTCTATTACAGATAGACAAAGTCTATTACAGATAGAAAAAGACTATTAAAGATAGACAAAGATTATTACAGATAGACAAAGACTATTAAAGATAGAATAAGACTATTAAAGATAGACAAAGACTATTACAGATAGACAAAGACTATTAAAGATAGAATAAGACTATTACAGATAGACAGAGACTGTAACAGATAGACAAACACTGTTATAGATAGTCAAAGACTCTTACAGATAGGCAAAGACTATTACAGATAGACAAAGACTATTTCAGATAGGCAAAGACTATTACAGGTAGACAAATGCTGTTACAGATTGACAGAGACTATTACAGATAGAAAAAAACTGTTACAGATAGACAAAGTCTGTTACAGATAAACATAGACTGTTACAGATAGACAAAGACTATTACAGATAGACAAAGTCTATTACAGATAGACAAAGACTATTACAGATAGACAAAGACTATTTCAGGTAGACAAAGACTATTACATATAGACAAAGTCTTTTACACATAGAAAAAAATTGACTAAATAAATAGCCTTGCACATATAGACTCGCAGACAAATACTGTTACAGCTGATAAATAGACTGTTAAAGAAATTCATAATTCTTCATGCATTGTAGGTGATACAATTAAAGATCAATATTAAATGCTTTTTTTTTTTACTTTAAGAAGTTTTACTTTGAAAATTAAATTGTATTAGTGACAGTATTCATATAATGTTTTTTATTAGTTTCTGACACACACACACACGCATACATTTTATTTCAGCTTATGGGGGAGATCATTAGTCACTGTAGCACAGGGCAACAGGAATATAACCATAGATTTACTGGAAGCTAGTCTTTCAGATGTAATAGTCTTGTTAGAATATTACAGTTTATAAAATCATAGGTTTAGGATTGTCAGGTTTTGGGCTGAGCAGGACTAGATGTTCCAATAACATCATCTCAGGCCTTTCCACCAGAGGTCAGAAAAACAACTTTGCATGATATATATATAGTATATATTAGGTAATATCTTAATTAGCACTCAATGAAGTCAAAGTCAATATTCCACAGATAGGAGGTTTCCCCACATTTCTTTCAAAGTTAATAAATAATAAAGATATGTTTATGGATGACTGCCTAAAACATTCAAGGTTGTTTTTCCACTTGTCAGAAAGGCCAGAGAAGTTGCAGTTGTTTCAATCATGTAAATTCATATTTGTGGCTTAATTACATGTACAGGCTGAAGTTTTCTCAATTACCAACAAGGCCTTAGTTATACCATGAGATATGAGTTAATAAACAAACTTGGATTGACTTCCAATGTTAGAGAGGAAAATGACAATTGTTAATAAGATTCCCCACATTAAGAACTGGTGATTCAATGCATTTCAGTATCTCTTGTGTCAATATTCTATTACAGATAGGCAAAGGGGAAATATATATTGCAGAGATTATGAAAATAATGTGCATATGTATGCTAAAATTTCAAGGTCATGGAGTTGTCTTCAAAGTGACTTGGAGGTCACTGGTTTCACATTGTATGATTCATACCTGCACCATCTTTTTGATTTATCTCTTGGTTCTTTCAGAGATACTTTAATGTTAATTAATATTAACAGATTATAATTACCTCATATCTATGAAGAGCTCCCTATTGGCATTCTCTGGTAATTAATCAATATTTTCTGGTTGGCATGGAATATTCACTTCTCATGTTGTTATATTAACTTATTCTATGGTAAAGTAATTAAAGCATTACTTTTCCTGTTTTCCTAATAGTCCATAAATTATCACTATAGATATGTCTATAGTTCAATACTTCTTGCTCACTATGGATGCTTATTAATAAATAATTAATTTAACTTGGCATTTTGAATCTGTGAAATATCTTAAGTTACTGTATTATAATATAATGCTATGTAACAATATTGACTGGATTTTTAATTATTTTCCCCAGCTGTGATTAATACAGGTGTATTTATTATATATGTATATATAACTAATGTGGTGATAACTAACTTTAATTCTTTATGACTTTAACGTACACTTGACAGGATAGAGGAATTTTAAGTGAGTTAGACAAGTCCGAACTAGAAAATGCTGCCATACATATCCAAGCTGGTTTCCGTGGTTACCAAGCACGAAAAGAAATGAAGCATTTGAGGGTTGGTTTGTAGGTCTTACAGTAGCCACTTAGCATTCAATAAGTACTCTGTGTTCTTTATACGGTTCAGCATTTCTCAGATGTTTATCTCTTGTGCTTCTCTCCAATTGTTCGATCTCTTCAATTGTTCTTTGATAAGCCACATATAAAGCTTTGTTCATAGCTGCCTTGTATACTTTCTATGTTGCTGTTTGTTTAATCTTTATACACATGCTATATTATTAATGCATTCTGATTTTCCATGCATAGACTTCATGATCAGGGTTTCATGTTAGGTTTTTTATGATCATATCCTTATATTTGTGCTATAGATGAATAATTATATCAGTAGTACCTTGGTCTTTCTCTGGAGGCTTTAAACTTTGACGTTCTGTAGTGCTTATGTATTCCATCATATTTTGTGATCATAAATCATTATTAGACCACTTAAACAGTGCCAATATGGATATTACTTGAGCCTGTATGATGCTGCATTGTCTATTCTCTTATAAAAAGAATTGATCATGGCCCTTTACTGATTAGGCTGGCATTATATATTATAGATTAGCTTTTCCTATAAGGTTCTTTTCTGCAGTATCTTGATGTATTGCTCAACCTTCACTTTTATCCACTGTATAATTTACTGTTGGTAAAATGTGAAGCCCTCAAATTTTGAAAACATAATCTCAGTCCAGAAAGTTTATACATTTTAAAATATTGAATAGCCTTGACACAGGTTGATGGTTAAGAGGGATGATTAGGTAATGGTTTTTGATTGACAGAATATGGAAGAAAACCTAGCCTCAATAATTCAGCAATTAACTTGTCAATGATCAAATTTTAATTGTTGGCAATAAACAACAAATTTACACTAAGCCATGTACTGTAGATCACTTAATTTCTGTGACACCTTATTTTCGCGAGATAGTCATTGACTCTTGATTAGCGAGACAAAATTTTCACTAATTGTGGTTACTACTCTAAATAATTTTATGGAATACTAATTTATAAGCGAGAATTACATTTTCGTGAGCATACTGTCTCATGTGATTACGCGAAAATAAAATTCTCATGAATAAAGAAGTGATTTACAGTATAACATAATTTTTAACCTCTCTCAGCTCAGGCCTAATTATATATAACTTTCAACCTTGTAGAAAATTGATCTGTAAATTATAAAATTGCTTTTAGTTAACTCAAGATCTGGTTTTGAAAAATATTTAAATGGGATCGAGTTGTAAAATTTAACTAAAAATTAATATTTGGCAACAATTAATTAATTATTAACATCATCATCAAAAGGAGGTGGAATGCAGTAATATATGAATCTCTCGCAATTCTTAATCTTTAATTTAATTTTTTTTTTTTTTTGCATTTGCTTGACTAACTTTTTTATCAGTGTGCTATAAATAACTACAGGAATCACATGACCAAAAGGAAGAGGAAGTTGATATTGACCTCACTGACCCAGATGTAGAACAAGCTGCCCTTAAAATTCAAGCAGGGTTCAAAGGTTACAAGACACGCAAAGAATTTGAGAGCAAGAAGGTTTGCACAAGCATTAATCCGTAGCTACTAACATTGTACCCTACTAATTCCCTTAAAATTAAGCTGCAAAATATCATTAACATTATATTTTGAACATGGGATATTTCTTGATATTTTTTATAAAAGGATGTCATTCAAAATAAACAGGTTAGAAAAAAAAATTATCAAATGCCATTACATGTAATATTGAATTTCTAGCAAGCCACAACGCTTATTAATTTTGATCAAGATGAAGACTTTGTCCTGAAGCAAAATTGACAATAATTGAGTATTCCATTAAAACTTGAAAATTGAAAAAAAGGTATGCATCAAAATTAATGGACAAAATATGAGTTTTGCTTTTGATCAGAAATTCACCAAATTGTTAATAACTTTGCTATTTTATACTTATGTCCTGAAAATAAAGATATTGAGGAAAATAAAGAAAATAAATTACTTAATTATTTCAATACAATTTTTTTTTAGTTCATTTGATTATTTTATCACTGTATATTTACATTTCCAATGTCTTTGTCTGAGATAAAATTACAAATAGTTGATGTACTTTATTTCTCCATTAATGCACTGGTTCATCGATAGGCGCGTTTTTAAAAAAATCACATGCAGGGAGGGACAAATAGCTAGACAAAAGCAGAGCTTGTAGCACGTGGATTGACAGAATCAAGAGCGTGTAAATAAAAGGAATAACTGTCTTATTTTTCGATTTCATGACGATGATCAATCGATTGGCTTGCATAATAATATTATGCATAAACGCCTTCGGAGTTTAAGCAAATATCACGCAAGCCAATCAATTGATCATCATGAAATCGAAAAATAAGACAGTTATTCCTTTTATTTAAAAAAGACAAGGATTAATATAATATATTCATCATATTCATTTAAGACAGATAACATTATCATACTAATCAGGCTAGCTTGACTAATATGTGTAATCCTTGACCCCTGCACAGGTTCAGAGTTCAGAGGTCATCACCTCTGACATCGTAAAGAATGAGGAGGAAGTAGATATAGATCTTAATGACCCTGACGTAGAGAACGCAGCATTAAAAATTCAAACTGGCTTTAGGGCAAATTACAAGGATAGAAAATCAGAACAGGTTCCTCCCTTTACCAATCTATGCATGCCTTGTGTGATTTTTAACATCAGAAAACCAAAATTTCATGTTTTGAAATGCCCACAAAATATTTAATCCCATTTCCTATTTTTCCTCCCCTGTGCTATTCAGAGCAGTTCCACAAAAGTCACCAGTCCTGTTCCCGTGTCCAAACCTGAGTCCGAGGAAGAGGTGGACATTGATCTCACTGATCCCGAAGTCGAAAAAGCCGCCATCAAAATTCAGGCCGGATTTAGCCGCTTTAAAAAAGCTAAGAAACCACCTACAAAGGTTTGAGCCCATTTACAACATTGTTCTACATCGGATGTTTCCCGCCTTATTTTCTGTGTGTAACTGTTATGTTTCAGAATGCCCTTCTAACAACTGCATGAAACCCACAGATATGCGTTATTTCAGAATGCCTTTTTAACTGCATGAAACCTGTAGAAATAAACAGAAACCTAATTTTCTGAAATCTTTTCAGACTATATGTATGATTTACCGTAAAGTGGACATTTTAGTGAGATGCAAAGTTAGCGGCAATTTCTTCCTAAGAACCGGTATTTTATTTTTAGCAAGAAGTAATTTTAGCGATTTTAAAATGCTAGCTTAAGATTTAGCTATTACAAATAATACGCAATTAATTTTTAGCGATTTTTCAATTTTAGCGGTGTCAGCACCCTCCCTAATAATGCCTAAGTTAAATCCTCGCTAAAAATTCTACTTATACGGTAATTATTACTGTATTTGTTTTCAGGTACAGAAGATTTTTTTCAGCTTTTTATTTCCAAACTGTCCTTTTTTAGTTCTCTTAAGTTTTAAATTTTTTAATGTTGTCAACTGTCACATAATTTTTTAATTTTGTTTTTGTCCGTAACCTTCATTTTATTATGGTAATTGATAGATGTAAATTGGAAGCATGATTTAACAATCTCAGAAGTATTTTTTATTAAAGGAAATGTGTCATTAATTATCTAAATTAAAATATTGATGTTTGATTTAAAAAAAAGTCTTTAAGAAAATACATGCATATATTTGTAGGATTTTGTGAATTTATTTATCGATATTTATACAGTGTCTCTTCGTTTCCCCTGTTTAGGATCAAAAGGAGCCGGAGTCTAAATCTGAGGAGGAAACCAGTAAAGAGCCGGATCTCTCAGCCAAGGAAACGGAGGAAGCAGCTCTAAAGATTCAGGCAGGATTTCGAGGCTACAAGACCAGAAAGGAAGTCAAGGAACAAATGTCGAAAGAGGAAGTGAAGGGGGAGGAAAAGAAAGGTGAGGAGGAGAAGGTAGATATTGATTTAAATGACCCCGAGGTGGAGCAAGCCGCCATGAAAATACAGGCCGGGTTCAAAGGTTACCAGACCAGGAAGGAGATGAAGGATAAGATGGACAAAGACACGCAGGAGGCAGGAAGTGAGGAGAAAATAGACATTGATTTAAATGATCCGGAGGTCGAGAAGGCAGCCACCAAAATCCAGGCCGGATTTAAAGGATATAAAACACGGAAAGACATGAAGGATCAGAAGGAGGATAAAGAATAACTTGTCTTTGTATTTTAGGAACTCGTTTTATAATTCCAGTGAATAATTTTACATGTAGCTCATTTCTATATTGTCTCTTCCAAATTTTGTTCTTTCTACAATTTGTTTATATTTTCCCAGATTATATGTGTATTTAAATCGAGTTTGATACTCAACTGCAATTTTTGCATGTTATTTTTTGTGATGATGTTTATGCAGATTTTTAAATGCAAGTGATTTCTTTGTGATGAATGATTTATTTCTGTTTTACAGACTGATATTGTCTGGCTTCAGACCCAGGTGAAGGAGTGATGAACACACACACAAAGCAAGTTTTCTCATTTCACGTGTGCGGGCAAATTTTTGATTTTTTTGCTGCATTAACACCCAGCTTTTAGCTTGATAGCTACCTGTAGTTTAAACAGTCATACGCGTTTCATTCAGACAGACACAAGAAATTTCATACCCATTTATACAGTCATTCAGTAATCAAAGGAAAACTACCATTTTTTTCCTCAATAAAATTTATTATAAACATACTTAAGTTTAATAGCATAAATTCATTTTAAACATGTATAAAAATAAACAGAATAGTTGATAAAATTGAGGTACAATATATCAATAAAAACAACTATGAACATGAAACACCCGATTCATCACATAAAATTTTCACAATCGACTGTTTATTCACAAGACATGTACACTTAAAGCAGTTCTGTAAACAGCAAGTTTGTAGTGTTGCTATAGAATGGTCAAACTTGGGGTGTGTGGTGTGTTTGTATTACTTTATATAAATACATAAACTGTAAATCAGTACAAAGTAATGCTATGTTTAGCCTAACTTTAACATTGTTCTTTTTATTATCTATGATTGTATTTTGTCAGTTTTGTTGTATGTTTTAATGACAACACCTTCCACTCCAGGTAATTGTGGGGTCTTCAGGCCAGAACACAGAGATTCTACCAATGTACTGTGTAAAGTACAAAGGACTGTCTTTAATTCCATTCATATTTACTGTTACTATTTTTATACATGTACAATTTTTGTCCATTTTGCATTTTCCAAATTCTGTACAGTTGTAAAACAGTCTTATATTGATTTATTGGTTTAGATAAATATTTATATTAAAATTTAGTACCTGGCAAGGTACACATCTATGCATAAATTCTGTTTTCTAATTGCTTCTGTAGAAAAGTGACGACTGAGAGATGATGAACATGAGTCAATTGATATGTCATTTTCAAATACATTTGATAATCTGCTGTTATACATATAATCTGAAAATTCAATGCATCAATTGATGTACATGTGGGTAGTTTTGACTTATTGGTGCTTTTAAATTCTTTTTTCTTTAATAACGGAGTTCTTGTTGTATTAAGCTGAGATCAAGATTGAACACACTGAAGAACGACAGCTCCACAGCTACAGTAAAACTCAGTTATAACGAAGTCACTGGGACCTATGAAATTAATTCACTATATCTGTAATACTGTAATATAAAAATGAATCTGACTTAAGATGCCAATTCTGAAAATCATGGATATAAAGCGCTGCCCAACTGCTGCATATCTTAATATTAAACATTAAAATGTGGAGCTATTGCAAGGAAAATCAGGAGTCAATTTTTGAAATATGATTTAAAGATTGCTGCCTTTTCAGAAAAGAATTGAAATTAATTTGTTTAATAACAAACTGTAGACAGTCTGTGAGAGTTTTTGTATTGAATAACTTGTATATTCTATCCTTAAACATTTCTAACATGCCTACATTTGATGTGGTACTTGGATTACATTACACAAGACTACTATCTTGATGTCTGTATACAACTGGCACTATCCAAGAACTCACTATACATGTTACTTCTCAAGAATACCTTATCATAGCATTCATTTGTATTTGTATATTCAAGTATAAAGGAGCTGTTCTGTATTCCCTCCACTCCCTGCTTCTTTCCCCATAAGAAAATAGGCCTTTGAGCTCATTCGAGTACATTTGTGTTCCTAGTAAATTGGTGAATGAAACTGAATACTAACTTATGTAAGTTACCGTATAAGTGGAAATTTAAGCGAGACGCAAATTTGGTGATTTGTCCTTAAAAACGGGTATTTCATTTTTAGCGGGATGTAATTTTAGAGATTTAAAAATGCTCACTAAACAAGCTATTACAAATAAAACAATTAATTTTTAGCGATATTCAATTTTAGCTATATCGGCACCCTCGCTAATAATGCCAAAATTAAATCCTCGCTAAAAATTCTGCTTATACGGTATGTCACTAGACTTGGTATCATGTTTTCAAACATGTATTTAACTTTTTGCATGTATACTAGGACTATAACTAGGTTAGGGTCAACCCTGGCTCTACTTACAGTTGATTATTCCAGACACACCCTGTAAAGGACACAGGGCCTAGAGATTTAATGTGTCTTTTTTTTCTTCTTACATTTACTAGTATTATTTTTCCCTTTATTAGAGCACCCAACCTTTACGAGAGGAGTTGTTTGCCTAGGGGGTGTTAATACTATAGGGCTGTCGTGTACTGGCCCCTGTTCTGATGAGGTTTCTTGACTGAGATTCCCAGAGCAGTCATTGGTGATGCCAGTGGTTGGAATGTTGAGAAAAAGACGGTCTGCTATAGTGCGCTCGCTTGTAGTTGAGTCTTGAGACTGAGAAAGCCTTGGGCTTAACTTGACTTTGTATTCATTAGTTTTCGGGCTTGGTTCAGATTGTGTCCTTTTTCGCTTGTTCTTTTTCTTCTTGGTGGATTTTGTTTCTTTTCCCGCTGTTTGGATGACAGGGAAATGTTTTTCATCCTTGGAGCTAACATCGAAGGAACTGGGAGAACTGTTGTATTTTTCTTTCATGCTTTCATTTATTGCTGTCTTCAAGAGAAGATCGTCACCTATAGCTAAGAGTGAGTTGTTTTTATCCAGTAATTCTTGGGCTTTTGTATCGCTGTTCGTTATCTTCACCCTTTTAATCTTAACAATTTCAGAGTATGAGGGTTGGGCTCCCTGGATGCCTGTACTAAAGTTATTTTCTGTTGACTCAAATTCCAAGTTATTGAGCCATTCAACAGTGCGTGGGATGTTTCCAGCATACCCGTCGTTGCTTATGTCTGAGACACTTTCAGATATGGCGCTGACTGCAGATCGTGAACTCACGCGAGATTTGGGTCTAGCTGCTGTTGAGGTGGTACTCTTCTCCTCTGTTGTGAGGCTACCACTTGGCCAAGACATGTTTTCAACTCGAATGACTGGGTTAGTGTCAATGGCCTTACATCTACACCGGATTTGATTCTTCACCAATATCTTTTTGGCAATGTGGTCGTACTTTTCTTTAAGGGCTTCTTTGAAAACTTTCCGATATTTACTTGCGTGTACTGAGTTGTTCATTTGCTCAAACAAACGCTTCCAATAGGATTGCATTTTTTCGGCATCATTGGCTGGACATGAAATGACTTCTTCCAGAAATTCCAAACTAATGACAAACTGGGAACAGAGTGTATCAATAATGTGTCGGATATTAACATTACGAATTATGTAGCATGGAACACATTCCTGTTTCCTTCTACCCTCCTCAATTTTAGCTTGATATGAATTTTCCAATTGTTCTGCTATATACGGATAGTTTTCTGCTCTTTTCAACACCTCCAAAAAGGAGCTGAATTTTACCCGGCTTCGTTTACCCATGATGACCGCAAGCTTTCTTGTTTGATCTTTCCGTTTTTCACATTCTCGAATATCTGCAGCCTCGTTTTCTGTAAGACAACCATTACCAATAAGTTCATCTAATAAAAGAACGCGCTTTAAATCCATACAGTGGGACATTTGTGGAAGATTTTCCTGGATGCATTCACGATGAATATCCTCAGTACCACTTATACCATCCTCAGAACCACTCAATTCAAAGGCAACTACGAAGGAAGACAAGTATCCTTAAGCTTAATATTTCATCATATTCTGTCACCATATTATTATAAATATGATCGACTTCTATTAAAAATGACTTTATTCCGGACTCTTTATTTTTTCTTGTCTTTTACATGTGACTCTTACACCTCCCTCTCGAGAAATTTTCACTCATATGCAGACGCCACCACTTGTCGGTTGAGAACTGCTATGCTCGGCACTCAGGGTCATTGAGCTGTAAAGGATCTTGATGGTGCCAGCACCTACTGCGACACGGGACCTCGATTTCTTCGCTCTCCAGGTCCCACGGTGAAATTCAAACTAGCGTCTTAAGGATCAAGTTTTTACTTCGCGACTCTAGAGCTGATGATCTTATCACTGCGCCACGCGGGCGAAAACACATTTTAAGACAAGCTTCTTTATTCATAAATATACAATTCAGTGTTTGCTAGCCAGTACCTAGGTTTTAAATTTTTGAGGCAAGGTGCTTAAAATACTATCGATGTGAACAGTACGACAGTAAAAGAAAGTGCAATTTTCAGTTTCACCGTATTGAGAAGGGAGGACAGGGCCATAAAATTTAATAATGATCGGAAACTTACAGTTAATGTTTTTTTGTCCCCCGCTTGAAAAGTAGGGGATGTCCGTCCGTCTTTCTGTCTGTCTGTAACGCTTTCGTTTCCACAGGATATCTCGAGAACCCTTTGAGCTTTCGTAATGAAATTTTGCATAGCAACTCCCTATGGACTAAAGATGAACCCTATTGATATTGAGGTCAAAAGGTCAAAATCGCAAATTCTGTCTGTTATAACACTTTCGTTTCCACGCTATATCTCGACAACCGTTTGAGCTTTTGCAATGAAATTTTACATAACAACTCCCTGTGGCCTAAGGAAGACCCCTATTGATTTTGAGGTCAAAAGGTCAAAGTTAAAGGTCGTTAATTTATACATTCTGTCTGTGTGTAACACTATCCTTTCCGGGCGATATTTCAAGAAGATTTTGAGCTCTTGCAATGTTATTTTATAACAACACACCCTAGGACCTCTCTGACCCCTCTCAAAGTGTCCCGCCCCGTTTGTTTTATTAGTATTTATTGTATTACATGTCGCTATTTTTAGCACAGGGGCATGAGGAGAGTTATTACGTATAAACCAGGTTCTTGTCGGACTTTATATTCTTATATTTCCATTTCTTATTTTTTTCTCTATGATAACTCTTTGAAAATTAGCGGAGTTGATTTCTAGATAATTCTACCGGAATGTAAATTAGGAAGGTCGATAGGTCAGGAGCTAAGGAGGCCTAATATGCAGCCAAATCTCGTGCGCATCTGTCTCTGTGTCTGAAGCTAAGGAGGCCAAATATGCATGTAAATCTCGTGCGTCTGCCTTTGTGTTTGACGTCAGTGGACGAGGACTATTGAAAGTGACATGGGAGTCCTCGTGTAATTTAAACCTATATCTACATTTTAAAGTCTAATTCTACAATTTTATTTCACAATGAAATGGAAATATAAGGAATTGACCGTTATGCAAATTATCCCATGTTTCCCACTATCGTTGATGCCCTGGCACACTATACTAACTAGACAGTGATTCCTTAAATTACATATTAGAACTGTTTAATAAAGGTTAAATTAGACACCATGCAATAGTGACAATATCGAAGGTGAATATTTACATGTATGTGACTTCATCTCTGCATATAATTTAGGCTTGTTTAAAGCGGTCCGTGGTCTAGTGGTATATCTCTCGCTTCACATGTGAGAGATCCCGGGTTCAAATCTCGGTCGATCCATTTTCTTTTTTTTTCCCGAAAAACTTTTTTTTTTTACTAAATGATAGTATTCAGCATGTGAAATGAAAAATTTATGAAGTCTGGCTTGTACAAACTCATAAAATCATCATTACAGTGTACTATGATAAATATTCCATATAAAAAGAATCTTCTATACACAGAATAAAGAATAAACAATCAAATCCTTACACCATATTGGCATATTTTATTTCCTTCAGTGTACATATACATTTAATAATTCTACAAATTCAGTCAGGGGGATCCGATCGACTCCCCCCCCCCCTCCCCCTCGAACTGCGCATGGTTTACTTTTTCCCTACGCGGGGGACATAAATTCTTCATTTACAAGTATCAACACTGACAAAAGCAAAGCCTGGTAGTGGGGACTCATCCATCATTTCTGAAGTCGCATGCCTGGCCCATTTGTTAGAGTGTCTGCTCAAGAGTCGCGAAGTAAGGAGTCAATCCTTGCGTCGCGGGTTCAAATCCCACTGTGGGACGTGGAGATCGGTACTTCGGATGAGACCGTATAAACCGAGGTCCCGTGTCGCAGTAGGCGCTGGCACGAAAAAAGATCCCTCACTGCTCAATGACCGTAAGTGCGTGTATACTGTATAGTACAAAATCAGTATTTGTAGCTCTCCATTGGCAAGTGCTGCCTGGCGTCTCCATATGAGTGAAAAAATTCTCGAGAGGGACGTTAAACAACATTTTAATCATTCCTGCAATTTTAGTTTAAGTATAGAACTTATTTAGAATGATCCTAGTCTAAAAAAAAAAATATTCACATTCATTCAGACAATGTTGGCTGCAATAATTAATGTATTTTCTGCATGCCAAAAGAAATGAAAATGCTGCATTATTTGCAGTTAAGAAAATGTCAGATCCAGCATCCAAACCTACAGAGTGAATCCCAATATGAATCAAAGAATTGCACTAAAACTCAACTCCTCTGGTCACTCATTAAAAAAAACCTTGACCTTGGAGGTTGACCTACTTTTAAAAAACAAACCTTGACTATAACTTTTGAACGGCTAGGGCTTTCATACTTCACATACTTAATCCTTGTGACAAGACCTTTCATTGGATATATCAAAAACTTTGACCTTGGGGTTTGACCTACTTTTTAAAACGTTTAACTACAGTTTGACCTACCTTTCAAAAACTTATCCTTGGCCATAAATTTTGAACAGGTGGCGCTTGGACTTTCATATTTCACAATTGTATTTCTTGTGAGAAAACCTTACTTTTGGGTACCAATATCTTTAATTTACATTTAAGAAAAGTGCATTCTTCGCTATGTTGCAATACGAGGTCAGCAGTGTTTCACAAACACATCTCGTTTTTTTTACCTGCATTGGAACTTTTTTCAATTTTTTTGTCATTGATCGGCGTTCCTTCTACCGCTTCACTGTCTTCCGTTTGGGTCCAGTTTTCTTGCATCCTTTGTCTTTTTCCATTAAGCAGACCAATTTCTTCTCTCATTGCAGTCTCAAAATTTTCAAATAGACCTTCCAACTTTTCAGAACGACTCTCATTCTTTTCAAAACGATTTGACAAATTCTGCAATGGTAATGGCGCTATATGGAATATCAAGTAACGAACAGTATTCAAATACAAAAGTCCATTAACAATACAAAATTGGAGCAGAGCAAACACGGACCTCCAAAAAAAATTCAGAGGTTAGATGAGGTGCCATGAGGAGTGAGCATCCCCTGCCGACCGGTCACACCCGCCATGTGCTCCTTGTCATGTTCAGGGGAAAAACAGGAAAATTTGTGGACAACTCAGTGTTTAGTGATGGCTTGACAATCAGTTTGAGAAAAGTTTAAGGATGACGTTTACTCAGGTTTCAGAAAACAGAGAGGAGATTTTATAAAGTATAATATGTTAAATAAAAAATTGTTCTAAATGGATACAATTACGAAGTTTTAACTCAATATCAATTTAAAAATTTCATACTTTATTATTTGAAGAAAATATACAGGAACAAAAATCAGTGTATGGTAATGCAGAGGAAATTCGGACTAAATTTTTAATTCTTTTCATTTTAGTTAAAATCTTTTATTTCTTGCAATATTAATCATAATGTAAAGGTTACATGTATTTTTAGACACCATTTTGCAAATTTTATAAGTCTTAAAGCTCAACAAATATTTCAAATAATTGAATGCTATTAAATAAAGAAACTCAAAAATATGAACAAAAACCATTCCAGGCAACAATTATCTCAATAATTTGATCATTGACCCCATATAATGTTAATACCATGAGAATTACGGCAACAAAGGTAATATGAGGCTATAAATAATTTAGAGTTCTTACCAGTCAGATTTTTTAAATATTCGATTAAATATGAGGAAAAAATATAAATATGATAGAGGAAATTCGGACTGTATTAATTATCAAGTTTATGCCCATAACTCTATCGTTTCTTTATATGAAGCAACACTGTTCCATTACTAATAATATTTCATTATTTATAGAGTTTTGTTGCTTGTTATATTTTGTGAGTGAAGAAACAATTGGTCATAGAGTGAAAAATTGAGGTATTTCCCGAGAAATACTCAGGGGCCACTAGCATGAAAAGTAGGTCATTGACCTAGGTATTTGAAATTGAAATTTAACACAAGAATTATAGGTGTACAATGTGCAATAGGTGGTTTTTCGTTCTTATCAGTGGAATTTTTAGTCATCTGAGTAAAGGTATACCATAATGATGAATTATATTTGCTGACAAGGTCATTGCATCGACCATAGAACTTACGAAATGCTGAAGGTAGGATTCTTCTCATATTTCTTGTATTTAAAAATTAATGAAATTTTCACAGAATTGATAAGACAATATCACTAAGTGATGGTACAAGTGAGATTATAAAGAACTTTATTCGGTAATAACCAATATTTGCCCCCCAAATCAAACGTTGATGGAGATATATTTAATTAAGTTCTTAAACAGGGGAGTATATGCTGACTTCAAAGCACTGAATATTTTCGTAAGTAATGACGCCATATGTACGTAATGACGTCACAAACATGACATAAATTTCCGTTTTTTATGAATTTAATAGAAAAATGTACATATTTCGTCGATATTTTGAGTAAAAGTCACCGAGCGCATGTGTGTTCAGGATCAATATTTTGATATGATGTGTAGAATGATAATATCAATGAAATATGTCAATATTGTTCCTGAACAAACTTGCGCTCTATAAATTTTAAAGCTAAAATTGTTGAAATTTTGTCCATTTTGTCCTCTTTCTGAAAAAAGATATGAAATCGGACTAGTTTGTGACGTCATAAAAACAAAAATTGTGAATACACTGCTTTGACACTATAATATTTTCTGTTAATTTATATTTCTCATACAATTTATTGAATTCTGCACATTTCAGGTAGTTTTCAAAATTTGACTCTTGTGGGGGCAAATATATGGAATATACCGCATATAGTTCTTTGACTGTTTTATATTAGAGGCAAGGTCAGGTCAAGGTCATTACCTTTTTCCTGGACACTAATAATAAAAAAATTACTGTTGTCAATTACTGGAGTATGCGATCCCTACTTGTATTTCAAAAGAATGAATGTTTTTTTTACATAAAAAGATTATCATAAACTTGACATAAAGGGCCTATAACATGATATTACCAAATTCACACAAATAATTTAACTAAAATGGATATTGGCTAATCCAATTTTTCTCTACTTTTCTTAAGGTTTTAGGATATATTAGTTATTTTTGTATGCTTCCTATATTTAAATGTTTCTCCTTTTCACATATAGTAAAGTTGTCACATAAAGATACAAAATGATTCAAAAACAAAAAGTTTTAATAGTTTAAAAGAGAGAAAAAAAATACTTTTTAAATTACGAATTTCTGGCTCAAATCTGTACTCAGGGTAGAAGCTTATGAAAGCTTACACAGTTCTAGTTTGTGTGAAAAATCATATTTATTTGATATATTTAGGACCTTTAGTCCTTATTATTAATTAAACTTACATTTGAAAATTTCTTCAAGTCTTTGATTGTGTACAAATTATGACTAAAATCTTTGATAATCTTGAGAGGCAGAAAAGAAGATAATTTCATACGCCACCACTCCGCCAAAAATATAGTCCCTGCTAGTTTTCAAACGCGGTTTACCTATTCTATTTAAAGTTGTACAATTGTTATGAGAAAAGAACATTTCATCTAGTCAGAAACCAGAGAAGAATCCTACCTTAAACGGGACTGCTGAATTTTTTGCTTCATTAACTTGTTTGTCGATAACTTACCTCGCTTTAGAAATTGTTCATACATACTAGTAGAACATGCCCTTCCATATAGAATCAACTGAGAGATATATATACTCCGCATGCAGATGACAAAGGTATGTTGCTGCATAAGTAAATGAAGTTAACGATTAAAAAGTTAAAGTCATCACGTTTTCACATTTAGCTTTGTTGTTAGATAACCATTGACATCTTTTTCTAGTAAAACATCCAAATGTGAAACAGTCAAACTCTGTAGTATCTTAAATATTATTTCAAAGTATATGTATTGTTAAATTACAATACGTATTCGATAAATGTGTCCAGTTGAAGGTCACAGCAAGTGTTTTCTTCTTTTCGCATAAAATATTTTGAACAAATTCTGCTTCACAGGAATACAAAAAAAAGGTCTGCTATTGGTACCCATGGGAATTCGAATAGATTGTCGAAAAGACCTGGTCTCCAAAACAACATAAATATATTGAAAATCAGAAACTTGATCATCTTTTCAATATTAACTGCAGAGTACTTGTTGTGTACAGTCAGAATGTGTTTAACAGCCGGAATAATTTTGCAAATTACCAATGACAAGGTAAGTAAACTTAAGAGTTCCAGTTTTATTGAAAAAAAAAAACAGCTGCCAATATCAAAAGCCTGGATTTAAATTATCATTGGGAATGGTTGTGTATAAAGTTGAAAGATCATAATTTTTAAGCTGTTGAATTTGGTAAAATTCTGTGATTTCAAATTGTCCAAAAGTTCCTTGGAAATTTCAAGTATCCACATCTTTCTTCACTTCTGGATTATTGAATACAGAAGGATCACAGATCTATGGTTTTCATATTGCCCCTCGATTTTTAATCAGACTTCTGGCAATTTCTTTCATTTGGGGGGGGGGGGGGTCCACAGGATTTTATTTATTTTGCTTTCTCCTCATGATAATGATTAGCTTGATGGCCATGTGTATTGAATCTCGTTTGGTTATTTAAAATAAAAATATTTCTACACGACAAAAAGTAGACACTCACACATTAAAACAAACTTACCACAAGCATCACTAAAATAGACTGTATCATGTGTTGGTTTTCGTCGGCCATGTCAGTTGATGCTAAATATAAATTGAGTATGTTGAGAGTGTATTAATTTATATCGACAAGTGTTTTTAATTAATTTCAGAAGCGTAAAAAAATGTTAATTAATGCTTTTAAAAATACCTTTAATAGGGATCACTGTATACATGTACGTCTAGATTATGCTGCCCAGCATTTCCTTCGTTCAATGTTGATGATCGTGACCTTTCAACTCTTAAAAATGGAATTCCCCATTGAATAAACATATAGAGGGGGATTAAACGGCAATTAGAATATCTCTACTTCCAAAATTATATGAAAAAAGTTTTGCTTTGGAAGTGGCTGATTAATTCTTGTTTTCTTTGCAAAAGTGCAATCGCTGAACATTATTTTCCTCCCCGGTTTTTCAGATTGAACTGAATCGAAACCAAATGCTAAAGATAGGAAAGGGGAACTCCAACAATATTTTTAAAAAAAAAACATAGAAGAACGAGAAGTGGAAAGAGGGGGTGGCGATCGAAAACGGGGGGGGGGGGGGGTTAGAGAGAGAGAGAAACGGACGCCTGAGACCATGCCCCGGGGCCACGAACATTTTATTTTACTCAACTCAAATCTGTGTAGAGTAAACTTTACTTAACTCTCCGGAGTTGCGACTGAAAAAAGTGTGCCACGAACGCCAAGGAAACTCAACTCACCAGAGTAACAAAACTCTGCATGAAACTCAAATTGTTTTTATTGATGTAAGTGGCCCTGGCAATGTAAATAAAAGAAAAATAAATATTGAAATACCTAATTTCTTTGTTTACTATTTGGATCTACCTCTAAAGTGCAAATTCACTTAATTGTGACGTAATATTTTTATTTTGATGACGTTGCATATACTACGGAACGTCTGTCTCACCAATAATGGAGGGGATGGACGTACTATATGATATTATTATAGAAAACCCTTCTAAAATAAGCGAAACAATTTTCGAGCCAATTGAAACCCCTCTAGCATCATCCACTCCAAAAAGGAAACCCGCCTGGAGCGACCTAGAACAGGGTGTTTTAATCGATTGTGTCGCCAAAAATGAACAGAAACTTTTCGGAAAGTTCAAAGGACCCGGGAGGGGTAAAGCTGAGAGGGAAGCAGCCTGGGAGGATGTGGCAAGAGCTGTAAACGAGTATGTTTATTTAACTATTATTTTTATAAATTTCCTTACCTTGACAATATTTTAATACATATTAAAATTCTTTAAAAGTTTAAAATTATTTTTGCGTGTATAATGTTAGTTATGAGTTATTTGTTGAGTTTTTTTTTATCTAATTAAAAACACTTCAGACTATATATAACACACATATTTTCGGAAAGTGTCCTTAAAAGAAAAAGAAAAGTAAATGCCAACAGGTCCATCTTACATAAACTACTAGTTAGCAGAGTAATACTATACATCATATATCGGTATAACCCGGGCGACCCTCCCTCTTTTTAAGAATGTCACTGTTTAAACAAAAATTAAAGCGGAAAGAAAATTTTCTTATTAGGCCTAATGTAAATGTTAAAAGTTAAAACTTTTCATATTAGTAATTTCAATTTATGGTGAAAAAAAATTACTGATGTGTTCAAGACCGTATTTAAATAACCTTTCCGAAGTGGATTTGTTTGGGCGCACTTGCACCCCCTCTTTAGAAAGTCTTAAAGTGAATATGACGTCTTTATATATAAATTTAGACTGCCTAGAATTAAACAAAGGACTTTCTTGTAAATCAAATTATTCAGACGCGCTTCAGATATCCGAAATATAAAACAGCATCCACATTTAAGTATCAGACACAGTTTGAGGTCAATTAAGGTATAGAAATATGGGGATGTTAAATATCAATAAAATAAAAATTACATATTTCTATCTCATTTCATACTTAAGAGTTGCAAGTATTGAACTGTATTTCTTTAATATGACAATGTTTTATTACCGATTTATTTCTGTATTACAGAGTAGGTATTTACCTGCGAACAGGAAAAGAGGCGTCCAAACAGTATGCAAATTTGAAAACCAGAGGTACATATATATTTAAGACAAAAATTAAAGGAAAAAGATATCTTTCTATTTGTATTAATTTTTTTTATAAAGAAAGAAATTTCCTGAAAAGTGCTATATAAATCGCGTTTCATAGATAATTGAAAAATCTAAAACAATTAACCGATTCATTATCGATTTATTTATCGACTCTGCATTTAAATAAAACAAAGTTTAAAGTCAATTTAATTACAGAAAAGTTCAAAATTGGTGAAATGTTTAATTTGAACGTAAATATCTGCACTTATTTCTGTATTGTTATTTTTTTCAGCTCAGTTACGCTTTATCAAACATTGTTTATAGCATTTTTCTTAATACACGTACGTGTATCGATTAGAACGCTCTTTTTTTTTTTAAATTTGCGACCAAGTTTCTAAAAAAAAAGGTATTGTTATTGATCTTCATAGCAAAGGACAAATTGTCTCAGACAAAAAGACCCAAGACAGGTGGAGGTCCAAAGCCCCCATCACCAACCCCAGTTGAGCAAGCCTTGCTAGATACGCTGGAAGGAAGGCCTTCGATGCAGGGGTTGAGCTCGGGTTTTGATTCTGGTGGTAAGAATACTTGCTTGGTGTAAATGAAATACATGTAACCACCTTTATAATGTAATAATAACAAGTTATAACTTTAATACTATTTCGAGAGATATTACTGTACAATATATACACTTCGAATTGACAAGAAAATCTAGTGGAAAAAGTATGCACGTTTATTAACTAGACATGTTCAAAAAATACGTCCATGTACATACTTAAATCTTGAACAGAGTTTTTCACTTTAAAAAGTGTTGAAATAGTGCGCCTTTTATATCATTTTGGGGTGAAAAGGGATAAGAAAACCCCTTACGTGAACGCATGAATAAATGTGTTACGTGCTGATTCGCACTTATTATTAATATTATTAATATTATATGGACCGCTCTCTGGGAAAAGGGGTCTTAATGACAAAATTTTCGAAATTTACTTTTTCAAATATTTCAAATCTACAGCAAATTTGGGACACACAGTCAAAATTTGAGCATTAAATTTGCTTTAGTTTTAAAGTTATACGTGTTTGAACACAACATGTTGCAATTAAATAATAACGTCAATGACGTTATTCAATATAACGTCATCCTTTTTTTTTTATTAAAAATGACGTCTTAGATACAAAGCCTTTCAATAACGTTATCTTAAAAAGAAATGACGTTTTTGAAACAAAGTCTAAGATTAATTTGATGATAAAATAGAATAACCCAATTTTAATTTTGATATAAATTATTTTTTCCTAACACATTTTTAAATAAAAATATCATGAAGCACATTTATTAAATTATAAAGTGAGTGTATCCGTACATGTTGTACAGCGAATGACATTGTGTTTATGTATATCCAATTGATTTCATAAAGGTTGACTACAAATGTTTTTTTTTTTTTTCACAATAAATGTTTATAAAGGACTAACAATGTAATTATGATAGCAAAGAAACAGAAAACTAATATACAAAACAAAGCTTAGTATCATTACATATACGTTATTCAAGTGGTTAACAGGCCCGATGGGAAATTGTGACCAGATAAATGTTTGCGGGCGTCAATAAGATCATTGGTCAGTAAACTAACAGGTCAATCCTGGGTAAAATCTCTCGTCTTCTAATACGCTGATCTTTACTTCTGCTTTTGAACCTTATTCCTCTACGGACAAAATATCAGGCTTTGTATTTTGTGATCAGTTGAGTTGAGTACATTTAAATTCCCCTTAGAGATGTAGGAAAGTCTTACATTCCAGTGAGCCACTGTGAGCCACTGTCATGCGGGGTACCCGAGAGCCAAGTGAAAACTGTTCCAAGATTGTTTCAGTCTGATCAATGAATTAGTCTCCTAAGTTTATAATCAATGTTGCAAGCGTTTGACATTGAACTTGTATCATAAACTGATTTGTCCTGCTGCCCCGTCATAATTTGCCACATAAAACATATACATATATTCCATTAATAAAAAAAATCTTGTTTTGGCCGTTGCAGTTATCAGTATAAATTGTACATAAAAGTTATGTATTTCAAAGAAATCGAATAGATCAAATAATTGAATCTGGCCCATGTGTATTTGTAGCTTTAAGCACTACAGTTTCATGTTGAGAAATTTAAAATAAAAGAGATTAATCGTCTTTTCGGAAACCAAACTTCTGGATTTTATAAAGAGTCAAGAAATGGAGAGGCTATTGGAGAGCATAACGAGGTATAACTCATCGGTATCTGAGATGTTACTTAAATATTACATGGCGTTCTGGAGAAGTGTTAAGGTCAGATGACACGTTCCTCAAATATATGTTTTGTATCTCTTGGTATTATACCAAATATTATTTATATTTGTCATTCTTTTCTGATTTCTACATTGTTTTCAAAATGTTTTAAGTATAAGTACACCAAAAATAGTGTTATAGAAAATTTAGAAGATTACCCATAAGGGTTGTATAAGAAATATGACCCTATGGTATCTTGGACAAATGCCTGGTAAGGTACCATAATTTTTTGTGAGGAAACTTCTTTAAGTACCTATACTTGAATGACAAATTCTTGGGAAAAATTATATATTTTTGAGGAACGTGTCGTCTGACCTTAAACGTTGAGACTGCCAAACCCTGAAAAGAAACCAGACCTCTATCTAAAGACGTGTGTTGAGTTAATAATTAAATAGCTAAGACCATCTTTGAAAAAAAAATGGTTGTCCTCTCGTGATCGACTGTCTAAAGATGGCCCGACTCAAAACTTTTTTTTTGACATACCAGAACACAATATTTTTTTCTTTTTATTCCTCTTATTACGTCAACAAGTATGTTGAAATTTTTTTTTCGACCTACGTAATGATCCAATAATTTACCCCAAGTCGGGAGAGGGTAAGCAAACATTATTTTTAAGATGGCCTAATTAACATGCGTGAATTTAACTTGCTGATTAAAATTTGAAAAGAAATAGTTTTAGAATAAAGAAGACTTAACATGATATGCACATGCTGTAGGAGGTAATTTTCGTTGAAAGAGGGGGATCAGCCTATCAGAAAAAAAAACTCACATTAATTTTTAACCAATTAACCAAAATTTATTTAAATATTCCTTTGAATAGTATTTACTGGTAAAGCTTTAAAGGGTTAAACTTTTAATGAGCTCTGTTTTCTATTAAGTGTAGTGAATTACCCCCTCCCCTCTGGTTTATGAAGAATCACTCGTTTTCTTACGGTGCAACGTTAGATCAAATCTCTCCATTAAAGTCAATCAAATATATGTAATATGTGCATTTTTATAATTACTAGTTCTCAATAAAAACACAAACTAAATTTTGAACTTCCAGACACCTCAAGAGTGGATAGAGAACATGTATTTATTTCACACAACCCCCCCCCTTCGGATGGAGTTTATTTGAGTTACTTTTCATGATATGACATGACATGATAAAATCAAATCTACCATTTTGAAAACACCTAACACTTATTTTCGGAGAATATCTTTGCTTATGAATTAAAGTATAAAATAATAAAAATTATAGATTTGACGGAGAGTGTTTTTAAAATGATATGATCGCTACATTTTTTTTTTTATTCGGAGAGGTACAGTTCTGTAGTTTAATAAAAGAGATAATTTAAGTAATTTTAAATAACTTGTTTCTGATCCCATTGAGTGTCAGAAATATGTTTAAAACAAACAAAAATGTTACGTAGCGCTCAAATTTACTAATTTTTTTTTTTTAATTTTACATTATTCTATTTTAACAGAATTGGAGACGGATAGGGATCAGCTGGTAGCATCCACCTCAACATGCAGCGAGTTGTCTTCAGACACAAGTACTTCAGTGCCACCTCCTTGCTCTAATAAAGAAAACAAAAAGGAACAGAGTTTAATAAATCTACAGAAAGATCTTCTAAAGACAGAAAAGAGAAAGTTAGAGTTGGAAATGGAGCTAATGCGTTTGAAGAAAACGAAGATTTCGGAAGAAGTTGAAGTTTTGGGTTTAGAAAAAGAGAAGCTGAAAGAAGAAATAATGTTATTAAAGTTGAAAAAGAATTAAACGTATACTCTTATAAATGCAAATAAATTATCAATGAAATTATATATTATCTTTATCAATATTTACGTATTCAATGGCCAAAAAACACATTGGCAATGTGATCTCTAACATGCTTTCCTTCGTGTTGCCCTCCTACTGCAGGCAGCGCCACCTCGTCGATCAGTTGACATTGAGCAGCTGGTATCACATCTACAATGTCTTGTCTCTCTATCCCAAGATTGTGAAGAACTGTGCAGGCTACTATGACGGCGCATGCTCTGTCGGGCTCCACCCGTAAACCTGTCTGTAGACAAGGAAACCTCCTCTTTAGAATCCCAAACGCTTGTTCAATAACCACTCTCGTGCGACATAAGGAAGTATTAAACTTCTCCTGCGCTCTGGTACTGGGGGTCAAATAAGGAACCATAAGATACCTCTTGAGGGCATATCCTGAATCGCCCAAAATAACACCATTTCGCGCACCTGAAAGCATAAAAATTCTATGTTCTGAACAGAATTTAAGAAAATTATCCAGTTAACTTAAAAATTACAGCACTTTAGAATGCTGTTTGAATATCTCGCAATCTCAATATGTTAATGTATGGCTGGATATTTTACGAGAGTATTCTAACTTTTGAAATTAGTTATTTAAGATTTTTTTTATTTATGCCTTACCAGTTTCGAAGAGTCTAGCAAGTGACGATTCTCTAAACACACGGGAATCATGGACACTACCCGGCCATTTTGCAACGCAGTTTACAAATCTAAACGAGGCATCACAGGCCATCTGAAAGAAAGTAATATTAACGATTCTTTTCCGTCAGTTTTCTTTCTTTTTATTGGGGGGGGGGGGTATAAATTGGTTAATGATATCTAAGCACCCCTCCCCTAAAGGCTTATTACACGCTTTCTTTCTTTTTTTTTGGGGGGGGGGAGAGTATAAATTGGTGCTTGATATCTAAGTACCCCTCCCCTTAAGGCTTATTACACGATAATAAGTGATATGTACATTTGTGACATGTGATCACGGGCGTTCTTTTTTTCAACTTTATTATACAGAAATTTTAAAATCAAAGGTAATTTATTTAAGAGTAAATAATTCCTAAATGCAAGGTATTAATTATTACCTGAACGTTAATCGCATAGTAGCCCTTTCTACATACAAACTCTGCCTCATTCTGTTTGGGACACTGGATTCTAATCAGTGTTCCATCAACACAGCATACCACGTTTGGAAAACCTTCAGAGAGAGAGAGAAAAAAAAGCTTTTATCTCATAAATTATTTATATTGTAATTTATAGGAAAATAATTAAGTCCGAATTCTAGATATCGAAAGAAAACCTAATATAGTAATGGGGGGGGAGGGCTGTTGTTTCTTTTACAGTAAATTTTCCCAAAAATGCTGGTTCCCTTACCCTTCATCCATTCTTTTTTTCTTCAAATCAAGCACTGGCCATTGGCGTCGGAAGCAAATTGAAAGTGGGGGGGGGGGGGCTTAGTGTAAGAAAATTTTTTTTGTACCTCCGAAAAAACCTGACAAGCAAAAAAAAAATGTCTAGTTCCCAATTACGAAATTCGTGGAGGGGGGGGGGGGCTAGGTTCGAACTCCAGTACCAAAAATTTTCTTCCAAACACCAACACTTTTCCCAATTTTAACCTATACTAAGACGTATCTGTGGAAAGTGGGGGGGGGGGCTAAACTTACGAAGATATGTTCAATGTCTATACAAAGTATATATTTGGAAAAATAAGGGGGGGGGGGGTAAGCCCCCCCCCCCGGTTCCGACGCCTATGCTGGCAAATTCTGCGGTTTGATAGTAAATTGTTTTTCTTTGCTTGTCATTGGGGAGGGAGATTGACTCCTTTTGAATACCTTGCTCCGGGCCTGTAATAATTATCGACCGCATGCCGGTCTATTTGTGGTTGTGAGAGAAATAGGGAGAAGTGAAATAAGGAGTGACAAGAAAAACAAGAGGCCCGTGGGCCACATCGCTCACCTGAGCACTGTGGCATAAAAGCAGAAATTATTTTATTATTGAAAAGTTTAAACCAAAAAGTAGTCCCAACCATTCCTTAAAGGAGAGATGGAATGATTTGCACAAACTTGAATATTCTATACTACCTGAGGATGATTCCATATAAATATGACCAGTCATGCCGGATTTGTTATTCTTGAGAGACGATTTTTAAAGAATTTTCCTATATATTTCTATGTAAAACTTTGGTCGGCCATTGTTGCCCCGCCCAACCTACGGGGGTCATGATTTGAACAAACTTGAATCCACACTACCTGAGGATGCTTCCATATAAATATGATCAATCATGGCTTAATTTGTTATTCTTGAGAAGAAGATTTTAAAAGAATTTTCCTATATATTTCTATGTAAAACTTTGGTCAGCCATTGTGGCCCCATCCAATCCCCGAGGATCATGATTTGAATAAAATTGAATCTACACTACCTGAGGATGCTTCAATATAAATATGACTAATCATGGCTAATTGCTTTTCTTGAGAAGAAGATTTTTAAAGAATTTTCCTTTGTATTTCTATGTAAAACTTTGGGCCGACATTGTGGCCCCGCCCTACCCCCCAGGGTCATGATTTGAACAAACTTGAATCTACACTACCTGAGGATGCTTTCATATAAATATGACCAATCATGGCTAATTGTTATTCTTGAGAAGAAGATTTTTAAATTTTCCCATATATTTCTATGTAAAACTTTGGTCGGCCATTGTGGCCCCGCCCTACCCCCGGAAGTCATGATTTGAACAAATTTGAATCTAGTCACTACCTGAGGATGCTTCCATATAAATATGATCAATCATGGCTTTCTTATTCTTGAGAAGAAGATTTTTAAAGAATTTTCCTATGTAATTCTATGTAAAACTTTGGTCGGCCATTGTGGCCCCGCTCTACCCCCGGGGGTCATGATTTGAACAAACTTGAATCTACACTACCTGAGGATGCTTCCATATAAATATGATCAATCATGGCTTTGTTATTCTTGAGAAGAAGATTTTTAAAGAATTTTCCTATATATTTCTATGTCAAACTTTGGTCGGCCATTGTGGCCCCCCCCCTACCCCCGGAAGTCATGATTTGAACAAATTTGAATCTAACCTGAGGATGCTTCCATATAAATATGATCAATCATGGCTTTCTTATTCGTGAGAAGAAGATTTTTAAAGAATTTTCCTATGTAATTCTATGTCAAACTTTGGTTGGCCATTGTGGCCCCGCCCTACCCCCGGGGGTCATGATTTGAACAAATTTGAATCTACACTACCTGAGGATGCTACCATATAAATATGATCATACATGGTTTTGTTATTCTTGAAAAGAAGATTTTTAAAGAATTTTCCTATATATTTCTATGTAAAACTTTGGTCGGCCATTGTGGCCCCGTCCTACCCCCTGGGGCTCATGATTTGAGCAAATTTGAATCTACACTACCTGAGGATGCTTCCGTATAAATATGATCAATCATGGCTTTCTTATTCTTGAAAAGAAGATTTTTAAAGAATTTTCCTATATATTTCTATGTAAAACTTTGGTCGGCCATTGTGGCCCCGCCCTACCCCCGGAAGTCATGATTTGAACAAATTTGAATCTACACTACCTGAGGATGCTTCCATATAAATATGATCAATCATGGCTTTGTTATTCTTGAGAAGAAGATTTTTAAAGATTCTATGTCAAACTTTGGTTGGCCATTGTGGCCCCGCCCTACCCCCGGGGGTCATGATTTGAACAAATTTGAATCTACACTACCTGAGGATGCTACCATATAAATATGATCGTACATGGTTTTGTTATTCTTGAAAAGAAGATTTTAAAAGAATTTTCCCATATATTTCTATGTAAAACTTTGGTCGGCCATTGTGGCCCCGCCCTACCCCCGGAAGTCATGATTTGAACAAATTTGAATCTACACTACCTGAGGATGCTTCCATATAAATATGAGCAATCATGGCTTTGTTATTCTTGAGAAGAAGATTTTTAAAGATTTTTCCTGTGTAATTCTATGTCAAACTTTGGTCGGCCATTGTGGCCCCGCCCTACCCCTGGGGGTCATGATTTGAACAAATTTGAATCTACACTACCTGAGGATGCTACCATATAAATATGATCATACATGGTTTTGTTATTCTTGAGAAGAAGATTTTTAAAGAATTTTCCTATATATTTCTATGTAAAACTTTGGTCGGCCATTGTGGCCCCGCCCTACCCTCAGGGGTCATGATTTGAACAAACTTGAATCTACACTACCTGAGGATGCTTCCATATAAATATGATCAATCATGGCTTTGTTATTCTTGAGAAGAAGATTTTTAAAGAATTTTCCCATATATTTCTATGTAAAACTTTGGTCGGCCATTGTGGCCCCGCCTTACCCCCGGGGGTCATGATTTGAACAAACTTGAATCTACACTACCTGAGGATGATTCCACATGAGTTTCATCTTTCCTGGCCCAGTGGTTCTTGAGAAGAAGATTTTTTTAAAACGCCATTAATTTTTCACTAATTAATAATTATCTCCCCTTGGAAGAGGGCGTGGCCCTTCATTTGAACAAACTTGAATTCCCTTCACCTAAGGATACTTTGTGGCAAGTTTGGTTGAAATTGGCCCAGTGGTTCTAGAGAAGAAGATGAAAATGTGAAAAGTTTACAGACAGACGGACAGACAGACAGACAGACGCCGGACAAAATGTGATCAGAAAAGCTCACTTGAGCTTTCAGCTCAGGTGAGCTAAAAAACTTAAAGTGAGGGGTACAAACCCCCACCCCCCCCCCCCCTTTCTCTCTCTACAAAATGTGTGTCAAATTCAAACTAGAATTTCAATCCAAATAATTTTAATCAAGCGAGTTCATCACTTGTAGAAAAGACTACAAAGGGTTGGGAGATGGATATAATGTATAGATTAGTTAAATAATGTGCCCAGAATTAGGGAGTAAAAGTAGTTTATTGACCGATGCTTGAAAGTGGAGAAATTCTCCCCAAAAGTGCGCAAAAGATATTGCGCCGTAGATTGCACCTTTTTTGCTGTAGCGTTATGGTCAAAGACAAATACACATGTACATAAAATCATAACGCTACAGATCTGCAGCTGCTTAGAGGAATGAGCATCCCATCTTCAGATTTACTTTGTAATTAACTTTGCAACATTTTAATTCAGTATGTTGCAACTATTTGTCATGTAAATTCTGTATAAAAATTTTTACTGCCAACCGGTAAATTCAAAATTTTCATGACAATGTTTAGTTATTTACTTCGCTTTTTAGAAAAAAATCTACATTATGTTTAAGAGTTATATAATATCAACTTCTCAATAAAGAATAGGAATACTTACTGTAACATGTACTAGTATATGGAATTTGAAAAATAAGTTTTAAAAAAAATGTTTATTTGCCATCTCCCAACTCTCAGCCTGGGTAAAACAAGAGGCCCATGGGCCACATCGCTCACCCGAGCATTGTGGCTAGGAAAAAGTAGTAATTGGTTTACTATTGAAAAGTTTGAATCCAAAAGTTTGGCCCCGCCCTACCCCCGAGGGTCATGATTTGAACAAACATGAATCTACACTACCTTGGGATGCTTCCATATAAATATGAGCAATTCTGGCTTTGCTGTTCTTAAGAAGAAGGTTTTTAAAGAATTTTCCTATATATTTCTATATAAAACTTTGGTCGGCCATTGTGGCCCCACCCTACCCCCGGGGGTCATGATCTTAACAAATTTGAATTTACACTACCTGGGGATGCTTCTATATAAATATGAGCAATTATGGCCTTGCTGTTCTTGAGAAGAAGATTTTTAAAGAATTTTCCTATATATTTCTATGTAAAACTTTGGTCGGCTATTGTGGCCCCGCCCTACCCCCGGGGGTCATGATTTTAACAAATTTGAATTTACAATACCTGGGGATGCTTCCATATAAATATGAGCAATTATGGCTTTGCTCACGCGTTCTTGAGAAGAAGATTTTTAAAGAATTTTCCTATATATTTCTATGTAAAACTTTGGTCGGCCATTGTGGCCAAGCCCTACTCCCGGGGGACATGATTTGAACAAATTTGAATCTACACTACCTGAGGATGTTTCCCCATAAGTTTCAACTTTCCTGGCACAGTGGTTCTTAAGAAGAAGATTTTTAAAACATACCACCAAATTTTCACTAATTCTCAATTATCTCCCCTTGAATAAGGGCATGGCCCTTTATTTGAACAAACTTGAATCCCCTTCACCCAAGGATGCTATGTGGCAAGTTTGGTCGAAATTGGCCAAGGGGTTCTTGAGAAGAAGTCGAAAATGTGAAAAGTTTACAGACAGACAGACGGACGCCGGACAAAATGTGATCAGAAAAGCTCACTCGAGCCTTCGGCTCAGGTGAGCTAAAAAAAGGTAAGTAGTTGGGAAATTATTTTTACCTAGAAAATTTTAACATAAATGTTGACAGATTGGGGGAAAATGGGGAAAAAAATAATACCTTTCAAATGGAGGTTAAAAAAGTTTTAAAGTTCATTGGTACTCTCATAAGAGAGATAAAATCTTAATGACATACTAGTAAATGCCTATTATTCCGTTATAGATTTGCCAAGTTGAAGTGTCTTTTTTGTCCTATTTTGCCCTGCAAGCTATTCTATAATTGTTTGTATTTTACTTATAACAAACATTTCTTTTGGAAAATCATCAAGGTTTCAAGCAACATTTTACATGAGTGAGCAGAGGGTTTATGACTGTCCATTTTATAAGCCAGTCGGTCAGGTTAACGGCAATCAAACAATTTTTGAAATATAGCCTAATAAACAACAATTCCAAACCAACCAACCCCTTTCTTAATGTATTATATTTTATCTTAATTTGTTATCTTTTCTGTTTCTGTCGATGAAAAATGAAAAAAAGTGCTCTTGTTAACGACAAAAGGAAATTACTTAACATATTTTATGTTGGAATTTTTCATGCTAGGTCTCAGACTTTTTATATATTAGTAAATTAAAGAGGAGTTATGTACATGGTTCTGTTTTAAAATTGTCATTCTTATTAACCCCAATATTTCACTCAGTTTGCACCAGTAATAGTTAAACATCCTTTTTATTCCATCATAATCATATCAGAGTTAGAGTTCCATGTAAAAACTTTTTTTACTTGCTTTCTGATTAAAAAAACATTCTGCAAAAAATACTTCATAATGGGGGGAAAAATCCAAAAGAGAAATTATCAGAAAGCTGAAATCATTTATTGAGGATCATGGGGGTCAATGTTCGTGAGAAGGCAGTATGTTTTTGGTTACTGGGGACATAACTTTTTACCTTGTATACGCAGAAGATTCAGTGAATCAATATGATTAAAATAATTGTTTTTGGGGCTTTAAATTTGTGGATATTATAAGGGTGACCTAAAAATCCAAGAAAATTGGTCCCCTAAAAGGGAAAGAATAGTAAATGATTCTACATCATACTACCAATAATTTTATTACAAAATATTCAGCAAGCACAACACTCAGAATTTCTTATTTATAATTCAATTTTTTGGCAAATTCTGTACAATTTTAAACAATAAAGCTTGTAAATATCAGCCCGGTTCTTTAGTGATAAGGCCCTCTGATACAAGAAAATCATACAATTTTCTAGTTTTGTTGACATCTATTTTAATCAATGTTCTGGCTTGCTGTAATCGAAGGAAATTATTTCGTTTACACTCTCCCACAAGGATTTCTCTAAATTCCAGGTAAGCTTCTGGCACAAGTCTCACACTAGCACATAACTCCCGCTCCTTCTTTGAGAGCCTTTCGTAGCCAGGCAGCCCCACAATGTCCATGGGTGGGGCCGACCTCCTGGGGGCTGAGGGTAGGGGTAGATTTGCTGCCCCTTTGGACATTGTATCCAGTATTGCCTGTTTGTGTAGCCAGGATTGGCATGCAGCTTCATCCTTCATGTGAACGAGGATGTCATCTAACAGGTGCCTTCTGGACTTCATCTCATTTCTACGACTCTTCAGAACTCTGAATATTTTAATGCTCCTCTGTTTGGTTATGCCATTTTCTCTACATTCCATTAGTTTCTGAATGTTTTTCCTTAATTCAAATTGCAAATTAAGAGCCTGTGTAAATTTCTCAAATCCTTCAGGGCTACAGAGTCTCATAAAAGGCTGAAGCTGATCCAGAAGTTCCTTTAACCTGGTTGGATACATCCCATTATCAAGCCGGTGTTTCCTGATGTTGATTAATCCATATTTACGAATAATCTTCCTTCTCCACCATCGATCTTTAAGACAGTTCTGATAAACATCTATGACCTCAAACTTCAACTTTTCTTCTAACCCATCTCTCTCCTGTATTGGTGCTTCATTGAAATCAATGGGTCTTAGCTCCAGTTCCATAAAATTGTCATGCTCCACATTAAAATCACCCCTCCCAGCCATGTAACCTCCCATCAACTGGAAGATCTGTGATGAGTCGGGGTACCTGGGAGGATCATCACACAGCTTGTACACAACAGGGCATGGGAATCTTTCGAGGTCAGCCTCGGGAAATTGTGGCAGCTCAGGGTCAGCCTGGTTTATGTAGCACCTGTTGTAATGTTTCTCCACCTCTGTCTTTCCCCTGACTCTCATGCGGTGGGCCACGTCCTGCCAGTTCCCGTACCCGCAGTCTGACATCACCTTCAGCAGAGACACTTCCTCTGCTGCCGACCAAGAGTTCTCAAACAAAGGGAAGTCATCCCTGACAATGGTGTAGGGGTGGTCATTCTCATGCTCTCCAAACTCAGCCCCCTTAGAGAAACACTGAAGACAAATCTTCACAGACCCAGGGCACTGTTTACACAGAATATATGGAGTGTTTAAAGTCAGGGAGCACTTAGGACAAGATATATCATCCTCTTCATCCATAATGAAATCTCACAAGTCTGTAATTATTCTATCCAGTAATCACCATGAGTTACAGAATTGTCTCACTTAGAGTTAAATTTGTCAGTTTTGTAATCTCTTAATTATCTGGTAATTTAGGTCCACCTTTCTGATAATTCCCAGAAACCTCTGCACCAGAGAAATCAAAGCCAGGATTCTACAAAGAAACATATGAGGAAACAGTGAACATGAAATAGTTGATTGTATGTAAAATAACATGAGAGTAAATGAAACACTTAGGCCCCATGCGGCAGCTTATCATCAAGGTGAAAATTTTGCAAAAGCAATTGAAATAAATTTCAACGTCAAGGTCATGAGTTATAAATGTTGGTAGGCAGATCGAGAAGCCTTGTCACAGGGAACACACCTGTAAATTATGAAAGCCATAACCCCACCCATTCAATAGTTATGGCCAAGGTTCAAGTTTTGAAACACTAACAGACAGAGGGACATATATGCTCCAAAATCTCTGATTACAGGGGCATAGAAATAATAAAACTTATGTTTTAATCTTCCCTAAAATTATCATGGAAAACAAAACTGTTATAAATCCCAGTCTAAGTGAATCATACAGGTCTGTTGTTGAAATCATTTTTCCAATCTTTACTCAAATTTTTATCTTACCTCTTGTTGAAACTTCTGTAGGGTGGCCTTTTTCTCCATCTGGTCAAACGTCCAGGGGTCGGTCCTATACTGTCCCACTAGCAAAGAGTCCCAACAATTCTCTGCTCCAACGTGACTCTTAGGTAAACACAACCTCAGAAATTTCTTGTCCTCTTTAAAAATTAAACAAAAATCACTATTGATATTATCAAACAATGCTTTTTTTAAAACATAAATATATTATTATAGTGCATGAATGTAATTATGTGATACTCCTACAGAATTTTCCATCACCTTCTCTTACCTAGAGTCCACACAGATTCGTCAGCATGTATCGTATTTGGTAAGTCTCCCTGAAATAATATATAAATTAAAATTCTCTTTAAAGAAAATTGATTTAAACACTCATACAAAATCGAACATTGTCATGATGATTCTTTGCAAATTTTTTTTTGACTTACAAACATGGTTAAAAATTACAAAGTTTACCACTAAAATGTTTAATACAAGTAGTAATTGAAGACAAATATTCAATGCCCAGATTAAATGATAGTTCTGTTAATGTGCATCCCTATAAAAATATCCATCTTCATAAGATTTATAGTAATCTTTGGAAAAGACCTGCTAATTTGTTTCTCTCACTCGGAAAATGTGGTGAAACTGAAAGGAGAAAATGTATGTCTGGACCTGGAATCAAACCGAGACTCCTGCATGACCAGTCAGGTGCTCTAACATGGAGCTACCATAACCTGAATATCAACAGTTCAAACCATTACATCCCTCCCTCCTTAAATTGTTTTTGACTTTGAAGACAATAGTAAATGGGCCCTGTCAGGAATCACCCATTCACAAATAACTTGAACACTCCCCCACACTCCAGGCCACCAAATGTAGTAGGAAAGGAGAAATGCAGAAAGAAAATATATGGCTGGACTTGGGAATCAAACCAGAGACCCCCCTATAGGTGCTTTACCACTGAGCTACCCAGAAGACCCTGATACTGTTTGTAAAGTCCATATACATCCACCTAGGTCAGATGCTATACACAAGGAATTGATTATAAATGTAATTTCATAGATACATCATCTATGACAAAATAATGCCCTGTTCAAAATAGACTATAACAGTTTCCTAAATAATTACCGGTATTTTGCTTTCTTGAATTCACATGGAGAATTTAATGCGAAACCTTATTTTTTCAAAGCAATTTACCTTTTTCCATTAAATGACACAATTTTTTTTAGCTTACCTGTGAACGGGGAGTGGTCGAAGTAATTCAGAGATGTTAATTTTGATGCATGCGTAAGGTCAAAAATCTGTGTAACAGGACACATGGTGGTTGTTAGGTATAGGTAACATTGCTATATTGTGTCTTTTTTTGAAATCGTAAAATAATTATTTTAATCACTGAAATGTATAAACTGGAGCCGTTCATTTAATCATGGTAATGTTTTGAAGGAAAAAAATAAGATACATTTGTCGTTTGTGAAAATGTTTTCCTTACATAAAAGAATAACCAGTTAAACAAAACAAAAATAACCTTAAAAAAGAATTAATTACTTGATTAAAAAAGTCTGAATATTGAAATGAAAAAAATTATTAATCCACTGTACCTGTATCCACTATGATTTTTATATCAATTGGATGGCTCTGCACACATGACATGATTTACAAATGACGTCATAATACCGTATATCCGTTTTTTTTTGCGATGATCTATTTTTCGCATTTTTTGCGACCATTTTTTATTCATAAAATATAAAACACTCAGAAATTATGTCAGCTATAATGCAACATAAAAACATTACCATTTTAAACAGAAAAAAAATCTTCAATCGTAAAAAATAACTTATGCAATATAAAAACTATACTAATATCCCTTTTTTAAAAAATTTCCAAACGCGAAAAAATCCATATACGGCAAATAGCATTACTGAATATTTTTTTTTCTAAGAGATAAAATTTTAATTCGCATTAGTTTACTTCGCTTTTGCTGTCGTGTGAATGCAATTTAATTCGCATTAGTTTACTTCACATTAATTTACTGCGAATTAAACTCTCCGTGTGAAAAGGGCATAAAATTAATTACTCTCTCTTATTTTTATGGTGCTGAAATCCATGTAAATTCTGTTGATCAACTATAATAATTTTTCTCGCACTTTGAAACTGAATAGCCAGTTTGGGATAAAAAGAACTCGCAAAAAATAGGGATTAATCTACAGTACCACATCCACCTAGGTAAGATGCTGTAAGGGAAGAATATATCTGGTAAATGTACATCTCATTATACATCATCTATAATGTAAGATTGATCCAAGTCGACTCTATAGTAACTGTTCCTTAAATACAGTCAAATCTCATTATCTCGAACTCGATAGGACAAGGAAAAACTTTGAGATATTCAATGGTTTGAGATATCGATAATCGAAGGTAAAATACTTTATAAAAAAAAAAAGTGGTGAGACTTTCAAATCACTTTGACATATCCATGGTATTCAATATATCGTTGTTCAACTGTACATTAATTGTTGGCCATTAACAATTTGTTTTGCCTTCTTGAATTATTATGGTTGTGTGAGAAATTTTTATCCCCTTTCAAAGCAGAAGTGCACCCTTTTCATTAAAAGTTTATTAATGTTTATTTGTGCTTTGAGAAAGTTTCTCGTACTTTACAAGGTAATTGAATGTTCTAGCTATATATCCAAGTAATTATGAAGGCATAAAAAGCAACAATTTTACAGTTCTTGATCTGATCATTTCATCTTTTTCTTCTGATTATACCTCAATTACTGTCTGTCCCTTAACAGTTATTCTAATGTGTTTGTGAGAGATTGCGCACTTGATGTGTTTGGCCGGGGTCCCCTCGGGCACATTTACTTCTATGTACACCTCCTCATTGGTTTGCCACCACTGTCCCCAGTCGGTTTTACAAGGGATGTAACCACTTCTCTCATCAAAGTGGGCCATGCTATAATTTTACGACATTAGGTGCAAGACCAATATCTCGCACTTGAAATGCAAATGCCATAAAAGTATTTTCATTATATTTGTTTTTATTTTTTTAATTAGTAATAATCTAATATTTTCTACACAAGACAAAGCTTTTTATGCCTTCTGCACGTGGTTTAACGACAACCGGAAATAACGTAGACTTATTTACGGCAGAGTCCGCCATGTGGTCGTGCAAAATCTAAGATCACTGAAGTTGCCTGAAGATGTCATCATCACTGACATGAGTGTCGTAAACTTGTGAAACATTAAGGTAAATACAGTGTATGAATTGTAAATAGTTCAGAAATTTAAGAGCAATGAAGGTTACTACCATAAGTATATCAATTTTGTAGACCATCTGGGCAGCACCTGCACATAAGTTAGTCCAGTAGTCAAAGAATGGATGCTCTCGAAAGAAAAAGTACTGCTAAACTGACGGAACTGTTACAGATTGAGAAAAGGATTCAGAAGAAATGGGAAGATGAGAAAGTATTTGAAGAGGATGCCCCGCTTCCAGGGACGAAAGAAGCTTCGTATGAATTTTACTTTATTTTGTCATGATAAAATTAGAATGTTGAACACAGACCACCATATAGGGGGTTAGCCTCATTTTAGTGGTCTGTTTCCTATATTGGAGTCAGTTTTTATTGACCATCTAGGAGAGACTTTTTGTCTTCTACAGTGTTTGAAACTGTCCATAGAATTAGCTAGACATGCCGGGCTTACTGCTAGTGAAAGTTGTCAGCCCTTCCAAATCCTCTAGCCCGAGAAAATAATAGTCTTTTACAAATTTATTTACAGTGATAACTGAATGGAGCCATAGCACCATAACTTCAATTCTGAATCTATAGGCTAACGAATTCTCGCCTTTTACCTGTTACACTTAGCTACCGATACTATAAGATGATCTGAGAAAGATTTATCAAATATGGGAATTTAAATTTAAGAGAAATTTCAACACATCCAGATGGGCGTTTATATGTGCAAATCTGTTCACCCATGGCAAAATTTGTGCATCTCAGGTGGTCGGGCGCATAGTTATTTCAAACACTGGTCTTCTATTTGATTGAGTGGCATGGGATGGAGCATAAATTTAACTCGGTGTTGAATGGAATATATTGAGTGGTGCTCTGATTGAAAAAATCAGGAATGAAATCTGTAGTTATTTGTGCAGTGTTATTCAAATATTTGACACCCCATTTTTTCTAATGTAGAAAAAAATGTTCATCTCAGACAGTTTGTTTCAAAGGATTCTGACTGTAATTGTAAATAATTTATTTAGAAAAAAGTAATCAGGTATTTAAGAGAGAAGGTGTGCTTATTTTTTCTATGATTTTTTACAGACAGCCAAAGTATATTGCTACATTTCCTTATCCATACATGAATGGAAGACTTCACCTTGGACACACATTTACCATATCAAAAGCCGAGGTACGTGAATATTTATTACTTACTTACTTGCATGAAGTTGCATGTTCATAACCAAAGCTATAAACCATCCTACAAATTATTTTTCAAGAATGTTTTTCAGTGATGCAATAATTTTATTTATACAGTTTGCAGTTGGATATCAGAGACTTCAAGGCAAGAAATGTCTGTTTCCATTTGGCCTTCATTGCTCTGGAATGCCAATAAAGGTGATCAAATACATAGAACTTTGATTTTAGATCTACTGTTAATAATATTGATAATTACAAAATATTTTGTTTTATGAATTTATATGTTGAAAAACAAAACTTGCAGATTCACAATTTGATTGAATAATATTGCAATATTAACAAAAGTTATCATATTTCTAAACTGTTCAACTTTTGTTAATATTTGCTTATATTTAGTCAATCAGCTGTTGAGCTGATATGATCTTAAACTAAAAAAATACATAATTTTAATCCATTTTCACATAACATAAAAACAAACCTCTATTCCTTCACCTAACTTATAGAATTCCATTCCTTATCTTTACACCTAGGCCAGTGCAGACAAACTAAAGAGGGAGATGGCAGATTTTGGATTTCCCCCAGAATTCCCTCCAGAGGAAGAGGAAGAACAAGAAGAGGAAAAGGAGATCACAATTAAAGATAAATCCAAGGGCAAAAGGGTCAGAATGTGTGTCAGGCAGGGGATAATTTACAAATCTATGCTACTGTGATGATTTCAGACAATTTTTTTTTTATATTTGTGCATGTGTTATAGCACTTGGACAGATAGAGTTTTCATTTTTTAGTTTAAATGTTGTAGAGTAAGCTGAAGGCTAAGACAGGAGGGATGAAGTACCAGTGGCAGATTATGAAGTCCCTGGGTCTGAAGGATGAGGAAATCAAGGACTTTGCTGACCCAGCTCACTGGCTGAAGTACTTCCCCCCTCATTGTAAGGAAGATCTCAAGAGCATGGGACTGAAGGTCAGGGACTGGGAGAGAAATCAATTGTAGATAAAAATTAATTCCTAAGATTTCAATAAAATATGTTCAACTTGCAGTTACAGACCTATTTTCACTTCATAACAGGCAGGTTTTGCCCCACCCACACACACATCTGCATTCTTTTTACCAAAGGAAAAAAATCTCAATCCTTGTAGAGTGTCATAATTTTTCCTCCTAATTCTCTGTATTATAGGTGGATTGGAGAAGGACCTTCATTACAACAGATGCTAACCCTTATTATGATTCCTTTGTGAGATGGCAGTTTCTCAGACTAAAAGAAAGAGACAAAATCAAATTTGGTAAAAGGTGTGGCAGTCAATAATTTCTACTATTTTTCTGTCTGTGTGTGAGGAAGTTCACAGAGAGCTCTGTTTTCTGTCTGGATTCAAGAATTTATTGTGAAAAAATATGTCCAAAATGATTTGAAATCTGGCATGCAAATCATCATAACATGAATGAGGAGGGCAAAAGGTTGAAGGAATGTTTTATATTTTGACATCACAAAAGTTGAATCTTTGTACAAATGCAAACTGTGCAATGTTATAAACACAATTCCTGCTCTCATTGAACAATAAATTAAGCTACATGTACATCCCACCTGTAATTTACCTGATCCCTTCTCTGATGTTTTAGAGGTCTTTTTTTTCAGACACACCATATTTTCCCCCAAAGATGGCCAGCCCTGCATGGACCATGACAGACAAAGCGGGGAGGTTAGTAACACTATCTCATTACTTGTTTTTAGTTGGCCAAATCTTTGAGGGTTTTGTGTAATTGAATGATGACAACTGCCCTATGGATGAGATACAATGATTCAACCATTGATTAGTCTTACTGACAATTACACAACTCTGAAGATTTATTAAACAAGAGGGGGACTTTGTCATTTAGAGATGGGATACATTTGATATAGTAACACTGAACATAGTTTACATTTGAAACAGACACATTTTGATTGATAGAGATTTCCTACACAACTTCCTGTGTTTGAAATAAAATTATAAGGACTAAGATGCAAATTGCCTCGATTTTTTCTTATAAAAACCGATGATCTCAGTGCAGTAGGGTCCGTTTTACATAAGGTATGAAATATGTAGCATTATCCAAAATTATAAAAAGAGGGCACAGAAACTTTTTATCTCAGGGAATTGTTACATCATCAAAATGACAGACTTTTTCTACAGTTTATCGCAGTGGTAGCTCCAATAACAACTTAGTGGGAACATATAGTTTTCTGAATGTAGGCAAAGTGCTTATCACACCTTCTTCTGAAATCTTGTCATAATTCTTTGAAAGTGTTGTTTGTAATTTTGATCATTTTCACTTATTATTGGACTTTAGCGAGAAGCATTGACTTTTACAGTAGATGGTTTACTTTGACATTTAAACCTGTATCATGTACGGAGGTACAGCATTGATAATAGATAAGATTTTTGTATTTGTATACAGCATTAAATCATTGAATTTATAGACCTTTACACTTGACTTGTTGGAGATTTTACTGCAGAAAAATGGTTGTATTTAGACGTAATTTAATGATGAAGACTTCGCCTTTTCTTATGAAGTTCAGTGATTCATACTTGATTAGTCTTACTGAGGATTACACAACAATACAACCAGTGTTCTGATTCATATGTGTACATATACACAAAACATGAATTTAAGGCATATTGAAGAAATATTTTTTTTAGCTGCATAAGTACTTGATATGTGGGTTGTGCTCAAGTTCTTAATCCTTTTACCTGAGAAACTGGCTTGTTTGTTGTTTAACATTTAACAAACTTGTAATGCTGGTTTTAATAGTTTTTCTATAAAAGAGAAAAAAGTCTCATCTGTAACTTTGTATCTCCATGTTTTACTTTTATCTTCTAGGGAGTTGGTCCACAGGAGTACACTTTGATTAAACTGAAAGTGAATGAGCCATATCCACCAAAACTCAGGTACATGAAACTAACCATATTCATAAGCACTTATGCATATAAAATCTAACAAACCATACCTACCCAAACTCATGTGAATCAGTCATATCCCTGAGCACTCAAGTTTGTTAAACTAAATCTCTGGTATCTAAATCTTACTTTGAAAAATATTACCTGAAGTCTGGAGAAGGCAGTTGAAATGCAAAATTTTTAATAAAAGTAAGATTTATCCATGTTCTTATTGAAATGTAGGTGTGTGATCAATGATGATGTACAATAACAGTGTTCAGGCCAATGAACCTACTGTGATTAGAACATTTTGAGTCCACTGAGATCACACTTCAGATTTACCTACATTTCAATTAGGATTACAAGTCTTCTGTATAAAACTAGTTTCAGTAACCATGTTGTAAAACGGACAATATGCAATAAAAGTGTATGAAAAGATCTATAAAAAAAATTATTACTGTATTGATTTTAAACAGTCTTTATGTCACAAACAGGCTTAGCTGTGCTAAATGCTATTGTGGTGTCAAGTTCAAAATAAATGTACATGCACATATTTGTGTTGATTTTACAATTCACAGCTGCTTTTCTTATGAACTCTTTTTCCATAACATTTGTACATTTAAGCATAAACATGACATCAAA